TCTGAAAAGAATAAAACCATTGATATCCTAGATGAAACAAACAAATCATCTGATTGGTGCAGAATTTTACCATTATGCCAGGATTGTGCATATATTTTATCAGATGATTTGTTTATTTTTCGGTTACAAATGTGGTCCCGTATTGTATCATGGATACCATTTTTGGGCTCGGCGTTCGAAATTGGTTTTGGCGATTTCCCCTTTTTGGCGACAACTGTTACTATTTTGTGATTTCAACCAAGTGGTGCCATTTTGTCAAGTTAACACAGTCATTGTATCTATTTTGTGTCCAAATATATTTTTACAGATGTAGCTATTGAAGAGATATAAATCGACTTTTTTCACTCAAAGTTACTGAGCACCAAGTGTTGACACTTCAATTGTGTTGGTGAAATTATACATATTTCAGTCAAATTCATTCTGAAGCACAACATTTTGGTTTCAATTTTATAATCTCTATGCATGACCCTGGTAATGACGAGTCAGAATAAAAAAATCGAAACCAAAAAGACTGTGCTCATTGTAAAAATTAAAAGTGAAGCTACTTTTTCTGATATTTCTAGCATCAAATGGCAGCCATTTTGTTTTCCCCCTTCAAATTAAACTGGCGGGAAATTCAAAAATTTGAAAAAGTTAAATCCTAAAATATAATTAAAAATATGATTTTCTTTTTAATTCTTCATGGGTCTTTAAGTTATTTTTACTTTATATGTCATACATGTTGCCATTGGTGTTTTTTCTATGATAATGATTATTTGTTTTCTGTTAGATTCTTATTTTGACTCTCAGCAGGGGGTTGCTTATACATCAAAACTCATGAAAAAGTAAATATACTTATCAAATATAACTAGGACAGTTATAAAAATCATATTTCCCCCACAAAATCTTCATGCATTTTGTTATATGACGTGACGTCTTTATCACCAGGCGGGGACCAGTGAAAAAGGAATGAGTGAACATGTAATGCAAGCAATTCCCAAATAAATTGGTTTCATTTTGGACCAACGTATTTACTAGCATTACTATACCTTGTTATAAATGATTAGTAATGTACCATGCAGTACAAACCTACTTGAATAATTACGTGCTTACATGTTTTTAAATCAGAGACGTTAGGTACGTGTTTTATATAATCGCATAAAGTAAATAAAAGCCATTCTGCTTTAAAGGCCCGGTCACACCGCCCGGACGTTGCTGGAGCGTTCCTTGAACGTTGAAAAAATTCATCAACGCTCGTCAACGCGCACAAAATGGGGGAAAAAACAAAAACACGGGCGTTGGCTTAGCGGTGCACCGCTGAAGCCGGCGTTGCTTTAGCGTTGGTTAAGCGGTTGCGAGCGGTAGCTAGCGTTTGTTTAGCGGTAATGCGAGCGTTGGTATAGCGGCGTTCTGCGCATGAGAGCGTTGCCTCGGCGGGGGTATAAATAGCAGCAGCGTTGGTTTAGCAGCATATCGCGTTTGACTACTGGGAAATTATTTCAAGAGTAAAGACCTTTATTGGAATTTGAATAATAACATTACAATTTTCTTTAATAATCTCTCATATCATTTCAAACAAACATATCACAATTTAATCGTTGCAGTTCCATTACTTGGAACCGATTTACGTTCAAATTGCTTTAACAATGTCAAATAACATTAACAGCAAAGTAATAATCATGACGTATAAAAAAATTTTGCATTGCTGTGCGCGCATCAACTTTTTGTATAATACCATGACGAGTGCAACATTTTACAAGCTGCGCAGAAAATCCACAGATAATTTATTGAATTGCTTGACTTGAAAACACTAGGTATATATTATATTTGAATAAAGGTCTCAGTAAAAGTCTATTTGTATTAACATTTAATGGAAAACAAAAATCGCATAATTCACCTTTTTAAAATCCAAAATCACAAACTTTGAGCGCTCAATTTAGGAATTTACAATGCAAAAAATTGAAATGCCAGACATGAATATATATATCAAATGTAAAATGCACAAGTGTCTCCACAGTGTTCTACACAGTGGTGCATTTCTCCACGTATTTATAGCCAAATTCTGGTCCCGCTCCGACACCTCTATACCAACGCCAAAGCAAAGTTCATCGCCGCCATGGAACGCTGCGACAACGTCCGACACCGTTCCAACAACCCCATGTACGCTGATAAAACGCTAACAACCGCTCCACCGACGTTTGTGCAACGTTTAATCGCCGCCCGGGCAACGCTGGCGAAGCAGAGGTGGTCCAGCGTTTAAGATTTCTGCGTTGGTCTAGCGTATTCAAGCGTCCACGAACTTGCGTCTAGCGGTGCCTAACTTTGACTGGGCGTTGGTGGAGCGGTGATAAACTTTGCCAGGGCGTAAAATTGTCCCTTTTTCAACGCTCGCAATATTTTGAGCAGCTCAAAACTTTTGGAGCGTTAGGATGGCCACTCGAGAAACATCCGCGTTGGCCGAGCGTTTACAGCGTTGCTTTAACGGATGCCAACTTTTGTTAAACGGTGATGAACGTTTACGAGCGTTGATGATTTTTTTCAACGTTCAAGGAACGCTCCAGCAACGTTTAGGCGGTGTGACCGGGCCTTTACATTGAAGGTCAGCGTGATCTTTTTAAAAAATTCACCAAATCAATATAACGTCTTTGAATAAATCGTGGGAAGTTCGCTTTTTATATCAAGTTTCCTAGTACTGCAGTTCAAAATAATTATTGAATCCAGCTCAATACAATATAAGACAACACGACATGATACAATACGGTACAATAAAGTAGTACAACACAATACGCAACACATGACACAACACATGACACAACACAGCACAACAAAATACAATACAATACAATACAGTACAATACAATACAATACAATACAATACAATACAATACAATACAATGCAATACAAAGCAATGCACTATGATACAATGAAGTACAACACAATTCAACAAAACAGAATTCAATTTAATTCATGTTCATGTTTATACAAATTAATATGTTGTACACCTAGTCGAGTCACCTCATTTAGGATAAGCTTTTTTTGTGTTGTTGTTTTTCAAAATTGTGTAGAAGTCATTCGTTCGAAGATGTTGTTACGCGGTAAACACGATACAAGTAATATGTCATATTCCGCAACGAATATGGCATACTCACTTGCGGTGTATGACAGATTCACCTGCTGTATATAGCATACACACTAACCAATGAGAACGTGATACGGAAATACGCAATTGTTAATGGCATCGATTGAACGAACAAGTAAAACTTTATAAATTATTATAATGATTACTGAATCAACAGTACAGTTTATCGAATATGTCAACGTATGCAGAAGTATCACTCACCAATCTCACGTAATAAACTTACTTAATCATTCCAGGATTCATATATTTGTACTCGGCGCACTAACAATATTGGTAACCCAGCGTAGTTTTACATTTCGAGTCGATTCTCGCAACCAATCAAACCAAGTCTTTCTGTATCACGTTTTCATCTGCGGAATATGTCATATTCACCTGCAGTATATGGCATATTCCGCAAGTGAGTATGAAGTTTTCCGCAGGTGAGTATCGGGTATTCACTGAAATCAATGTATTGCATATTCACTGCGGAAAATCGCATACTCACCTGCATAATATGCCATATACCGCAGGTGAGTATGGCATATTCACCCGTATCACAAATACCGCACAACCATAAATGTATGTCATATTCCGCGTAACAGATGTTATCTAATTGATAAATCTAGTAGATGAGCAGTAAGTAAACAAACTAAATCTATTTAACATATACAGTATGAGATTATGTTGCTCCTTTTCGCAAAACATAGATCAATACTTACACTATCACAGTGTAATTTATGTTAATTAATTATAATACAGCCAACCTTTTTTCAAAACACGATGAAACCATTAACATTAATGTATGCCATGCACCAATCAATCGACTTAAATTGTGGATTTGATCACCTGATATATAATATGTGTCCTATTGCGTTATTAAACTGCACGTGTCGTACACTTTAAAAGACGTCAACGTGTTAAACTTGAGTTCAACAATAGAGGCATCACAGGTTGCATAACATTCCACAAATCAATTGGATTTGATCAATTCGTAAGTATATTCTACATCCAAACATTCAACTCCTTTGAAACTTGATTCCTTGAAAGTTGTACAAACAAGAAAGATGACATTTTAGTTTTAAAACTATAGTGTAAAATAATGATAACTCTTATTTTAGATTTGGCCTTTAGAAATTCAGTTAAATTGATTACGCTCTTCGGTTTTATTTCAAGTTGGCCGTTCTTTTCAGTCTCCTTGCTAGCTTGCTAGCTAGAATATGCATCCTCATCAAACTTATTTAGTATACTCTAATTATCTCTATATTTATACAATTATTTGTTATTTGTAGAGAACGCTGTTGATCAACGTAATTCACTATTTATTTCTGTAAAACTTCTACAAGTTCAAAACAATAAAGAACACTCATATATAAAACTGAATCCATGTTATTTTTCAGACAATAGTTCAAAATGATGAAAATATATGTCATTCTACTCTCAGTAGTCCTAAACACCATAGTGACCGTACACAACGTACAAGGCGATGCTTGTATCCAGGGATCGATATGTCCATTGGGATTTATTTACAATCCTAACTTGGGGTCATGCTATAATTTCGTCATATCCGAAAAGATCACGTGGTACGATGCTCTCTCCGTTTGTGGAGCTATGGACGCTAACCTTGCCGCTACAGAAACACAGGAAGAACTCGATTTTATCAGAAATGAGATCAAAGGACGAATTACTGCAGTCGGTGGTGAAACAGGGAACTCATTCCACATCGGTGGTATATTTTTGAATGGTGGTTGGCAGTGGATAGGCGGCCCATCATGGAGGACAAAGCCCATGTCATTCGCACCATGGAATCAGCCAAATTTCCTTGACGTCCAGAAGTGCGTAGCGCTCTCTGCAAGTGATGATTATCTATTTCATAATTGGGAATGCCGTCATAAATTTCACTACATTTGTGAAATTAAAATGAACTAAAATGAACGTGATGGACAAAATGGTTTCTCTCTTCGTTACTTAAAAAGGACATTTTGCACTAACATTACCCTGTGCCGGAATTCATCTAAATACATCAAAAAATGAAATATTGGAATTGTGCTTATATGTGCATGGTTATTCTTATATAGGTTTATTATATTTCCACGATTGGTTATTACAAATAAATGATTGTATATTATTCACAAAAGTTGTGTTTTCTTTTTCCAATAGAGTTTTTCTAAAGAGATTAGTGTGTCGAGCTGGAAGAAGACAACGTTTAGCAATAGAATGCTTTACCAATAGAAGTTGAAAGGAAACTAGAATGAATAGACGCCATCCATAAAAAATACAAAAATAGAAACGTGGTCTAAAATTCGAAACCAATGAACAAGGTGTGACATTTAAACTCTGCAAAGATGAGAGAAATCATGCCCAATCTTTATTTTTACACAAAATTACAGCAACAAGGTGATAGTTTGGTAGTACTATCTTAGAAATGGCAGTTTAATATAATTAATGTCTTTAGTTTGACACTGATTAGATTAAACATGGTATATAATATAGGGTGAGCTAAAATATGGCCTCTTCGATTTTGTTCGAAATGATAAAATGATCACGTATTTTAAGAATCCTTAATGAATCAAATCACCTCACAGTCTCATATAAGTAACCACTTTGTTACATAAATATTTTTCGAAATTTGCAAATACATCCTTGCTAATGTAGCTTTGTACTTTTATGCGTATTGAAATAGTAACACATCATTGTTTGGAAATTGAATTGTCTTAATGTCTTTCCAATGGTATATTATATCAGAGCAATTCTACAAGTACTCCGATTTCTTTGTATCTCCTTAAATGGGTTAGATTTATTGGCCCAACCTGCAGGATTAATATTTACCTTGACACCTGCATATGCAATCTTTCTTTCGACAATCCTCGTGTACTAATAGATATAATGTCGATTAAAGGAGTGTATTCGTTTTTTATTACTTGTTATTTAATTACCCTCTGTTCATAAAATACACTGACATGACCTATGTCCTCATCTTTCAGATATTAGATAATATATGACTTAAGAATAGCCTCGATAATTGTAAGTTTGACATAACCTAAATTAAGGATTTTCGCATAGCACGTGTAGATGTCCTATACATCGTACTACTTTATTGTAACATTGAATGGTGATAATTGGAGGGGGACGGTTGAGATTTGTACGTTCATGTTCAGTAAGTATTGGTTATAACGTATACTCTGCCATATTTCTGCTACCCTTGCCAGCATTTTACGATATTTGAACAGTATTGCTATTCTACCTCATTTTTCTATCTATGTATAAAATATGTTCACAAGCCAGATTCAATGGTAATACTGTACATTTGTAATTTGTTTTCATATTTTTTAAGCTCATTTGAAATATTTTCCAACAGATAGATCTCCATCTTCGTCGAAATTTTGTTTCCAAGAATCAAGGAGTGAAAACGAGTATTTTTGGCGAGTACATCCAGACAGCCGCCAGTTCGAAAAACGGAAAGATGTAGTTTTATTTGGTCGGCAATTACTGCAGTTTTTAGTTCTTCACCTGTTAGTATGCTCATGCAGTTCCGAGTACATTGAGAAAACTGTTCAATTGTTACATATTGACAGCCAAATCTGTACTACTTTTAGATTTATTTTGATTTTCTATCTCAACATATATAAATCTAAACAACGAACACATCTTATAAGATCTGCAAACTTACAATATTCCGTCTGCTAACGGTTTTTGCTTTGAAAGTATCGTTAAGGGACAGAAAAATGATGAAATTTAAAAAAAAGAACGCAGTGATTTGGTTGACCTCAGATTCTAGAAAAACTAGATGGATGCCTACTAACTTATAACATTAGAATGTTTCCCATATGTACTGAGAACATTATAAGCGTATTTCCAGGCAAGGAAACCCTTGAAGACATTCACAAACAGAATGGAATAATGTCTAACTATTCTTTTTTTAAAATGGCGGTTTTCGTAGAGTATTTCCGGTTGTCACGACGAAAACACTGTTTCCGGTTGTACTCAACGAAAACACTATTTCCGGTTGTAATCGATGAAAACACTATTTTCGGTTGTACTCAACTATTTCCGGTTGTAGTCAACAAAACACTCGAAACTAACGTGTCATTTGCCTAAAAACTATACTAGTCAAAGTTCTTTCACAATCCCAAAACTCTGATTACCGGCTTAAAGATAACGCTTACATTCCAATGTCCTTATGTGAAAAATAACATGTTCTTTTTGGTGAATACACATATACATTTGATTTATTAGTCGCATGTATTTCCAGATCGTGGCCCGCAATATCAGTTATGGAAGTGGTGAAACTCGCTCAAAAGGTTGAATCAAATTTTTTCTCGATTTTTGGATTTCTGATCAACATTTTATTCATTCCTCGAGCTGCAATTACAATCGTAGCGCAGGCAGAATTCTTCAATCAGGAGTTTCTTGAATGTAGACCTGGCGACAATTCAACAGCTCAAGACAGCATTAAGCGACAATGTTACGACCTATTTGCTACAACATGGCCGCCACATTACCATTGGTTTACGCAAATAGGATTATCAATTGCCGTTTTGGTTTTCTTCTATTTCCCATCTTGGTGGACTGTAAAACATCAAAAAAGGCAATCGAAAAATATCGCCAGGGGATACTTGTTACAGACAGTTATTCGGACAGCTATTGAATTTAGTTTCTTCGTTTCTCAGGGGGTCGTGTATGGGTTCCAGATCGCTGGGACATTTTCGTGCGTGTTGAATAGTCAAAGAATACCGTGTGATGTTCTTCGAGTTAATGGAAGAATTGCCATGTTGGTTGCAATGTTTGCTATTTCAATAGCCGTAATGGGCTTGCACGTGGCAGATTTAATCAGAACAATTCGCATGCTAAAATCAGATGACCGTTCCCTCTTACCAGTGCTTGACGATGAAGGTAAGATACAATATTGTACTATCAGAATTCTCTTCGAAAGATAAATATTGTTCTAAATCAAACCAGCTCTCTAGCGTTTAGGGTTCAAGTTTTTGCACCATGCCAGTTTGAACTTTTAAAATCTGAAGTATTTGGAAGGGAGGGTAATAGCCCTATACAGCTATGATAATAACTATAAGAAATTAGTAGTTTCAACGATTTCTCTCAGAAAAATATGATAAAATTAATTTAATTCATGAATTGGTTCATTAAGAAATATTTATTTTTACTCTAGTTGTACAAAAATTCAACTGCGAAAGACCACCAGATCCCGTAGAGGACATCTTCAGGTGTGAGAATTACACACTTTTGGAAAACAAATTGGAAGATCAAAACCTTGTTGTCTTAACTGGTAAGTTCAACAAAGAGGCAGTATTACGTTCTTTTGCAGTACTTATATTAGAGCCATTGTAATTAAAACCGTTTAGCCAAAAATAATTATTTAAGAAAAGCAAGGGTCCTTTTTGAATCACAACACCGTGTATCTTTTTTCAATTATAGGTCCTTCTGGCTCCGGAAAAACACAGCTTGCTTTACTCTATGCCAAGAAGTTCATCAATGCAAACAATGAAAGCAAATGCTTCTGTTTCAACTCACCATCCCCAGAGGATATCCTTGTTGACGGTGAGAAGTTAATAGATCAATGTAAACTGAACATTCATACAGACGGTGGAATGCTTGAGGAAAAGAATGCTCGAATGGCTAAAAAGGTTTGGAGACTACTTACTCGCATTCGTGATAAAGTAAAAGAAGACAATCAAAAAACAATGTTTATTTTTGACAATGCAACTTTCGAAACAGCTTGTATCATCAAAGAGGTTTTCTTCAAGGTTAGCTCTTTTATTGTCATAATCACTACTAATGAGAATGACAAATTTATGAAAGGGTTTGAAAATTTGAAAATTAATGTAAAAGGCTATACTCAGGAGGACGTCAATGTCTTAGCACTTTGCCAATATGATCAATTCAAAGATGATATGCAATGCTTGGCTGAGAAGCTTGATTTTTTGCCGCTTGGGATACACGCAGCTTGTCAGTACATAATTGAGTCCAACAATTTAACCGTACGTGATCTTCTAGCCCGACTGGATCAATATGGCGACCCCCTTACCGGTCTCTTTCAAGAGTCATACAAAATGGCTAATGAGAAATGCAAGAATGATAATGACAAGCTCCCGCTTAACATTGTAGCTATCCTTAGTCCAGATCCGATACCATTTGACGTCCTTGACTGGACAATACGGGTTAGCCATCAAGATCCCTTGTCCGACTCAGATATAACACTTAAGAGGGACCATCTTCTGGGTGAGATAAAAAGGTTTCACCTTGGGACCGTTGAAATAAAGGGATCAGATAACAAGATGCTGCGTATGCATGATATACCAAGATCAGCAATACGGGAAAGCTGGACGGAAGATAAAAGGATCAAACATTTCATAGAAATGCTTTTAATCCTTGACGATCAGGTTGATAAGGACACACGTCATGCAAAAGATTTTATGTTCTTTCTCAAGGTGATTCCCCATGTCAAACATGCCTTGAAGACCGACCTGTCTGGAGCCCAAAGTCAAGCAGTTGGCATAAAGATCCTTCAAATAAGTCTCCAAGATAAGTTACATTATATGTATACACAAACGGGATTGATTAGATACTTCAAAGAAAGTGAATCTGAAGCTAAACAGCTATGCTATTCCCTCATCGACTTAAACGACGTAACTAGCACTGAGAAGGATAGGAAGTTTAATGACATAACGAGTCAGGAATTCTTAAAAGAGAAAGCCGAGCTCATTAACAGTAAAATGAAACTGTTGGAAATCCCGAAAGAACCTAAAGACTTCCTCAAAGAGCTTGTTTGTACGAGACGCCTCAATAAAAGCACTGTTGCACTTTTGAAGACCAAAATGAACAGCGGTGACGCTGAGCAGTCAATTACAAAAAAGAAAAGTGATAACGTTGAACTAGTGGACACAAAATTGAATGCAAGCGTGAAGTCGAGACCGCAAAGTACTTTACTACCCGATGGTTATCTCACTGAGACCAAATACAATAGTTTAGTACAAAGAGGTGCAGCAATTAGGTTGAATAAAATGAAGGATGTGTTCCTATTGGAGTTCATGGCGAATATTCTCTACACGCATGGTCGTATGTATTTCTACAAGAACAAAAACAAAGAAGAAGCAAAGGTATATGAACATGACTTGCGCCTCGCTTATGAGCTCTCTGCCATAATCAAAAACGAACAGTTCAAACAAATAGCCACGTTGCTTTTAGCTGAACGCAATGGTTTTCTATACATCGATGTAGACAGCAAAGAGAAGGAAAGAATAAAACACGCGACGGAACGCTACAAGGAGATGTTGGATACACAGGGCGAATACTATGAGAAAGGATTGCTGAAAATAATACCACATGAGGATACATACCATCAAAAGATATGCAGAAAACAATTATTAAATTGTTACATATCCGCAGTTAAAGAAGAATCAGACCGTGTCAAAAAGCAAGAGATATACGAAAAAGGATGCCAGGAAGCTAGAAAACTACTGAAAATTCTAGAGGCAGACGAGAAAGCAGATACTTACATTAAGTTTGGTGACCTTGAAATGACAATGAGTAAAATTGGTACAAGCCATGTGGAAAAAGCCATTGCCAATTACAAGAGGGCGTTGCATTTTGAAGATGAAAAATCACCTAGTTCACAAAAAGTCGGTCGTATTATTGAAGCCCTTTCTAGAATAACAGAAGCGTTGTATATACGTAAGAACAAAAGTGATTTGAAAAAGGCAGAAAAATATGCGAACAGGGCAATTGGAATATGTACGGAAGAACAAATAAAAAAAGATATCAAAGAAAGACTGCAGCATATTCTAGACAGTATAAACACTCCATAAACATCAAACGTACATTCCTTCCCCTCTTCTTCCATCCCCTCCTCAATTGCCTCATTCTTACCATCCCCTCCTTTACATCATCCTCTTTTCCTCCTCTTTTCCCTCCCACTCTTTGTGTGGCTTTTTAATCGGATTCTCAGCCATATAGCATATAACCAACTATCAATAGAGGATGTGCTTCTTATGACACATGGTACATTATTCAATTGTAAACCTGTCAACATGCATAGTATAGTCAGAGAAAATTACAAAGAAAAACATATTACAGAGTGTCTGTGTAAATTCATCACTCTGGTAATATATAAATAATAACTTAAAGTGTGCGCCTGACCCGGCTACGTATAGCACAGAGTTTATACTGGCGGATTAGACTAGTTCATTTTTTATATGTGTGTGAAAGCTTTCTCTTATTTGCGTTTTTTTCGTTTAGTACGGTTTTGTTATAATTGCCGAGGTCATATAACCGGGATAAAACAATGATTATCGTTGACTGCCCACACACAAAACATACGTTGAGTGAACAGTGTTATTACAAACAACAGGCTTTAGAATACAAAGCGTAGTGTGATAATAAGCTGCACACTACCACTGCTGCATGTACATATTACTAATTTACTAGGGCTCCCAAAGAGTGGATAGGGAGGTTGTGTTTGTCACTTTTAAATTTTACATTTCAAAATTGTCATTTTACATGTCATAATTTGTTGGTTTCATTCGTTTAGCCAATCAAAACATTGTAAAACAATAAATTGTCTGTTACGTACAATCAATTTTGTTCAGTTTTGATTAGTTGTCAGAATAAAGTTACGTTCATCTGAATCCATGTATGAAAACAAAAATCCTATTTTCACTTCAAAATACTTCAGTGAGATGAAGGCTCGGAATTGTCACATGCAATAACTTATTGTCGTATTCGTTATTTTATCTTCTCGATAGTAGCATTTAGTCGCACATTTGATGCCAGGTCACCTTGTCGCGTACCTCTTGGGGAACCCCACATTTATGTGTGTACTCATGGAAGTAAATTCCCCGGTGTAGCCGAGAGCCACAAACTTTTCAACAGGTTCGAAATGACCAATTTCTCTCATATATACTCTAAATATTTTATTATTTAGCACCTACAAAGTATTGCTAATAACCATATGTAATTTCAATAAGGAAACTTATCTGGCTACATATAAATTCAATATCAACACTAGCTGTTCTCTCAACACGTCCTGGCTTACCTTGTGGTGACAAACCCTGGGTTTTCGCTATTTATAGTTTATCAACACCTGGACGCATGCGCATTTTATACTTTATCGGGCACTTTAAGTTCATATACTTCAGAGTAAAATGTTTTATTTTCGACGTTTCGCTAATCATCCAACTAGCTTTATCAAGATTCAAAATTGAAATCCCTAAAAAGAAAATAAATCTGTATCTTGATTCTATTCCTTATAAAGTCCGCAACATTCCAATGTTATATCTCCATTTGTTTAACATGGGATCTGCCATTTTTGTTACATTTCATGAAATTCATCAATTTTGACATCAAATTTTGACCCAATGTAATGGAGATATAACATTGAAATGTTGCGGACCTTATAGAGAATAGAATCAAGATACAGATTTATTTACTTTATTGGGATTTCTTTTGTTCCACGCTTAGAAAATAGTCGTTCAAAAATATGGGGGTTAACATGTAAACCTATGAGGAAAACCACCTGTCTTTAACTTTTTTAAGGAGTATATGTTCGACAAATCGAATTATGATTTTGATTCTGTCTAGATGTATTTAAGAAATATAGACCGAAAAGCAGGGATTATATCGTCGAATACACCCCGCAGGGCTAGGCACAAACGTTTTCTGTACCCCGAACGACCAAAGGGAGTGAGGGGTTCGAAAGCTTTTGTGCCTAGCCCCAAGGGGTGTATTCGACGATATTACCCCTGCTCTGAGGTCTATATTACGATTCGAACATGAAAACTCACCAAATTGTTTCGAATATTCATCATGGTCCGCCATTACTACGACCCACTGTTATGACGTCACACATTACATGTATTAACTGGGTTATTGATCTCGAATATAACCCAGCTGAAGCATTGACCTTGTTTACAGTTTATAGAAGGCGTGAATACAGTCATGTTCGAATTAATATTATCACATACCATGTAGAAATCTAGTGATTTGGTTGCTTTCTATGACGTATTTCCCGTATCACATAAATTTCATATGATACGAGCACACGTACATGTACTTCACGTTGTCTATGGAAATGACGTCATACAACTTCATTCTATTTTTTTCTAAATAATATAACATTGATCTGGTTATTCAAATTTCAGTATGTGCACTAACATAATAATGTAAATGTAAAAATAACTTTAGTACACTTTTATGATATAACTCACTGAGAGTTAGTCGAAAAATATGTACATATAAGTTTTCAGCACATACACTTGTAGATTTTAACTCGAGAATAATTTTATTTTAACTTGACAATAATTATTTCAAACATAGCTATTGCATGATATATCACAATCCAGCCAATTGGAACACTACATATATAATATAATATTATATACGTTTGGACAGTTGAATGATTATTTTTAGATTCAGCTACTGTTTATTGTCATTTTAGCTGCTTTGTATTAGCTAGTTTTAGAAAAACAATTGTATTAACGTTTGCAGCAATTTCTAATGAAATTTGCAGAGATCTATGGAATGTAAATCATGCTAAAGAATAAAAATTTAGCTATAATTCTTATACTTGATATCTGTTGTAGCTTACACAACAAATGACAAGTACAAAGAGGACTACACGACTTTTATTATGTCACCACCATAAGTGTTGACATATCGTTATAGTCTCCAACTTTTTTGTGACGGTGTTCGGCGACTGTAACAAATGGCAAATGGTGACATTTTTCATGTTAATGCCTTATATTACATGTAGGCTTAAGGCCCTGTGCTACAAGGAATGCACCACAATTATTTTGCCATAGGCCGTAATGTTAACTTCCAATGCCCTCAAGAAAAAACAGATCGAATTTATGCTCAATCATCACCCTTACTTCAAAGCACAATGTCTTATGTACCCACCAGAGAAAAATAATTAAAATCGGTAAATTGAATTTTTTCTTGTCATGGTTTTATCTCCTCCACCATGAAGAGCTCCATAGTTAGTGGCCGAATCACTCAAAATTAAGCAGTGTATAAATGCGCTGCTTTTCTGCAGTGAAAACGAAATGAACTTCAAGCTGCCCATGTCAACTTGTTCCATCAACTTACTGTACTATAAATGACCCACCAGGCCCATCAAAGCCCAAAGACACTGTATGCAGAGACATCTATCCATGTATATAGCATTTATTTTATAGAACTATAAATGAATGCGGACTAATTGTGGTGTTCATTCAAGGGGAAAGATCAAGGAGTGCAAGAAACACCTAAGAGCAAATCGGCGAGTATAATGAGAAAAGTAAACCTACAATATTCAAAACATGTCTTATAATCCCATTCCTACAATTCAGGAATCAATATCAAAATCCTTCACCATAAGAGCAAGACAATAGATACAATAACACTCTTTGTCCATACTGAAGCCATTGCAACATGTGTTGAAATAGAAATTTAACCTTATCGACTCTAATCAGTTAAAAATGTTTCTCATAGCAAAATCTCTGGAAAGTCATGTTTGGCTGCCGCAACAAGGAGTATTATGCTATGGTAAGTTGATAAACCTTAACCAATAACACTGCTAAAAAGTGCCCCGCCTACCTAAAAGTCAAGTTACCATAGTCATTTTGAATTATTCCACGAACAACTATGATATCACATCAACATTAATTTTAAAACGTGTTAATTTCGTAGTAAGTGGGTTCAAGGTATGAGATTTATTGTTTGAAAAAAACACTTGAATGAGATAGCAATACACCCTAAAGCAACATAATTTTTTTGTTCTAAGAACTACTTCTAATGATAATTGAGATTTGAATTGAAAATTTAAAAATATATACTGGTAACAAACTGAATCAGAACAATGAAGCTATGAAACAAAACTAGCGAAATATAGCAGCTATACAAGGATACAAATTGTGAACGACGATGGGAAATATTTTTGCGGAACCAGTGAGAGGTGGCTCTGAAAGTGATCACCAGGTGAGTGTGTGTCTTCACATTAATGAAGAACGTTTACCGCTAACTATAGCAAGGTTCAAAATTGTGCAAAGCATCTACTGCTCTTTTTGTGTTGATTTTTACCGCTCTTTTGATGCTGTTGATCAAAGGATCGCGAGTTGTTTGTAGAATGAATCTGGGGAGCTTTTTCATGCATATCGTTTGTGTTTTTCATTTCAAAAACATCAATACACTTTAAAACATCCTATTGACTATAAGATTGCACCATATAATCCTGGAAAATATTTCTAATTTCCAAGGATTATCTATGGATTAACACCCAGGTATTGTTATTTTTCAAACTTCAGAGGGCTGGGAATCGTTATTACGATCGCTTTATCGTCAATAAAATGTTTTAAAGTGTATTGATGTTTTTAGATGAAAAACACAAGCGAAATGCATGAAAAATAAACCCCCAGATTCATTCTTTAAACAACTTGCGGTCCTTTCCAGATGGGCGGATGTCCAAATTAATTCTCTATGCGTTTCTCGAGGAACCGCTTATCGGGTTCATTAAGAATTTCAGGAAATTTTGTTTACATGTTTCAAGCCCAACTGTTTCATGAATCGATCTGAATCTTGGGATGTTTCTTGGGTTGAAAGTTTATAGCTGATCAGTTTTTAGGCATTCTGATTGTTTTAGTCCTAAAACCAATATCCAGATTACATTGTTTAATTCCAATCACCAGTTCTTATAACTTTGTCGAAATGAAAATTACATGATTTGTAAAGCTTTAACAACCAATGTTTTATTTCAGAGGCCAGGTCAAACTGGATTAGAAAGTTTGTACGATCAGCTACAGTGTTCAATCTGCTTTGAAGACTATTCTACCGTTCCACCAAATCCACCGAAAATTCTTCACTGTGGACATAGTTTTTGTGGCTCATGTATTGATCGGTGTAAAACATATGACAGCATCCAATGCCCAACGTGTCGAGAAAAAACAAGTCATGAACCAAGAATGAATTTGCCAGATAACTACTTGGCCAAAGCCTTCCTCGAATATAAGGATGAGATGTCAAAAATGAATTACACATCCAATAGTTGTACTACATGCTCGAAGAAACGTGGAGTCTCAAGAGACCAAGGCACCATGACAATGAGAAAGTCAGCTTCAGAGAACAAATCTACTATGACATTACAAAATACCGAATTCGAAATGCTTTTCATAAATTTTGTCGCAGGAATATTTCGTACAAATTTTGTTTTATTATTTTTAGCCACTTTGTTTTTAATTATTGGTGTCTCAGTTTCCCTTATTACCATTGAATCTTTAATGATGCAATTATCCAGTTATATTCGACAAATCTCCACTTGGCTTTTTGACATGCTCATTTTCGGCCTTGTTTTGATTCACCAGTTTGCAATATTCTTTGGAGGCTTACTTCGGGATTTGTTCATTTTGTTACATTATGTTTTATTTTACAGTTACATTTTGTTTGTTCGTTGTATTTTTCTTATCAATTTTTTACAATGTTTAGCTAGGTATGTACAAAGCCATACACATAATGCATGAAGGCGAAGCCTGATTACAACTGATATAGGATGACATTGTAACATGAGCCAGGGTCAATAAGAAACTTAAGATTTCATGAGATGAGGAATGAGAGTCCCTTAATTATGAATATATAGAATCCAAACAAACCAAGCGTGTCTCGCAAGTGCATCGTTGGTTTTTGGTTTGAATCTACTTAGTGCTTCATAATTTTCCCTCGGTCATTTAAAACTAAAATCCTGTGAATTAAGGTCACATATGTTTAAATTGTTTGCTACAAGTCTCCATTCCATTCATCAGTCGAATCTTATGCAAAACATTCACTTCATCCACTGATTATGCAACTCCCAGATCACCATTGTTTTCTTGAAGTATATTGAATTTGTTGGCGTCTTTGTTGGTTTACAATAGAGGGCGCTGCTGTCTAAAGTTGGACAAATTCATGTTTTAGAAATACATGTACGTCTTAGTTGAAATTGATTTTTGTAACGCCGCAATAAATGCCACTGGGTATCCGAGAAAGAGTCGAAGGCAAATATACAAAGCCGGCTTTCAAAGCCGGCTTTTAAAGCAGGCTTCTACAGTACATCAGAAGCCGGCTTCTGGCGTCACCAAAAAGCCGGCTTTTAAAAACCGGCTTTGAATGACTTACAGAAGCCGGCTTCTGCAGTTACCAAGAAGCCAGTTTTAAAAGCCAGATTCTCTCTCTCAATCATTTTGTTGTGCATTATGCATCTTATTCTCGTATAATAAGCATGGAAATGAGAAAAAAATGAAAATAAGTAAAATTGTAACATCTTGCAAGATTTTTTGCAAAAAGTAATTTCAAACCAAAACTATTGGGGAAATTTAATTCTAAGTAAAAATATCGATGAATTAAATCATGTTCGTTAAATAAGAGTAGATTATGCATTGCATTTCTGTTTGATAAAAACGCATCGCTCATTTTACAAAACTGGCTCCAACTTGGGTCCAGTTTGCAAATCAGCTCGCTCCATCCTACACAAGATATGTAGGGGCAATCTAGCAACTGGGAATCACGGGATACTGTTTCATGATAATTGTTATGTGCATTATGCATCTTATTCTCGTATAATTTGCATGAAAATGAGAAAAAACTGAAAAATACGTAAAATTATTACATATTTCAAGATTTTTTGGAAAAAGTCATTCCAAGCCAAAACTATGACAGTAAATTGAATTCTAAGCACAGATATCTATGAATAAGATCAAATTCATTAAATCAGAATAGATTATGCATTGCATTTCCGTTTAATAAAAACGCACCGCTCATTTTTCAAAACTGGCTCCAACTTGGAGCCAGTTTGCAAATCAGCTCGCCCCATATGACAAATGCTATGTAGGTACAATTTGGTAACTTGGAATCACGAAATACTATCTCACGATTATTTTTATGTGCATTACGCATGTTATCCTCGTATAATTTGCATGAAAATGAGAAAAAAACTGAAAAATACATAAAATTGTAATATATTTCAAGATTTTTTGCAAAAAGTCATTTCAAGCCAAAACTATGAGAGAAAAATCAATTCTAAGTAAAAATATCGATGAATTAGATCACGTTCACTAAATCAGAATAGATTATGCATTGCATTTCCGTTTAATAAAAACGCACCGCTCATTTTTCAAAACTGGCTCCAACTTGGAGCCAGTTTACAAATCAGCTCGCTCCATCTTACACAAGCTATGTAGGGACAATCTAGCAACTGGGAATCACGAAATACTGTCTCACGATCATTTCTATGTGCATTATGCATCTTATTCTCGTATAATTTGCATGAAAATGAGAAAAAACTGAAAAATACGTAAAATTGTAACTTATTTCAAGATTTTTTGCAAAAAGTCATTTCAATCCAAAACTATGAGAGAAAATTCATTTCTAAGTAAAAATTTCTTGCAAAAAATCTTGAAATAAGTTACAATTTAACGTATTTTTCAGTTTTTTCTCATTTTCAGGCCAATTATACGAGAATAAGATGCATAATTCACATAAAAATAATCGTGAGACAGTATCCCGTGATTCCCAGTTGCTAGATTGCCCCTACATAGCTTGTGTAAGATGGAGCGAGCTGATTTGTAAACTGGCTCCAAGTTGGAGCCAGTTTTGAAAAAGAATCAGTGCGTTTTTATTTAACGGAAATGCAATGCATAATCTGTTCTGATTTAGTGAACGTGATCTAATTCATCGATATTTTTACTTAGAAATAAATTTTCTCTCATAGTTTTGGCTTGAAATGACTTTTTGCAAACAATCTTGAAATAAGTTACTATTTTACGTATTTTTCAGTTTTTTCTCATTTTCATGCAAATTATACGAGAATAAGATGCATAATGCACATAGAAATGATCGTGAGACAGTATCCCGTGATTCCCAGTTGCTAGATTGTCCCTACATAGCTTGTGTAAGATGGAGCGAGCTGATTTGTAAACTGGCTCCAAGTTGGAGCCAGTTTTGAAAAATGAGCAGTGCGTTTTTATTAAACGGAAATGCAATGCATAATCTGTTCTGATTTAGTGAACATGATCTAATTCATCGATATTTTTACTTAGACTTCAATTTTCTCATATAGTTTTGACTTAAAACGACTTTTTGCAAAAAATCTTGAGTTATGTTATAATTTTACATATTTTTCAGTTTTTCCTTATTTTCATGCAGATTATACGAGAATAAGATGCATAATCCACATCAAAATGATCGGGAGACAGTATCTCGTGATTCTCAGTGGTTAGATTGTCCGCTTATAGCTTATGTTTAATGGTGCGAGCTGATTTGAAAACTGGCTCCAAATTGGAGCCAGTTTTGAAAAATGAGCGGTGCGTTTTTATTAAACAGAAATACAATGCATAATATTTTTGGAATTGATGAACGTGATCAAATTCATCGATATCCATGCTTAGAATTCAATTTACCCGTATAGTTTTGCAAAAATATGACAATATAAACTATATTCAAAAGCCATCTTAGAACTGCAACGTCAGTAAGTAAGAAGCCAGTTTTAAAAGCCGGCTTCTTGGTGACTCCAGAAGCCGGCTTCTGTTGTCCTTCAGAAGCCGGTTTTTAAAAGCCGGCTTCTTGTTGACTGTAGAAGCCGGCTTCTGTAGTACGTAAGAAGCCAGTTTGTAAAAGCCGGCTTCTTGGTGACTCCAGAAGCCGGCTTCTGTTGTCCTTCAGAAGCCGGCTTTTAAAAGCCGGCTTCTTGGTGACTCCAGAAGCCGGCTTCTGTAGTTCGTAAGAAGCCAGTTTGTAAAAGCGGTTTTTGCCTTCGAGTACTTCTGGGGTATCCAGTGGCTTGGTGTTAGATTAGTTTATAATAAAATAAATAAATAATGTAGTAAATTAAATGTGAATACTTCTTTGTGTTCGATTTGGTTTTATAGTGGTACTGGGTTGTTTATATGTAGAGTAACATTTACTAACTTACACAGGAATAAGGATGAAAAAGTTGGACCAATAACTGACATAATTTTTCATGAATTTCTCACTGGATGAACTTAAAGCATTCCTAACATACAAATATTTTGTTTAACTCAAGCTTTTCAAAAATAACTGGAAAAAAGCAGCTCCATGGAGTAGCAACAAAATAACAACAAAAAAATATTTTGATTATTAGTGGCCAACTTGAAAATTACTTCTTGAGCAGAGCGTGTTTGTCCATAGGCATCAACAAATACAATGTAAACCATATCCGTCAATTAGCATTTGAGTCAATTAAAGATTACATTCCTTTTTTAATAAAAATGGCAGGCATTTTGAAATTCAGCCGCCTTTTTGAAAATCTCTCTCTAACAGAGTTACTGTGTCCCTAGGTATCAGCATATAAAAGTTGAACCAAATCTGTTCACTGCTATTTAACTCTTGTAGGCAAAATAAAGACTTACTTTTTTGACTTCATAGTATTTCCAATGGATTGACGAGTACTTTATCTTTCATTAGACATCAAACAGCTCAAAAGGGCCACATCAAAGCTTACAATAAATTATTAAAAATATTTTTATATATCAAATTTTTACCAACGTCAATGAAAGATGGCGAAGTTAAAAAAAAAGTTATAAAATTTAAAAATAATTACTACACTATATCTTCCAGTTATAACAAAAAACGTAAAATAAAGTTCATAAAAATGGTCGCCATTTTTCAAAATGACCGTCTGCTGGCCAAAGCGTCATTAGACGAGATGTGCTTCTAAGGAGTCACATATAAATATAAACAAAATCGCTACGAGTAATTGTAAAATTTAAAAAAAATGCATTTAACGGCCACCATTTTTCAAGATGGCTACCATCTGTAAACATTTATGGAGGCCGTTTTGTAACCGGTGGCCTTTTTTTAAACTGGCTGGCATAAGTGTATAAATTTTGAACGATAGTATAGGTCAATGATACTTTGTTTTCTCCCGGACAGAAGGACGGATGGATATATTCTCTTTATCCTCCGAACTTCCCTCTATATGACATTGTAAACCTTAATGTTTTTCATCCACACTCTTATGAGTCATGCATTGATATATGTGCACTTCAATCTCTCTACTTCTATACTTTTTAATTTATGGATTTGAACTAAACATATTGCTAGTTTTGCCATGATGTTTAAATGATAAGACTAAATGCATAAAGATAGGTTAGTTTTGTTAAGTATTTTGTTCTGACAAAAATTTCAAAATGGATTTGAGTATTACCGGCATTCTATATGTCTTCGAAAAAATTGAGTTCAAGGGAAGTGGAAGTGTTTGATATTTAAGTACAATAAGAGACATACTTGGGTTAGACGTGCAATATTTTGTAATGATATCATCAAACCCTTCAAATGCGTTTTCAAAACTCTTCAAAACCGTACAAAGTATGATTTTAATTATTTGAAAAATGCACTTTGATGAGATAACGATACACCTAAAACAAACACAATTCAAGTAGGCTAGTGTTTTACTTCTAAGAACCACTTCGAATAATATTGAGATTTTTGATGAACAAAACTATGAATCCAAACTAGCGAAATATAGAAGATACGTAGAGATCCAGACGATTCAAGGTGAACTTCCATTACAATGGGAAACATTTTTGCTGAACCAGCTGAAAACGACAACCAACCTTCGGTGAGTCTTTATAGACACTAATGAAGAACTTTAGCCAGGCTAGAAATGGGACACGATAACGTGATTCTTGAAATGGTTCTAAACTGAGGCGTAACAATTTGATTGCAGTCTAGCTACCAGCCTTTGCACTTATACTGCTCGTGTATATTGATGTACAGTCTATTTAAAAGATCAGATTCAAAGATGTCCGAAATCAGAGTCGTATAAAACAATAAATATTTCATGGTGGGTAAAGTTAAAATTGGGCCTTAACAACTAATGTATTTATATTTCAGAGCTTAGGTCAAACTGCTTTAGAAAGATTGCGGGATCAGCTAGAGTGTCCAATCTGCTATAAAGACTACTCTTCCGTTCCACCAAATCCACCAAAGATTCTTCGCTGTGGACACAGTTTTTGTGCTATATGTATCGGAAGGTTGAAAACTTACAACAGCATAAAATGTCCCCTTTGTCAAAAACAAACCACCAGTAATGGAAGAAGAAGGAATTTACCGGATAACTTCTTGGCAAAACAAATCCTTGAATCAGTCGATGAAGTGTCAAAAATAAATTCTACACACAGACGTTGCAGTACATGTTCGAGGGAACAGGTGCAGATATCCACAAACGATCAGAGCACAATGACCAACAAAAAGCCTACTTCTGACAAATCTACTATGACATTACCTGAGACAAACAGGACATTACAAAGAATCAAACAGCAAGCACTGAATTTCATTATATTTCCTTTTGTTTTGCATGTTTTGTGCTATTGTATTGAACAGTTTGTCGATTTAGTGCATTTTGTATCCACGAGCACTTGGCATTACGACATTTTCATTTTGTTTTGCAAATGTATATTTTTTGCAACAGTTATAGTTATTTTTATCTCATTATTGATAGGTTGTCCGAATTTCATGATATTTTCTGTTATTTTCATTGTATGCTATTATTGTTTTGGATTGGTTATCGATTTCATGTGTTTAGTGTTCACGAGCACTTGGCATTACGAAATGTTCGTTTTCATTTGCTTATGTACCCTTTTTGCTATAGTTGTGCTTATTTTTGGCAAAATATTTTGGGAACAACACAAACGTGCTTAAAGTATATGGAGAAGCATATAGAGTACACAAGTGTCGGAAGTCGAGAACTATAAACAGGGCGAATCGAAGTTTGGTCCGATCTTTCCTTGATGCGATGTTTGCGAGATAACAGCAACGCCAAAGCTCCCATAAAACAGCCATGGCTGCCATTTTTGCAAAACCCTTCTACTACTTTGCGGCAAAAATCGAAAAATAACAAATAAAAATGAACACCATTTTCAAAATGGTCGCTCATTAGCCAAATCGTCATCACAAAGTGTAATATGCTTCTAAAGGCACATATAAAATGTCAACAAAATCGCACACACGTACATGTAATTGGCGGCCATTTCACTGGTGATCCACTCGATTACGCTGGTTACCGAAACGGTTCGTTTCGGTAACAAAATGTCGGAACATCGAAGGTACGATTTTTCTTTTTTCCTTGTTTCACACGTTGTAGGCAGAATTCCCACGACATTTTTAACACAGCGTATATATTTGCGAACAAATAGTTCAGAAGACAACAGAGTCGTCGATTTAATTACTCACTTAAGTAAACGGTTTTCGAAAAACAGTTAAGATCTGCACTTTTAACCCAAACCGTTTATGTAACTTAAGTGAGGAATTAAATCGACGATTCTGTTGTCTGTTCATATGATGCTGATATACGTTTGTGAGAAAAAACGTCGTTGGGATTCTGCCTACAACGCGTGAAATAAGGAAAAAAGAAAAATCGTACCTTCGACGTTCCGACATTTTGTTACCAAAACGAACCGTTTCGGTAACCAGCGTACTCGAGCGGATCACCAGTGCGTTTTTCAAAAGCAGAACTTCTACCCCCATATGGTATATGTACTAAACAAAATCAGTTATCGCCCGGACGGACGCACAGAGGCGTTCACTTATATCTCTTCGAACTTCGTTCGATGGAATTATAAGTCTTTCGGTGAGATCTTACCGTTGATACCATATTTTACAATTTTCACTATTGTTTGCATTACATGTAGATACCGTATATTAGTACTATCATAATAGGATTTTATTTGTACTGATGCCCTTTTGAGGCCAAATATAGTACATTACAATTTTCAATTATAGTTTGAAAATTATATGTACATATGCAGTGCTATTAAGTCACTAATAATGATATACATCATACTAAGAATACTTCCTGAAAAGTTCATGTCTACGTGTATATCTTTCCCATTTATGTTATCCTAATGTTGTATTTGCGTTTGGGAGCCGATTCATTCCAGTCCTTAAATGTATGGCCTTATGATTATGTATGATAATGAAGATTTAGCTGTAATTCGTGCACTGGTTGTGTATTGAAACTTATGAAAACAAATGACCTGATGACGAAGTGATTAACACGTCCTTAAATATGAATGAGGGTATTACGGGGTATTAATTTTTATATTCCTAAATCAAAGGACAATAATTAGCCGTATCTCCATCAATTCTAATTTTCCACTAAGCATGTTCAAAACATACTAGTATTCTATAGAAAAGATGTATTCTGTCTTTATTTTTCCTTTTTTTCATTCATGAAATATAATCATTATCGAGTGTTACATTTACACACTGTAAACACGTTACGTAATTCAATTTCAAAAAATAGTTGTATCATGTCCGGCTATTAAGCGATTTCGTGATAGGAGTGAATTTTTAATTTACATTTTGCCTTGCCTATTTTCAGATCCTAACTACTCCTCTTGCTTAAATTGCCAAGATATCGTACATACAGGAAATTTCATGATTATGACATAATGAAAGGTACTCAGATTAAAGAGGTGTTTGGAATTACAGTTTTACTAAGTGGCCTGTTCTAAGAAACACAAATATTTAAATTTGAAATTATATTGTTTTTATTGTTTTTAATGCAGCAGTTTCATCACAGATTTTAACAAACAATATTAACATCACATTTTCACAAGACATTGAACTCTTTTAAAAGGAGAACAACTTTTACTGAAAAATGAGTTGTCATAGTTAAATGATGTAAAATTCATAGTCAATAGTAAACTTAAAGGCAGAGTCAGATCTATGGAGGTGAAAATTGACCTACCAATCTATTCCTTACAATCTCAAATACAATATCTCCCAAAAGATTCAGGCTATGTTATAAATTGGTGAAGTTATAATGGATTCATTCTGATTCAATCTGATTCTCTCTTTAAGTAGAAATATTAGACAATAGGACACTTCAATTCACTCAAATGAAACCATAACATCAGTTTTTGAGGTGCGCATGCGCAGTAGCACTACAGTAAAACCTGTGTATGTGGAACGCCTTTGATATCTTAAAATAATGTTTTGGAGGTATTTTAAAGAGGGACTAGAGAACTAGTATGTAAAGGGCTAACGGAACTTTAGAAGTGTTCCACTTAAGAATAAACCATTTATCTTAATACTTTAAAATCTCATAGAAGTATAAACATATATGTGAATATAAAACAATGGACGGAATAATATACAATGTCTTCTAGAATATATTTATATATTACACTTTGATGCTCATACATTTAAACCCCATGGATATATCCAAGGTCAGCATACAGAGAACTGAAACCTTGAATATTCAGGGATTTAGTCTTATAAATATCAGCAATAATACTTTTATAATAATTTAATAGGTAAATAGTAGCCAGGACAGGTAAAATCAATAAAAACGATAATTCCTGTCTGGGCTACTATTTTTATTGGTTACTAATCTCAGGGTCATAAATAGAAACTTGCTTAGAATTCTTTGAGTTTTTTTCTTTTCTGTCTATGACATCTTTATTTCCATGGATACAATAATAACTCGGTCTCTGTTAATGGCCCTCTAACTGATAAATAAAGATTTGTAGGTAACAAATTAAAAAAATTGTTTTTATTATCTCTCCCCAATTTTCAATTAATATACATTTTAGTTTAGTTCTTGGAATGTTTGACATTGGATTGTTTGAAATACTTCTCCACATCTTCTTAATATACTACAATTTGAGTTTTGGATTCTAAATTAAAACTGTGGAGTTGTTGCCTTATGGCTTGATTGTCGACTTTCTGGGTTTGTGGCACTACCCAATTGTCCTCTTCTACCATGACCTCCTTTACTCTTAGAGGCCCCTTCATCAAAGTCACCAAATAAGTCATCATCATCAACATTGTTGTTTTTGGCAGGTTGTTTAGATGCATCATTGTTGTCATCTCCAAATATATCATCATCATTGTCTTTGGATTTTTGATCTTCATCTTTTTTGCGTTTTGAGTCAGCGGCAAGTTTAGCAAAAAAGTCATCATCATCGTCACTCTCAGCTGTGGGTAGGGGTGACGCAGGAGATTTAGGTTTTTCTGGGGGTGGGGATTCAGCTTTTGGTTGTGGTGATGGTGTTTTTGGTTTTGTGTCATGATTGTCCATATTTGGTTCTGTGACTTCCCTAATTGGGCTTTGTGGCTGTTGTTGATTGGTCGACTGGTTAAGAGATTCATTGGATTCGTATTTCCCAGATTCCTTTGATGATTTTTTACTTGATAGAGATTCCTTAGAGCCACGCTTTTCACTGTTTTTTGTTGATTTTTTACTCGATAGAGACTCCTTGGAACCATGTTTTTCACTACTTTTCGTTGATTTTTTACTCGCTAGAGACTCCTTAGAACCACGCTTTTCTGATTGTTTCTCAGCGAGTGATTCTTTCGAGTCATATATTTCTTTTGCTTTACCCAATGATTTCTTACTGGAACTCGACAGTTTAGAATCACTCCTGTCATGAGCCGACCTCCTCGATTGACCTCCTTCTGACATCCTGTCCGCTACAGACCCCTTAGACTCATAACGACTAGATTTCTTGCTCACATAGGATTTCTCAGATTTAGCTGCTAAGGACTCTGTGGACTTATACTTTTCATTGTCATTAGAGCCATCCAATTGAGCTTCAGAGTTATTGTTATTTGTGTTATCTGCATTATTGTTCGAATTCAGGTCATCATCACGTTTTACTGGTTTATCGCGTGTCATCATTAAATCTGGCGGGAGAGGAGATGCCTGTGGCGACATCTTTTTGTATGACAGTTGGGAGTCATTCGACCTGGAATTATATCAAATTTTATAAATCAGGAAACGCAAATTTAAATGTGAGATTCGAAACCAAACATGTCTCTTATTATATACTACATTGAATATGTTTACATCATATACAATAAAGTCCATAAAGACTCTTTATGCATTTCACATACTTTGTATTGTCATTGTAAAGAGACTCTATGGACACCTTCAATGTTGCCATAGAGAAACACAAGGCATTAGCATGCAACCACCTGCCATGTGTTACAGATGTCAAACACTAGACACCAAAGGCAGAACACCATCACAAAAAAGTTTGAGACCATACAATGTCACCACTTTAGTTGTTGTCAAGTACATGTAATTCATAGATGATTCTTCCTAAAATGAATGCAGAAAGACAAACCTGTGAGTTTGACCTCCATCCTCAGGTGCTTCCGTCTCTTGTTCTTCCTCCCCCTTATCCAGGGATTTATTTAAATTTGCTGCTCTCGCAGAGGCTCGAGATTTAGCAGTGGTGGCCCTAGATCCAAGTGTGGTTCGGTGTGTATCTGCTCTGGAAGGTGCAGGTGTTGCAGAGGCAATACTTCGGCTTGCCATCACTGGTGGACCGCTAGGCTTAGGGGCTGCGTATGACCTTGACTTTTTCACCTGGCCCTCAGGTACACCTGATATGTGAAAAACAAAACCCAGGAATAATTTCAAAGTTCATAAAAACATATTTAAGAGGAATCAGAAATAAAATACCATGGTTAACTAATCTGTTTAAAAATGCATGGAAATCGAACAATTATTTAAATCTTAGAAAAAATTGAAAAACTATGAAATAGCCAATATGAAATATAAACAAAAGTTCTCATGTGCTTGATTTCCAAGTTTGAAAATGGTGGTTTCTTATTTAAAGGTGCAACAATTAGTGCAGAGGGGCCATTCAAGGATCATAGACCAGTGTCAAAATATATTTAAGTTTAGATATTTCATCAAGACTAACATATATTTTCATTATCTACAAAGAAACCCCCTGGATGAACATTATTTCAGCTGATATTCCTCTTGAAACATAAAGTGGGACTCCCTTTATAGAAGCTTTGACCTGAATATACACTTCTTAATGCTAAAATTGATAGTTTATCCATACATTTTAAGAAAATAGGTATCAAAGAAGGTGTTAAGCTGAATATTGACCTGATAGCTCAGAAAAAATAAAAATTTTCGAATTTTCTCTCTACAGTCCTTGTTGCCCCTTTAATGGTCTTGATGCTTGCACCATTTATTCACCTGTATCTAAGATAAGTGCAGTTCCACTGTTTATCCACCTTGATTGAGGCTCAGCAGTTGGAATCGGCAGAGCACAAACACACACTTGACGTGCCTAAAATAAGACCAATATTGAATGACCTGCAATATACATGTAATAGAGACTAATATGACCTCCTTGTAATTTGATAACTTTATGGATTTTAGATCCAATCTTTCTACATCTTAATTTGTCCAGAATATGAAATATGATGACAGAATGAATAATTGAAAAAAAATACATAGCAATTTATTATTGGTTGTTAAAACATTTAGGGATAAACAAGGCAGCAAACTGTTACTACCTTCCATTTGTTACAGACACTGAATGCCAAATGCTAAACACCAACCACCGAACATTTTTTAGTCAACACCACTTCTGGTGGTGACATAGATATGATTGCTTGCATTTTATTTATTTATATACCTTATTCATGAATACTGGGCATTGATACTTCTCCATCTGCTCCTCCGCTTCCGTATCCTTGTTCTGATCTTTCTCTTCATCTTGAGATTCATCCCTAGTTTCTATGACAACAGGCCTGATGTAGAGACGAGGCATATCAAACAGACAGGCGCTGAAGAATGAAATTGAAACATAAGTATGTATGACCTACATTTAAACAGAGAGATTTACTAGCTGACTTATATTGTTCTTAAAAAGTTACATGCACTTATGAAAATGCTTAAACAAACTAGAGCCCTATAGAGCAATAAAAAATATTAAAGAATTTTGATTTGGTTTGGAATCCCTTTCATATCAGTCAATTACAGGGTGTCCAAAAAAACGGGACCGTAAGAAAGTTGAATAACTCGATCAATTTTGCATATTTTGCCTTGAAATTTAAGAATCATTTAGTTCATTCAATGTGAATTTTGTTCTGAAAGTTTGATGATAATCTGTTTATTGTGTCAAAAACTACAGTCCTTTACAAAACATGCTCAAAGTGGGCACTTCTCCTCTCAATGCACAAACGAATCCTGCGAACAAAGTTGTTAAATTAATGACCCTTACCTATACACATTAATGTGGATGGTAAATATTGGGGTAGTTATTGCCCTCTTAAGATTGTTAGGGGCCTGTCAGTATACACACTGGCTTTGAGAAACCCTCAAAGATAAAAATTTAGGGGATTTAGATCAGGCGAATGAGCTGCCCATATGGTTTGCGTTCTGCAACTGATGAGCTGACCACCAAAGCATTGCCTAAACCATTTCAGCATATCATTTGCAGTGTTGGGGTGGTATTGGCTTGTTGAAACCACTGCTTAATTATCTCCTTAGATGTCCCTTCTGGTGCTTATTGACCTCCAAAACTTGGTGAGAACTTACTGGTCATTATTCATGGTGATAGCAAGTCCCCAGTCACCTTTGAACCAAAAGGGACTGATGATTCCATGTTTTCTCATTGCCACCCAGGGAGTGCGTTGTTCAGAATGCAATGGGTGCTGTAACACTTCATCAGGAGGATGTAAGCCCCAGTAGCAATTGTTCTTGGAACAAACTTGTCCATTCAGATAGACATGTGTGTAGGAGGATCATCAACAGCTTTGTTCGCCGGATTGAATCGTGCATAGAGATGAGATTTGCACATTTGGGGCATGTTTTGTAAGGAGCTGTAGTTTTTGACTCAATTGGTAGATTATTACAAAACTTTCACAACAAAATTCACATTGAATGAACTAAATAATTCTGCAATTTCAAGGCAAAATATGCAAAATTGACCGAGTTATTCAACTTTCTTACGGTCCTGTTTTTTTTGGACACCCTGTACTAGGTTCAATTTTTAAAAATTAATAAATCAAACTGCAATGACTTGAGATTAAAAGTAAATGTGAAGATAGTCAAGCTCAAAGTTCTACATACCATACAAGTCTTCATGTTTATCATAATTAATTAATTCAAAAAATGAGGTGATATTCAGTGCTCATCTCTACATACACCGTACATTATTGCACTTATTATTTGTCATGATCTTGTTTTTAATGAGCGATTAAGTTAAAATATCATTGATAACATGTTGGTGATCATTAAATATCCGCAGTGATTAGGTGAGACCAAATGTAAAGAAAATTGCAAAGATCTAATCGTGCAGAGACGCAGAGATGTAGCAGTTGTATGAACAATGTATTCTGATGCAGAACTACAAAGTCATGTAAGATATTTATTATTTATATATTTATAGAATCATATTTATTGAAACATACTTTATTCTACTTCATTTGTACTCATTCATAATTCAAATATTTGCGTCAGATCCTCCTAACACAGGAGAGATGGGGATGGACAAAATTTTGGTGGGGAATTTCTGGGGAAACCTTGTAAGTCAATATTTACAATCTTCCACACTTGTAGCAAACATAGCTTAAGTCAAGTATACTTAAAATTACGATTACTTAGCTGCAATATCCATTTCAAAAGACTTTACTCCCAGTATAACACAACAAGGCATTAACATAACAAAATGTCCTAGTAGTTGCTCACAATATTATAAGTTCAATCTTAAGTCAGATTTGAATTTCTGAGAACTCTGAAGATGATTTTGAAAAAACATTGATCGATTTGAAGCAAGTTCTTTGACCCTGAGAAGGTCATTGAAGGTGAAATCTCAAATCTAAAGTCAGATTTGAAGTTCTGAGAACTTATAGATGATTTTTAAAAAAATTGGTCAATTTGAAGCAAGTTGAAAAAAGACCACTTTGACCATGAGAAGGTCATTGAAGGTCAAATCTTTTTTGACCTTGAGAATGTCATTGAAGGTCAAATCTATAGCCAGATTTGAACTTTTGAGAACCTACATAATTTTGAAATAAAATTGGTAAATTTGTAGCAAGTTAAAAAATACCTTTTTGACCTTTCTTTGACCTTGAGAAGGTCATTGAAGGTCAAAGCTTAAGTCTAAAGTCAGATTTGAATTTCTGAAAGCTTGTAAATGATTTAGAAAAAAATGAAGTCAGTATAAGTTATTGGAAGTTGTAAGAATTTGTTATAGCCTTCGTCCACTGACCACCATCCGCCACCCACCGATTGCCAACCACCAACCGCCGCCAAACAAATGGAGACCATAACAATTCGTTACCACTTCTTGGTGGTGGGATAAAAATCAAAATTCTCTTGGGCTCTTCCCACATTGTGGTCTCACACAAAAATGAATGATGCATTAATACCAGAATGTGTGTCTTGAATATTGAAAACAAGGCTCATTCATATCTGATTCTATTTCAGAAGTCGCTTCAAAATGGATACAAAGCTTTGGGTGAACACATTTGTTGTCCAATCTGTAGCCATGCCTATACTACATCTGTACTGCGACCAAAAATTCTTCATTGTGGACATAGTTTCTGTGCTCAATGTCTGAAGCAATGGCAAAAACAGAAGAACATGCAATGCAGTGTTGAATGTCCATCATGCCGAGAAACGACAAATATCAAACAAACAAAGACTAATTTGCCAGACAATTTCTTAGCGCTTGAAATTCTAGATGCTATAAATGAAACAAAAGAAATGAATCCTCTCCACATTTGTGCCAAGTGTAATGGGAAACATGTCAAATGTGTTGACAAAGTTACAAATTCGAACGAACAAAAAGATGAAAGCACCACAACAGCACTTAGTCAATTGTACATATATGTATGGGATTTTATTGCAAGATTGAATACTAAATTAATCAGGATTGTCTTAACTTTGGTCCTTCTCATTATACTTGGGGAATTAAGTATTCGTATTTTAAGAATTATCACTGAATTTGTTTCTTTCAATCGTATCTCTGAACTTGCCAAGATGATTAGTACAAATATTGCTTTTGCAATTCTTATTTTTTATACGTTTAAGGATTGTGTTCGCATTGAGAGGCCTACTATAAGGCCTAGGAGGACTAATAGAAGAAGGAGATTTTGAGCGAGTTCTATAGAAAACAAGGAATTAATTACATGCACAATGTCACCAAACACCAACTCTTGGATGTCGAACACCGACTGCTGAACACCAAAAATGGAGACTATAATGATTTATCAGCACTTGTGGTGTTGACATAACAACAAGTGAAACAGAAACTCCCCAGAGTTTCATACAATGTCATATCTACTAAACAAAATATGTTTTTATCAATTTGAAATCACTATTAATTTGGCACATTTCATGTAGTAATGTTTCCTTTTGAAAAAAAGGATGATTATTAATATCTTATAGATTTTTGGGTAGTACTGAGTGTCAAGAAACAACTGTCATGCTCAGTGAATGAAAGATACATGTACCTCTTAGAAAAATCAAATATATGGCCAATAATATAATATTTGCAGCAATAAAATATATTATCATAAAAAAAACTGTGTACTAGAATTATGTCATATCCAGGAAATAATTTTGGTTGCAGTCATAAATGTGTATAATTCTTAGTTTGTAGTTGATTTTATAACCTTTTCTTCTGACATCTTGTATTGTATTGTCGATTGATGTTTTTTTTTAATTGACGACAAACATAGAACTTAATTGTATATTTTTCTTGATCTTGAAAAAATAACAAGTCATATTGCATAACCTACAGTGTATAGATCACAGGAAGAAATCAATTTATTTTTTAGCTTAATTCTCCAGTCTTACCTTGCATCAGAGAGAGTCCCATTTTCACTATCCCATGATGCACCTTGCAAGGATAGTCCATTCACGATGAGACCTCCTTCATCCTCAATGTCCATCTCTTGATCGTCTTCCAAAACATCGCACGCTAGTGACACCTATTAATGAATGTTGTTTTTAAAAATGATTTCTATCATACAATAACAGATGTGTACTGGCACATTGTGGAGGTTATTTGTATTTAACCTTTTGAAGTATTATTCAACCTTTGGAATTATTTTTTAACCTTATCGTGGCACATGTTCATGAAAATGTAAAAATTCCCAGTACAGATAGTGGCAGTCAGATAAAGCACTTAAATAAAGCTCAGTCATATTTTTAAAACCATTTCTGCCAAAATGAATTAATCACAATACTACAAATGCTTTACTTGTAATATGTTACTTCAGAAAACTACACATACCTGATCAATTGTAGTACCAGAAACAACAGCTTTCTCCTGGCGAAGTGCCGTAAATAATGCTTGTGGATTAACGAGACCTCCGATCCAGAGAGACTCCAAGTGCCCTCTGGGGGCAATCTGAGACATCATATGGTCCTCCGTGAATGTTGGCACCATTCCAAGTTTTACCCATTCTCGTAACTGCTGGTAACGTTTCTTCATATCTGGAAATATAATATGATGTTACAACAAGTATCGTATGTTTCTTCATATCTTGAACATGTTCAGTAAAATGTTAATGTTAAAATATTCTCAGTAAACCTGTGTACATTGAACATGTGCACCCTCTGTACTGGTCTAAATAGTTCCTTATAGACAAATGTTACTTACAATGAGGGTTCATTAACATGTAATTATTCAGAATGAATCCTCTCTTTCAAATTAACCTCCAGGAGCTAAGATATAAATTAATGTGTGAGTTGGGCTGTATCCACTGCATGGTTACCATAGAACAATAGCTCATAATCTCCTTCTCCCCCTAAATATTTACCTTGAAGCCAAGACATAAGGGTGTGTGTACTAGGCTGACAATTTGGATGTATCCATTCCATGGGGACCTGTTCCTGCTGTAAGCTCTGTGCAGTGTTCAATAATGATCCAGGTATGATTTCAGGGCCCCCTAATAGGTGGCTCTGCAGTGTATGAATATTCTGTCGGGCATGACATAGGAGAGAATTTAACCATTGGCATTCCTAGAAAAATACAAGGAAGATTCTAAATGTAATAATATGTTATATTTATTTGTAAAACTATTATCTTTAATTCAAGTTTTATTCCTTCTATTTGGCAATAAAGATCGACACATTTCTGATCTACACGATTTTACATCATATTTTACGTATTTATATGTTCTTTTAATTTGTATTTGGCAACGCTTAGAAACAGAAAGCTATTTTTAATTCAATGTTCATTCTCGCTCTTATTTGGCTATACAATAGATTTATTATTTTTTGATCTAGATACAACACTATTTTTCATGCATTATTTCATACACAAGCAAACCCCTACCTGTAGCAAGACAAATCCTAGTGACTCTGGCATCATAGTCGTAGACGCACTAGCCATGCTAAGCACACTTGGTCGATGATACGGAAAGTCATACTCCCCAAACATGGCCTTCTGGGGGATGTCCCCCAGTTCTAACAAAGGAGGGAAACTCTCCAAGCAGAGATCCAAAGAAATGCGTAATTTCTCCATGTTCAGTTCTGGGGCACTAAGTTGTCTGATGTCACCCAAGTCATCATTCTGAGAACTATAGATGTGCTCCAATAGCTTGATAAAATCTGCCCCACTGAAATAAAATGTTATTTTAAATATTTACATGCTGTTTGGAAATAGTTTTGAACAATATATATATCTTGATTGGCAAGCCATATTCAAGGAATTGAAATTCTTGACATTTGATCAATCTACATCTGTATATAACTGAATTGCCATGAATGAGCTAAACTTCTCTATTTCCTTATAAACTGCACATTGTTATAGCCAATTTATTGAACAATATTTCTGGATTGGCAAGCCATACCTTGATTCATTTCTCTCTCGTTGTACAGATGCATTCAAAGACAAAACATTGACACTTGAAAAGTCTTCTTGAACCTTCTCCTCAAGCCAAGTGCCAAAATTTGCCGGCTCTGAAACATAACAAAAGACAAATGTTGTTTGTGGAAAATGACTAACATGAACCAAAATGCCTTTAATTGAAAATTATTCACAGAGGTCAGTTTACTATTTTCATTAGGTAATAATGACCATGTTATGTATGTCTCCTTTCTTTCTCCATTGTAACTTAATTACATAGTACTTTAGGAATATAGACCAATCAGGCAAAAATACAATGGATCAAAGTGACATATTGTTTTACAATAAGACTTTAAACAAGACATTATAACATGCAAATGTCACCACATGCCATTTGTTACAGACGCCGACCACCTATCTTCAAATCCTGAATGCCGACCACCAAATGCAGACTACCAAACACTGTCCACAAAAAAGCTGGAGACTATAACAATACTGTGTCACCACTTGTGTTGGTGACATAAAAATGTTCTTGAATTTACTAAATCACTTACCAACATTAGCAGGTGGCACAGGAATTTCAACATCTCCTAGTTTAATAGAAGCTTCCCCATGGATGACACTCGACATAACATGTTGAATGAGGCCCCAAACGTACTGTTGGTCCCAGTGGGCTGGCATCAGATTCTTATACACGAGATCACACAATACCTGGAATCATAAAAATATGTATTACATATTATTTATGAGACATTTAAAACAAAGCGTTAACATGCAAAAAGTAACTACCTGCCATTTGTTACAGACACTGACCACCAAATGCCGAACACCATCCGTAAAAGAAAGTTGAAGACTAACAATACCAATTTTTGTGACGACATATAAATCAAAAGATCCAACTGTTGTCTGTTTAGAAACAATGAACCAATAAATAGTACTATGGGTACAGTCGGCTGGACAGACAGATAGTGATTTAACGCATGGGCTCTCAAGAGAGCTAAACATTACCACATATAATTTAAGTTATCATTAATTAGTATACCTGTGCAAAGTTTTCCATATTTGCAGTCCCGCTGCTTTTATCCACAAGAATCCCTCCACACAGAATATCAATCGCTTGCTGTATTTGAACCCTGCTAAGAGGGTTCCACTGGGAGACCCCTCGTGCACCATACAACTGTCTCACAATTAGGACCCCTTGGACAACACCAACACCAAATAAAGCAGTTTTCATCTGTGTAGCAAACTCATTGGTTTTGTTCCAATCACTCTGTTTAAGACTCTTCAAAGCAGTGGATATAGCTGAAAAAAGATCAAGTACATTAACATCTCCAAAGCTCTAATGCTATATGAAGATTAATTTTGATCTATTTATATATACATTATGTCATTTTAATATATGTAAGACGTGGCTATTCTGCCAGTATGGCACGGCCATTGAAATAAATTTATAAATAAAAAATATGTGAAGATTAATAGCAAGCATTTAACACACAAACAGATCCCAAAGTCTTCATTCATTTATATGTATACTGTACATAAATATCAGAAGAAAAACAATCTGTGTGATCCACTTCTTGAATTTAGTTGCATACTCACTAAGAATGAACAATCAATGATTAAAAATGAAAATAAACAATATTATAGCTATGGTTGGCCATTCTGTAAAGTGCATCCTAACCTGGTATTATACTATGTTCAGTAGAACCATCTGTGAAGTGTAAACCTGTTGCATCCTGGGTATTAGTAGCCCCTTGTGGTGTTTCAAGGGAGGCGATCATATCCCATGATATCACACACACTTGCTGTAAGACCTGCAGAGGCATACAGTCAGATGGCTCTGATGTGATCCAGATGCAGAAGTTACCGCTGGTATCACTTTCCTCATTCTCTTTAGCTTGATCTATAACATAAAATAAAGGAGGTTTATCCCAAAATGCAACATCAACTCTTTAGGAAAGCCTAACACAAAATAAAAAGAGAGTCATAGGATCCCAAAATACAACACATCTCTTCACAGTAACATAAATTATCTCAAGATGCGATAAAGAATGTAGAAATTACAACAGAGGCTTGAAGTTCAGTTTTCAAAACATTATTGAAAAGTACTGTATACATACTTAATAACAATCTAATGATGGTTACACTTGTAGTACTTTGATCATTATTTAGTAGTACTGGACATAACTAATGTTGAAATTGAACATCAACTTACCTTTAGATTCTTTCATTTCCTTGAACAGCGTAATAAGCTGGCTAAAGAAGGCCTCGGATGCAAGATGAAGATTCTGTATGATCAACCAGCCCTTTTGCTGTCTCGCTAGCTCCACGACATGATTCAGGTCTTGACCTATATTCTGTCCAAGTATCATTCTCTCAACCTCAATGGAGTTTTTCTGAAAATATTTTCAAACAGGCATTGAGATTATTTTAAATTGATAAAAATTGGTGAAATTGGTAAAAAGGTGAAAAATTGGTGAAATTGGTAAAAGATGAAGATCCTGATACAGAATGAGCCCATTTTTAAACTTTTCGATCAGAATATGAACCATACCGGAAAAAGTAATACTTAGATGTGAACAATTGGAAATACCTCTGCTATGTCACATAGAATATCAGCCACATTGTGTGTATACTTCATTGTTGATATCGAATGTGTTTCAACACTTGCCGAACCTGACGGCACCAAGATGAACAGACCATTATGTAATCCATTTGCACTCTTTGTTACATCTTCAATTGTCAATGGCGGCTCCTCACTTAGACTTATATCTAAATTCTTCTCAATGTACTTTGACATGGCAGTTGGGAAACGATCAGGACGTAGGATTCTGATCAGAAGCAGTTGATGGAAATCATTGATTTGTCCAGAGTCTTCTTCATTTTCTTCATCGTCACCCTTAGCAGCATCGTCTGTAATTTTAAAATTAACAATAATACATATAAAATAGAACCCTGGGGAACACCAATATTGTTTATTAATGCTATTACAGTACAGTGAACTCTTACCATTTTCTTCCCCTTTAGCCAATGGGCATGGTTCAACCTCTGGCAAGTCACTCTTATACCATTCTTCCCATACCTCCGAGTTACATGCTATGTGGACACACAGGCTGTCCAAAGATCCTGGGAGAACTGATAATGCAAACACGTCCTCCCATTTGTCCTTTGGCAGCCATCTTGGAATTTCAGAATTGCAGTCAAAGTCTGCCAAGGTCAAGGTCATGCCAATACCTGGATTTCCTAGAAGAGAACAGAATTATATACAAAAGAGACTTTTCCGGAAGGCTATTTTTGTACTGTAAGGTCATTAATAATATACATAGTTAACTAAATTGTCAAACTACTGAATATAAAAGAAAAATTAAGAAAAATAATATTATACAAGGCATCCATATGCAAAGTGTCATTGTTAAAAATGCCGAACACCCAATGCTAGACTCCATCTGCCATCACAAAAATGAAGACCTTAAATTGATGTAAATGTATGCTGCAACCCTAGTACATAAATCTAATGAACTGCTTCATGCATTCTGAACAAAAGACATCCTGAATGAATCCTGCATACTTAAACAAATCAAAAGACACAAACCAATCCTAGTGTAAATAAAATATAAAATAAATATAGCAGTTGAACATTTGAAGCTATAACAAGTCTCTCTTACCTTGAAGCAGAATTGCCATTTCTTCATCAGAGATTTTCTCTCCATTTTCGACCTGGATATTAAGACACAGCATTGTGGCGAACAAAAGCCTGTGCTCCTCAAATAGACTCCTAGAAAACAAATAATAAAACACACATATTGATGAGTTTTTTGTATATTTTTCAAATTCTCATTTACTCTGATTTTACTAATGTTGTTTTTATAAAATTATATTTTCACTGACCTATGGATTCTGTTGAAGATATGTGCAGTCATTTTGTCGACAATCTGCTTGATTTGATTGGCTGAGAGACTCTCATACTCCACACCTTCTGATGGGAGGTCAATACCCTCAGGGATGATGATATTCCGTGATTTAGTTGACGCTCCTTGACCATCTTCTTTCGATTCTATAAAAAAAATTAATATCATTTAATCAGATTATGATTGATGCGATTATCTAAACTGTATCATATTACAATTCATTTCAAGAAGTTTCATATTTCTCTTATTCTGATTTAGAAAGGTTTAAGTTAAGACTGGAAAGACTTTTACATTTATTCATGATCTTGTCCTGCAAATTAATTTTTAAGAATGTGATAGATATGATAGATATAAATATGATAGATATAAATTTTAAATTATACATTGATTTATAGCATGCATTATTTATTACTAGAAACAATAAAGCAACAAAAGCAAGCCACAATTATTCATTAATCAAGCTGCGTACCTTCATTTTTATTTGACTCATCCTGATTGGTTGATTTCTTACTAACTCCGCTTCCACTTCTTTCAATTTCTTCATCATCTACCAACAAATGCAATTTTTCAAAAAATGTCCATCTGCTCATGTTATTTCATACATTTTCTCTCTTTTTCACACATTTTCTCTCTAAAATTTGAATGAACTGCCTGATTTTCTTGCATTTCTAAACAATTTTAAGAGTGTTGACTACATCTCCGTTTATTTTATTCCTTGCTAATTCCACTCTTTTCTGTTCTATTTTCCATTTGAAAATATGATATACAAAGTTTAGTGAATTCAAATTATTCCCTCTATTAGTTATCAACATGAGCAAAGTGACATTTCTATGAAGTATTCTAAGCAACATGTCTAAACAAAATTCTACATTCTAAACTAAAGGCAATCTATAAAGTAGATACTGACAATACAATAAATTCAATCAAATTCTAATAAAAACGAATATTTAAACCATTAGATTAAACAAAATATATATTACCTAATTCAATTATAATATTTCAATTAAATTGAATCACAAAAAATTGGTAAAGAATTAATGAAATCAATAAAGATGACAAATGATCTGAAGCATGTTTGTAAGAAGCATAAGAAATATGGAAATATCAAAATGCATGTTGGTCACTTTTATGCTTAAATTCCACACTTCTTAAGATAATTTCCACCAAGCTACATGTACCTTTCATTTCTATACAATTTAAAATTTAAGTGCAAGCAAGTGTACTTTATTCCTTGGTAATTCCACCCTATTCTACTCTTTTTAGAATTAAAAAAAACGACCATCATGCCAATTTCTTCTCAAGAACTAAAACATCAAGACATTTACAATATCTAAAAAAATAAATGAAGCAAAATGAAAACATTTTTTCAAATCTACAAGATGTCTCTAATTTACCTCCATCTTTTTTGTCTGACTGTTCCGTTGATTTCTGGTCGCTGATATCACGAGCAGAAAGCTGGCCCCCAGTTGCAGATTTGGCACTACTAGCTCCTACCCGCGTTTTAGCGTAAGTATCAGCACTTTCTTCTTCCTCTGGGGCCTAAAACATTGTCGAAAGTTTTTGTGTAAAATGATTTGGATTTGTATCCATGGTTAAAATGTATTGTTTTAGACTTCTAGTTGTTCTATATCTAATCAAATTTTTAGAATTTTCCCTTGTTTGGATAAACTTCATCAGAGATTACGTATTATTCCTTTAATCTGTATCATCATAGTGGTCCACGGTTTCATCACGCATTTATTCTATTGAAGCATGACCATCACGGCAAACTTCATTGCCAAAGAATATTTGTATAAAATATTGAATAAGTTTATTCCTTGTTTATTTCTAGTTATATCTTTAGGGGAATTTAACCGAGTTAATCAATAGAAAAATCGAAATAAAAGGGCTATAAAAGCCGAAAAAAATAGAAAAATCGAACCTCTTCTGTGTCACTTTCAACTTCCATATCAGGTGGTAAATCATCCCCAACAGCTTCATCAAATAGCAACAGAAAGTAGTCCTGCGTAAATTGGTACTCCCTGTGAATGCTCCCAAGGCTCCTTAGAAGAGCAAACAAAAGGGCCCCTCGGCGAGCTATTGGGTACATCTCTTCACGGAGATTGTCCAATTCTTGTAGGATTTGTTGGGTATCCCTGAGTCGTCCAGCCATCTATAAAAATGTTTTAGATTTTTTTGAATTGTGAAAATTAAATGACTACCCTTGACATTGGATTATTTCATTTTTCTGCAATCTCACATTTAATCCTGCAGTCAAAACTGCATGATATTGATTGATTGAAAGGTACTATTTGGTACACAATGTTCAATTTCAAACAGAAAACTATACTGACCTTGACCTTGGCTTGCATGCCTGATGATATATTATTGACATCTTCTTCATTAAAGAAAACCACCATATCGTGCTTTTTATTGCTCAAACTCGTTTCACGATTCACATCTTGCTTTTGGTCATCTGCGATTTGGATCAGTAACTCCTGGTCTTGTGATATTCCTGAAAATGTGTTTTTCAAATATATATTTGTTTTAGATAAACTAGAAATACATTACTTTTATTGTTTTATTTATGTGTTAATTTCATTAAATAAAGGAGGGGAGTCCCAGAAGTTCTTGAAAAGTTTTCTGTCTACATAGGTTGGTAAGGATTTGTCATGAATTTCATTTCATAATTTTATAATTATGACAGCACAGGCCTTCAATGTTCAATTTTCAAACTGTGTCTCATTCCCATTTAATTGGCCATTGTCTTACATAACTTCAAATAGAAATACATATCAATATGGGCTTTCTGATTTACCTATAACTTATGGGTCACCCCTCAAATGAGTTAACTTATACTAATGTAAGTGTATAATAATTAGGTTATAGATATATTAATTCAAATACATATTAGAGGTTTATTAATTTAAATCTTGATTATTTTTATTCTACAGGAAATTTTTATGTTATTCTAACTATAAATTCAAAATTGTCCCAGTTAATATAATCTAACCAATTAATACTTATTTACAGCTAAATATTTATCATTCAGTATCAAATCTGTATTATGCAACATGCATTCAATACAAAATTAATAAATGAATGATATAAAAGATGAATTATACAGAGATGCATATAGAAGACAATGCAATATTGTGGATAATGCATAAATCATTGCAGACTCATATTGATCCAAGAATCATTCATGAACAATGATCCAAGTATCATTCATAAACAATGATCTTAGTATTGTTCATGAACAATGATCTAAATATCATCCATGAACAATAATCTTAGTATTGTTCATGAATAATGATCTAAATATCATCCATGAACAATGATCTTAGTATTGTTCATGAACAATGATTCAAGAATCATTCATGAACAATGATCTTAAAATCATGCACAATCATTCATAAACAACAATTGGTTATTCAAACAAAGGGCTAAATCTTTTTCATCAATTTTCAGATATTTTCCATGCGTTTTACAAATATGTGAAAATTGAAAGCATTTTTCAGTCAAAAATCAAGGTTTACCATATTTTGAGTACAAATCTGTCCATCTTTTAAGAAATTCTAAAACATTGATTTATTAGATGTTCAAATATTAAATTAGATACAAAATGTTATTTTGTTAAATTATAAGGTGTCACAAAAGGAGGAAAAACGGAGAAAATGACCTCTTAAAAACTTTAGGAAACCCCAAAGCTTATATTCAATTTTATACATATTAGATATGTCCCATGTCTAAATTGAGTAAAAATGTGCAGCGTGGTTCAGTGCCTTAAATGAGATAATAATTGCTCATTTTCAAACAAATTGTGGCTCTAAAGCAGTCACAGTTGAATCGATTCCTCCCTTCACTGAATGTATTTTGTAACCGATCAAACAGACACTTTGCAGGCACACTAACTGCAAACTTATGCTGCACTTTTTCACCCATTTAACCCATAATCAAAATCCAGAGTTGGACTATGACAGCATGGGTCTGAATGTAGAAAAATATATTACTTTTTTATTTATGTTACATGAATCCCAAAAATGTTAGATAACAAAAATCAAACACATCTTCTGCAGTAAAAACTAGATTTAATCATGTGAAATAATTTGCTTGTGCCCTTTCCTGTCATGCATTAACAAAACAGTACATTTGAACAATGGTGCAATATATTTGAATTTAATGCAATATTCAGACTGGCAATGCAATAAGTTCAACAACAGTGCAATATAGATAATTTTAATCATGATTTGTTAACTAATGCAATATCTCAAAAACAGTTGCTGTGATTACCATTATAATGTAAAGCTACATTTTTAAATGTATCTTGGGCTAAAAGATAATAAAACACTGAATCATTAACAAATAAAATAAAAATTCTTATAAAATAAATAATAAAAGTGTGTATTGTCACAATAACCAATCTGTATAGTAAGTGTATAATAAAATATGTAAAATATAATAAAGTTAAAAAATAAAGACGAAAAAATGCTCGGTGAGTCTTTGGGTGTCATCATCCGTTTTGCAACAAATTAATTACCTTTCAAAGCAAGTCTTCTTTCCCTATATAGCTCCGGGCGGACACGTGTAAAAGCTCTTGCCAAAAGATCATCGACCATCGCTTCGGTGGATATCCCATAGTTCACCAGTGTTGTGGTGCAGGCGACAGTTGCGCTGTATTTTGGCTTCGGTAGATCTGTACTCATATACAGGTGAAAGGTAGGATGGCATAATGAGCGTCTGCCACAGTAGATGATCATACGCGATTCTGAAATCGAACAGCAAAACTTGGAAACCACTGGAATCGAACACCACTAAATCATGCAGCCCTCTCCTCCGACATGTTAGGGTGTGTAGTGGAAGATAGAAGAACAATGGTTTTAAGTAAGACAAGGCAAAACGAATACAGTGAATTATAATACTCCAATCAATCTTACATCAAATGAGGTTTAAAGACATTTATTCAAGATTTCATTACTTGACATTCAACATCACATACTTCAATTCGAAGTTCTAAAAAATAATTTTCTATATGTTTCAATTTCTCACCTTCTGTCTGTTCCATCTCTTTGGAAGTATTTCTGTGATCTATAAGTGGCATGATGACATTGTCAATGGTTTCTTCGCAATGTTTCAGCAACAATGGCTTCCCTTTCATGATTGCTTTCTCCATTGCAACCATGACTGACGGTTCCGTCCTAAAGAAATCAAGAAATGAAAAGTTCAATTAATCATAAATAAAAAATAATTTCTATAATAGTTGTAATAATTTACCAGATTGATGAATTATTACAAATAAATAATTAAAACTAAAACTAAATAAAAACAATCTTACAATATATGGCAAACAAGACAACAAAATAATACAGATATATGTCATGTATGAGATTTCTTATTCATAAATAACAACAAAAATAATTTAAGAAATCATAAACATGGTTCTCGTACCGTACACATCAAAACAACATTTCTATGAAAGGAGCTTAATCTAAAACACAAAAAACAAACTTTTAATACTAACTCTTCTATCATAAAAGAAAAATGTGACAAAATCTACTCTAAGAGAATACCTACACTATGTTGTATATTCTACTTAATAAAGTGCAAGTAAAAACAAAAAGAGTTTACAACAAAAATTGTTCACAAATGAGAATTCCTAAATTAAGACACAGCTTCAAATAAGACATCTAAAATGTACTAAAAAATAGTATAGTTTTCACAATTCTACAAAGTAAAGTGCCAATATTCTAAATAATTTTTGGTCAAAAAAATTATAAGAAAAATAACACTTTCCACCAATATCTATAGGAAAATGACATCTACATATTTAAAGGACATGACATCTACATACTTAAAGGACATGACATCTACATATTTAAAAGCACTAAAGTTGAGATATTTTTAAGGTAATTAAAAGGTCATTATAAAATGTACTACTTTAAAAATAGCACTTTAGTGTACCTAAGTCATTTAACATTGGCATTTTTTAAAATGGTACCAATTTGCACATTTTCAAAAGCACTGATTTTCAACATACATGAAATCTAGGTCACTAATTAGTGCCATTTTTAATTCTATTTCTTACATCAAATCTAACTCATCCTCCATCTCAGCCCTAATATGGTAAGGATAGTAGATTTATGAATATCACATAATTTTTACTATATACAAACTTACACAAAATATGCAAAACAAATCAGATTGCACGATGAGAGAAATCATCAGAATCAGAATTCTATTCAGGAAAAATACAATTAAATGAATTAATATCAAATTGAAAATATATTAATCAAACGTGATTATAATTTCACTTTTCATGAATTCGATAAACTGTAATATGATTTCTCAAAAATATATGTTAATTGTTTTAAACTGAATTTCTTGAATATATTGCCCTTGTGAATGGAAAGTGTGAGATGCGTCACATTATTATTTTAAGCATTTACAGTAACTTCATTCAAAATAATGTTCACACATGTGCTTAAACAGTTGAACATGTTGATTTGTCCATTTAATGTCCATTAAATGTCCATTTGTTAAAAAATAAATGTTGTTACCTAATTTTTTCTTTATTTGTATGCTCAAATTAGATCTTAAAATGTATTTGTACACTCAATATATCTCAAAATGCATTTTAAACTCAATTCACATAAAAATGTATTTGTGCAATTAGTTAAGATCTTAAAATGTGTTTGTTTACCCATATTTAAAATGCATTTGACCACTCAATCCATATTTTTAAATATATTTGTGCACTCAATCCATATATCTTAAAATGGATTTGTAAACTCAATTCACATAAAATGTATTTGTGCAATTAGTTCATATCTTAAAATATGTTTGTTCACCAAATACATATTTAAAATGCATTTGGGCACTCAATCCATATTTTTAAATATATTTGTGCACTCAATCCATATATCTTAAAATGCATTTGTAGACTCAATTCACATAAAAATGTATTTGTGCAATTAGTTCATATCTTAAAATGTGTTTGTTCACCAAATACATATTTAAAATGCATTTGGGCACTCAATCCATATTTCTAAATATATTTGTGCACTCAATCCATTTATCTTAAAATGCATTTGTAAACTCAATTCACATAAAAATGTATTTGTGCAATTAGTTCATATCTTAAAATGTGTTTGTTCACCAAATACATATTTAAAATGCATTTGGGCACTCAATCCATATTTTTAAATATATTTGTGCACTCAATCCATTTATCTTAAAATGCAATTGTAAACTCAATTCACATAAAATGCATTGGTGCAATTAGTTAAGATCTTAAAATGTATACACTCAGTCAATAACTTAAAATGCATTTGATAAGTCAAATTACATAAAAATGCTTTTGTGCAATTAATTCATATATTAAAATCAATCTGTGTGTGAACTCAAATCAAAATCAAAACTCAAAACCTCATTAACATACCATCTACATATTGGAAAGGGAGGCAGGATTGTAGAAAGGGGCAGGGGAGAGAAAAATAAATGAACAAAATGTAATTAATAATAAATTATATAAGAGTTCTACTTTGAGATTATAAGATTTTGTTACAAATTATGGGCAGATTTCAGTATTTCTTCAGTACTTCAGTATTTCAGTATTTTTTCAGTACTCTTATAACTATAACTGACACAATACCCATAATTTGACACAATTTCTTAGTTCTGTACAACAAATACAATGACTTTTAAATACAAATAGTGACAACATACTCATAGAGGATTTCAGTTCATGCACCCACAAAATAAATCCTATATAGAATTACATTCACTGAATATCATAATTAAATGAACATGCAAATTAAAGGCATAAAGAGAGATGTTTTCATGCAAGTCAGGTTTAAATGTAAACATGCAATGTTGTCAATTGATTTAAAATAGATAATAAAATGGGTGTCCAAATTTCATGCAAGTTACAGGATGTGGACTTACATGTGTTAAAAGCTGGAAAATAAAGGTTTTCTAAGACTAAACCTAAGTTTTATATAAAAACATAAAATCTAGTTAGTTATTTCTACTTTACACAATAACATAATGATTTCAGTTTAGTTAATATTATGCATCTAATATTCACATGCATGTTGTCTCAAATAAAATTGGGAGAAATACGTCTAAGACATATACATATAAAACAAGTTTTAGTAACACCATATATGGAATAAAAAATCAACGAGATGCTAATCCTACTAATTAAAAGACATTTATAACATAATTCCTAGCTGAACATTTTTCAGACATATTTTTTGTAAAATTTTACCAACCTCATTGTCATGTCGACATCAACTAGTTTCTTAGAATGGAGGGATCGACTCAACCATTTCACACTCTCTAATCCATCTCCATAGGGATCAATTAACAATGGAGGCCGTTGCCATGACGATTTCAAAATGGCTGCATTCTCTATCTGACGGGGGCCCAAATCTAGAAATATGAAAAGTGTTTTGGTCTTTATCTTCATATAAAATATGTGAATGATAAGATGCTATAAACTACTTACTAAAATTCCAAATTCAGTAAAAAGAAATTATATAAGCACTGAATAAAATTACCAAGCATGTAGTAAACTTAATTTGTTTAATAAATACACGATAATTAGGACATTTATCCATACTGGATAGAAAATTTATAACACAGGCATCACCAAAGACAAAGCTTACCTTTTTTGATCCATGAATTCAGAATATTTTCTCCAACCATAAGCTTCACTAGACTACGGACATACTGGTTATACTGCGATGCTGTTATAAGGGGAACAGTGCTACTTGCAGTACTTTCTGCGATTGATTCATTATCAGCAGGATCGGCAGCTTCCGTCTCAGCCTCTTCTTCAATCTTCCCAAGACCATCAGCTTCTACAAAGTTATCAAGTACAAATGTTTTCAAATTCGATCCAATTTATAACAATCATAAAGCAAGCTTAATTAAGAGATAAAGACCAAGATTTTATTATAATTTGTGAAGTAATATATGACTGAAAGTTTTATTCTGTTTATTGTTAAAAGACCAAAATCATGCAGCGATTGAGCTCTTTGGCAATGGCCAGAATGAAATTTGAGGTCATGTATTTGACATAAATCCTAAAATCGAGGTCTTTGTTTCTATTCTAATAGGATAAACAGATAAGAAACACAACTATTTCCAATTATGAATTTAAGCGGTCATACATACTCCAATATAGACCATTTAATCAGTTGTTCTAGCTATTGTTATGTCACATATTATACTAGAAGTTGAATTAATAAGCAATCCAAATGGATTGGCTCATGAATTATTTACCTTTAGCGAATGACAGTAAAATAGGAAATGACGTAATTATCTAGAAAAATTTATCCAGTATATTTACCTTTTTCTGTTTGTTCAGTGTCCTGTTTTTCTTCTTCTCCAATGTCTCCTTCTTTGACAATGTCTTCTTCATTCTTATCTTCATTCTCTTCCTTTCCTACAGCATCTTCTTCTCCTTTCTCTTTTTCTTCCTCTTCGCCATCTTCATTTGTGGCCTGAAATTCATTAAATGATTCAAAATGTTTTTATATTTCACAAGTGTTTTGAACTTAAAATGTGCTCAATGAAGTTATTTCTGTCACTCACTGCAACATATGCCCATGGGCATCTAGCGGCATGATTTTATCACAAATATTATATAGAAAATTATGAAAATCAAAATCTGGCACTGTAACATCACTCTTACATTTGAATGAATTTTCTGTTGATGTAATAATAATTGGAATGTTGTTAGGACTTACATTTGCAATTTCTTCATCTTCATCATCTGCCATTTCTTCATCAGCCTCGCCTTCATCTGATGTAACACTGTTCATCATCTCCTCAAAGTCGTCAAAACCATCACTTGCTCCAGATGCTGTCTTTAATCCTTGGATAGAGAAGTCAACTACTCGACCTAGAAGAAGATAAAGCTATATGTCAAATCTACTTGGTCATTATCTCCTTATAGTTGTCGAAACCTTTACTCACTCCAGATGCTGTCTTCAAACTTTGGATAGAAAACTCAACTACTTGGTCTATAAGAAAATATAGGAAATGTCAAATTTGATTGGTCATCATTTTTTCAAATTGATCAGATAGTATGCTGTTAATGTGCCTTTTAATGTGCCTGCAAAGCGTATTTGTAATCGGTTAAGTCAATATCACACATGGCAGTTTTAATTTTCTAAATTCCTCCATTTAAAAACATACCTCTTAGAGGGTTAATGGAGTCAATAACCAATGGTATGCCTCGCTCCCTCAGACATGTTGGCCAATGAACAGTGAGCATGAGACGACGCAGGCTATAATGGTATGGGCCAAGGTATGTTGCAAAAGCTGATGCCATTGCAATGCCTCCTGGGATAGCCATCTCACGCTTATCAAGGGATTTATAAATCTGTTGGAATCTCAGATGTTCACTTTTCAAGATCTGAAAGAAAATCATACTTTGTCTTCAAAAAAATAAAAACATCTTTAAATGTCTTCAAACAAAAGAGTAAAATACTGAATCAACAAAATATAGGTTACTGAGTGAGTAGTGTTAATAATTTTCTTACAGAAACAATGTTGTCTATTTTTTCAGCTATTGGATATTATTTATCAAACAGGGTGACAAAAATAAACAAGAGAATATGTGAAAATATGTGAGGAAATTACAGGGTAACATTTTTTGGATCACCCTGTAATTGGAACTCTTTGAAATGAGACTATTTACTTTTCTCAGGCGAGCAGCTGTATCTAGCATTCTATCCATCTTTATCGTCTTGTCCTCCTGGTCATTTTTGTCAATAGTAGCTTCCTCAAATCCTTTAGCTAAATCTGCAAGTCTCATTTCAAGAGCCTGTATACATACGAGGGTTGTTCAATAAATAAACATATACACATAATTGAAACAGGTTCTACATGAAATTGATATACAGTAAGACATGTGAGTTAAAACACCAAAAGGTATCATTTGGTTTTCTCACCGATTTAACAATTGGACTTTACTCATGTGGTTAGGAGAGAAGATAACTAGTAGAACTAATTGCTATGAAAGTGCTAGATATAATTATTACTAGTTCAGTCATCTTTTGAATATTCCTATTCAGTTATGTGCATTTTACCATGATAGAAATTTTTATAAGATAGGATAGTGGAATAGTCCAAATGCACATATTCATGGGTGAAAACTAGATGGCCTTTCATATGGCTTCACATAACTCAAACTTCTTTACATGAAACAGCAAGAAAGGCAAGTAAGACCAGTTCTGAAGCTGAGCGCCCTTCATGTTATTCTGGTCTTCATTTATATCAACTGCTTTATGAATTCATGTTGCATGTTGAGGGAGGAAGGGAAGTTCTTTAGAAGGGGGGGGGGGGCGTGTGGGGGGGTGAGAGGAAATTGAGCTGAAGTTATAGAGGCAGATATAATTTTCTGATGTTTACAGATACAGTATATATTTTTTCTATAACTTTTGTAATTGTGTCAATGAGAAACATTATTTAAGAATTAAATTACATGCTTTCTATTTGAATAAGTATCATTAAACAAAAACAACCTATATACCCATGCTTTTGAATTAAAAAAAAACTTTCCTTCTTTTGACCTACACCCCCTACAATTAGTTTAGAAACCAGAAGTCCCTTTAGATAGTATGTTAAAGTCTATTTATGTTTACATTGGCAGATCCAGAAGCTAACAAGGAGGGGCCCACATTCAAATCAGAAAATAAATTCCAGGCTTGCGCTGAAAAGTTTTGGCCCCCAAATCCCAAAATTGGGCCCACATTTTGAAAATCTAAAGCCCATTTTTAAAAGAGGCCCTACAAACTGTTTAGGCCTAAAATCTATTTTGGGAACAAAAATTTGGATCTACCAGTGGTTTAAATCCTAATTTTGTTCTTGAATTATAATTGGTCGATAGGCATCAATATAATGAACTTAAAGATATGTAAACAAAAAATAAAAAAAATGCTAAAAAAACGGACTCCAGTTTTTCAATTAGGAGTCTAAAAGAACAAACTAGAATAAACATATAAAACCTAAAGGATATAAATTAAGTGATAAAATAAACATGAATAACAAAATTAAAAATGAATAGTAAACGTCGAAAAAATTCAACAAAATAACTCAGAAAAAATTAAATGGAATATAATGAGCTAAAAATGAACATGCATTATCAAGGAATTTTAAATCTATTTTTTCTAATTGCTATTTAATTACCTGCAGCTATGACAATGTTAGAAAATAAAAACATGAATATGCAATTAAATGTCAAAATTTATTTCAAAAAGTAAAATGAATTAATTGATATCTTGCAAATGTACAGCTGTATTTGGTTTGGAATGTGTTGTATCATTAAACCCAAAATGCAAACTCAAACGCATTTAACTGATTCATCTGTCAAAGATATTTCTCAATTATATTGATTATGATTTCATCGCATGCTATCACATTTTCACTGAATACCTAAAATTGTTCAATCAATCATAAATTAAGCACATATATTACGAGTCATATAAAATTAAATACCACACATCTGTCAGCCAATCAGATATCACGATTTTAATAGTATGTGTAATAAAAATATATATTTATATCAATTACCTTTCTTTTATTTTCAAGCATTCTCATTTTTTGCTCAGCATTTTCTACAGCTTGGGTTGTTTGCTCCACTTTGTTGTGAAGAGGTTTGACCTTAGAAATCATCATCCTGTGATATCTACAAGCAAAGGATAAAACATGTATCCTGTGTCAGGGAAAGATATGGATTTTATTCTCATTTTTGCTATATACATTATTGTCTACAGCTTGTGTTGTCTGTTGAACTTTGTTGTGTAGAGGTTTAACCTTAGAAATCATCATCCTGTGATATCTACAAGGAAAGGATATAACACATATCCCATGTAAGGGTAAGTTATGGGTTTTATTTTTCAACATTTTCTACAGCTTGGTCTGTTAACATGCATGTTAACGGTTGGAGTAACTTGTTAAAAACAATAAATGATTGAAAATATATTTAAAAGATCACATTCTATTTAAATTAATTATTTCTATCAAGACTTCAAAGTTTCCGTATTGCATCTAGACAATCCAGATACTGTATGTTATATATTTTATGTTTTTTTTTGGGTTGGTCTGCAATAATTTTTGATATAAGCACTGATACGCCCAATTTACTAAGGGTGTCGAGTGCACATGCTTTGTACATTCCATTGTTATATTATCATGAAATAAATCAATCTAAATAACATTTTATGTATGTATGTATATTTTTCATAACCTTTACAACATCTGGTTTATGCAATATAATCCCTTTAAATGTTTCCAAATCTAGAATTGAACAAATCATTAGATAACGCAGAAGATTGCATATATTTGCAAGAACATAAGTCAAATTCCTTTTTAATCTAAGACAGAATGCTTGTCCAATGGAAAAGAAAAGGGAAACATATAAGAATGAAGGGGAAAAGATTAGAATTATGGATTGTTTCAAATTTTTTCCCAGGTAGCATATAACAAAAATTAATACCAAACAGGTTGAAATGATAATTGCAACTTATCACATTGCCATGTTATATAAATCAAAACAGACCTTGTTTGCATTTATTTTTTGAATCAAGTCAAATTATATAATTCATTAGAAACAAAACAATAGATATACAAAAAAATGACTTGCAGAACTGTTATAACACCATCTGCACTTATAATTGGTTCTTTAATTATATTAAGTACATATCTTTCATTTCCTAGTTTTTTATCTTCAAATATTGGATATAAAGTCACAAGTCTTCAACATACTTTGTGGAGTGAACCAACAAATTTCAACCAGCCAGAGAGAAACGACACATTGATAAAGACAAGAAACACACCGAATAATGTTAGTGAACCACTAATTAAAAGGGACATATTAAAAAATTCCAGAAACACACCAATTAGGACAAGAGACACACCAAAGAATCCAACTGACACACCAATTAATATACAATATGTATTAAACAACTCCACTGACACACCAAGTAGGGCAAGAGACACACCAAAGAATTCTAGTGACACATCAATTTATATACGAGACATATTAAACAATTACAGTGACACACTAAGTAAGGTAATAGACATACCAAAGAATTCTAGTGACACATCAATCTATATAAGAGACATATTAAACAATTCCAATGACACACTTAGTAAGGCAAGAGACACACCAAAGAATTCTAGTGACACATCAATTTATATAAGACACATATTAAACAATTCCAGTGACATGCCAAGTAAGGCAAGAGACACATCAATGAATCCAAGTGATGCACCAAATAATATAAAAGACATATCAAAGAATTCCAGTGACACCCAAATTATGACAAGATCAAATCATGCCAGTGATTTCTCGTTGAATACAAGACATGACATACCAAAAGTTAATATTTTAACTAATAAGTACTTTAAAAGCTTAGAAAAAGAGTGCAAAACTGGTCCACTGTGCTCGCTTAATAAACCTATATTCCCAAAATATGTGAAACGCGATAATGCATGTACGAATCCTGAAGAATGTGTTACTGTCATTACTAAGACTGGCAATAGACTAAATGAGGTAATGAACATGACGAAATCTGTCAGATATTATTACCCAAACATAAAGATCATCATCATTAATGACGAACCAATAGCTTTGGAGGAGTCAAATGAAAAAAAATATTACAAGCAAATGGATGAAGAATTCAAAATATTTCTCCAAAACACAAACAATGTGATATATAAAAAGATGCAAGGAGATATAGGTTTGAGTCTTGGAAGGAATGTTGGTGTAAATATGTCAACGACAAAGTATGTTTTTGTACTTGACGATGACATTCGGTTTACCAAAACAACAAATCTAACAAAACTAGTTGACGTGCTTGAACGCACGGATCTATCGATAAGCTGTGGTTTCCTTGAAGGGAACCATTATGCCATTTTAGGATTTGAAGCCCTTCCTGATGGGACATACAACCTTGTTAAAAACAAAGGAGCATACGAAATGCTGGATCGCTATCCAAATTGCTATGGCACTGACATGTGTGCAAATGTGTTTCTCGCAAACAGGGCACAATTATTAAATATAGGAGCGTGGGACCCAGCATTTAAGACGAAAGAGCACACTGATTTTTTTCTGAATGTCAAAACCAATGGCAACAAGGTGAGCATTTGCTTTGATGTGAAGCTCTTGCATGACAGAAAGGAAAATACTTTGCTCCGTGATTATCGTATGGATACTTTTGATGAACACATTGAAAGATTTGCCTCAAAGTGGAATATATCAAAAGTCAAAGGAATCAATGTGACGGACCTTCTCAAAAAATTCAAAGACAGAAAATCAAGGAAGCAACTGAAGTAAATAAAGCTAAAAATTGTAGTACAATTTATGAATGTCAACTAAATGTATTTAAAGTATCTTATTGCTGTGAAGATCAAATGAAAGGGAAAGACAAGTCATTAACATGCAAAATCATCACCTGCCATTTATTACAGACACTGAACACTGGCTGCCAAACAACAACCGCTGAACACAGTCCATAAAAAAGTGGAAAGCCATAACAATATGTCACCATTTGTGCTTGTAACATAAAAAAGCTAATTAAAAACACAACAAGTAGAAAAGAAGGAACCGCTTTGAATGATTCACATCCAAAAACACAATGATGATCACCTACATCATACTTTATTTATCAAGAAAAAAAGAAATTGAGATTGCATTTTAAATAAAAAATCCCATTCAATTTTCAACTTGAAACATGACTATCATTCCATTTCATGCATTTAATCTTCACTCACTCCACTCACTTCACTCACTCACTCCACTCACTTCACTCACTCACCTCACTACACCTCGCACCCATTTGCAGAGAGAGCTGCTTGCCACATTTCCAGATTTTTTCTCGATGTTATCAGGGTCAAATGAAGACTTCTTCAGGTATGGTTCTACAAGGTTCAAGGTCGCCTCTGGAAGCTGGTTGTCGTCAAATGACATCAACTCATCAATAAATCTAGAATTTAACAAATAATATTTTCTTTTACTGGACATATTTTCATTTGTATAATTATCACACACATAAGGGTTTAATGAAATTAAACTGATGAATATTCAAGTTTAATGGAACTTTCTAGTACCACATCTGCCATATTATCTGACCTGTATTAGCCACCTGTTGGTGAAACTGGTAACTACCTATAGGCATATGGGTTATTACACACAAGTAAAGCTCTCTAATAACTAGAACAACAATTAATTTACCGGTCTATATTGGGATATTTATGACCTTTAAATATCAATATAGACCAGTAAATGTAAACAAGACAATATTCCCAACTTGGTCCTTTAATTTAAAATGTTAACATAATTTACGGTTGATCATTGTGAAATAATTATCTAATAGATTTGACCTTTAATATTTTTCAATTTAAAAATAATTGTACAAACCTTTCGATGTTTGCCATCTGTCTTTTAGCTCCTTTCTGCCAAGTCAAATCTGCTTGCGGGGATTTCACTGAAAATAAAACCAACAAAAATAAATATTGTATTTTGAAGAGCAAAATGGCCACCATGTAATTTACCCAGCATGCCCATTGGCAGATATAGGCACTGTTCTGCTCTTGCATCTGTTATAATTTCAAATTGAATAAATAAGAAGTTTCCTGTAATTATGATGACAGGATTTATGTGGCACCCACCCACATGCCCGTCTGCAAAGCAGTACAAGATAAGGACGATAAAGCACTTTTTAAAGTGCCATAAAAAGTATTATCGTATGATCTGTAAAATGAAGCCTTCTGATTTGTCAGTTCTTCGTCTCGTTCCAATACGGAATTTCTCAAGCAGAATATATCATGTATTGCATTTCAAATCATTCAATAACTTATAATATTCATCCTGGATTTAATGGATACAAGGGGTTGGAAGCAAGGGGTTGGTAGCAATTAAGGAGAGTTGAACAAGGAATGGAGGCTTAATAGGTTGGAAATAGGGAAGGGGGACTTACAGTACAATACAGTGGAATATGATCTGGTAATACAATACAATACATTACAATGCAATACAATACATGTCATGAAAGAGGCCTCAAGGTCATAAATATCTTGTCATAAATGTTCACTAAATCTATGTATATAAAAAATATATATTTATCCGAGATAGTGACCAACTGTCAATAGTTCATAAATGAAGATTTTGTTCATTTTCAAGTGAAATCAAACTGAATGCAAATCAACATTTAACTGAGGAGCCGATGGATCATCTCTTACTACTGGTGATTAAAATAATATTAATTCATTGTACTTACCTATCATGATTATAGCAGCCATGAGGTCTTCAATGTCTATCAGAGGTTTCTGCATTGCTCTCATCTCATGTAAGCTGTCGATGTTCATGTTGGACACAACTTTCTTGGTGTCGGCTACAATCGCTATAGCTTTATAGACAGCCCTCTCATGGGATACTTGATATTCTGGCAAAAGCTAAAAGAAAACATTATTTAGTTTATATTTAAATGCCTTTTGACACAACTTTATTGATGTTGGCCACAGTGGCTTAAATTCTATACACACCCCTGTCTTGTCTTTTTGGACCAAAAACTAAAAAAGTGTTTGTCTTATGTATTAAATTAAAGAGAATGTATTAAAATGACAATACATGTTTTACCTTGATAGCATTTTAAATAAAATCTATTAAAAATATCAGATAATGTACGATGCCATATATCAACTATAAATATAATAAATATAATATAAGGGTATTGTCTTTTGAATAATAAAACTTATTTTGGAAAAAAATGTTCAAAACTGTTGGAACAACCCTCGTAATGTACAAGTGTGATGTATTTACCTTCTTGAGTCTCTGTATTTTCTCCATTTGGGCTTTCACTATCTTGATCTGTTGTTCAGTGATAGCTGTGTCTTGACCAATCTGCGCAAGAATTTTAATGGTACCCTAGAACAAAAGAAAGCATGCTATACACAAAATGAGCTAATTTTATATTATCAAAGAAAGGGCTCATAATTAAGCCTGAAATTTAACTGCCACAATTCACCATTTTGGCATTCAGTCCAATACTGTTCTTTTAAGGCAACTAAATTTTCCAAGTTCATGACCAAAAGTGAAAAGTGATTGTCACTGACAGTCGGGCAGCTGTGAGTTTCAAACCCTGGACAATACCCCAAAAATGTAATCAAAATTCAAAGCAACTCATTATATCTAGCTTTTATGTACATGTTTTTTTTAATATAGTATACATGGAAAGAAAAATTTAAATCTAAACTACCATAATAAAAAAACGCGTGATTGTAAGAATGTACATTTTCAGTGGTAAAGAATCAACTTACAGCTTTTCTCTCTTCAAATACAATCTTTTCATGTTCAAGCTGTCTCTTTAGCTTCAATGCCTGTTTATTCTCTTTGTCAATCTGCCTCATCGCAAAAGACACCATACCATGGTTGTCATGGATCTCCTTGTAACGTGCATTCGCCATGTAGATAAACCTATAAACATTTGGATTTTTAAAATTTCTTTATCAAGTATTAAGTATTACATTAAGAGTGCTGCTTACTCTTTGTAGTTTTTTATAAAGATTTCCACGTACTATTTTTCCATTTTTCTGCTAGCATTTAAAAGCCCTCTTAATCATTTAATTTTCAATAATCATTTGATTTTCAATAATCATTTAATTTTCAATAATCATTTAAAGTTTTTTTTTAATTATTTGAAAAAAATTAAATGTAAAATTTTACAAACATAAAATATATTCTGCTACAAATTACACTTTTCTTAGTTCTAAAACAACATCTCAATTCAAGTCATCGCAAAACCATCTTACAGGTCTCTATTAGACACTGTTCTTACTTTTCAACAAATTTCTCATATGATGTGTTTGTGATGTGATTGTATTCCCCGGAGGTCAGCTCCTGGCCATCTTGTTGTCGCAGAACCAGATGCATGGATGCTAACATATGCGCCAAGTTCTCTCTCTGGATTGGAATCATCCAATTAACACCTGTAATCATGTAACAATTTGGACATAAATATCCATTTTCACTCACAACAGCAGAAAAAATTAGAAAACAATATCTAAAATGATGATTTTTCAACCATTGTTTGAATTACACTGTATTAAATGTTGCAAACATTATGACAATGTTAACCCTTCTGTTTGGACAAACCAATGCTTGTAATACAACTAAACTGAATTGAACATAAGCTCCAGGTCCTTGACTTTTTTACTTACCCTCCAGATGGAAAGCTGCATGTTCAACGAGCTTTGCCCTCGGCCAATGTGGAAACCAGATGAAATTGATGTTTTTAGTGAATGCTGGGTATTCCCGACATCTCTTTTGAAACTTCTTCCCACCACTCGAGGCAATGAAACAAATACGGAAGTTTGTCTGTACCGTTCTGAAATAAAATATTTGAAAATATATATATTAAGTGTACAACTTTACTGTAAAATCCTTAAACACTTGGCACTCTGAACTGTATAACTTTATTCACCCCTGTACATGGTGTATCTTGCATTTTTCTATAACATATGTTTTGGATGAGTTTATTCATCAGTAGACACCACCAGGGAACTGCCAGCTATGAGAGTATCCTTCATGGCAGATTGGAAGGAGTTAAATGGGTGTTTATACTCATTAAAAGGGTTACCCTCATTAACTAGACATTATATGCCAACTCCATTATATAAGAATTATGAAATAAGTAAAAGTTAATTGAATTGAACTATTTTACCTCAAAAAGAAGTCCCAGGCAACGTCCCTTGTGTACGTCAATCCTGCTTGAGTTACATCAGTCCTTATTGAGTTAATAATTGTTGTACGCTCTTCAAAGTTGAACAATGGCGTGATGTCACTTGAGACAATGAACTCCGTTACAAACACAAGGAAATCTTCGTCAACCAGTTCCTCTTCTTCAATCAAGAAGAGGGTCTTCTCAGACTGAAAAAATGTTATCCTTTATTTAATACTTCTATTTGAATATTTGATTTGTACATTTCCAAATTTTTTTCTTCAAAAACATTAATTCAGGCAACTAAACTGAGTGAATGGGTTTTGCTACTATAGTAATGTGTACATTTCTTTTACCTCTACCCATACCATCATTCATATTATCAGTGAAAAAAAGTTTAAATATTTTAACAATACACTTCACCTTAAATCTTTTGATAAAATGAAGCGTCTTGTCAAACTTCCTACCTTAACACCTGCTCGAGTGTATGCATTCACAATATCTGATTTAAAAGTGTCTATTTTGTACTCCACGGTGCTTGTCATGGGACTAGGACTGATTTTGAAGGTCTGGAATCCGCAAAGATTGGCGGCGAGTTTAGCCATTGTGATGCACCTGCCAGGACAACCTTCAGCCACAAGACACGTGTGAGCTACCTCATGCGGTGATGACATCACACGAGCTAGACGGCAAACTTGTTGTATTACACTCTGAAATAAAAAGGGTATTAAAATATTTATTGACTTAATGCTATAAAGGGAGAGAACATACATCAATCACTTTTGGATAACTAAAAAAGAAAACTTATATTAAATATATTTCCTTTACAAGATAGGTATCTTAAAAATAAGTTTATTTGGGCTTGTCAATACGAAGATTAGATTTTCTCCTATAGCACTCACTATAAATCAAACAATTCTTTACTCACCCTATAAAGGGCTAACTTTATTCGAGGATGGGTCTTATTATACTCATCCAGGCCATCTTGTAGGAGTGCTTTCACATATTCCACATCAGTGTGAGGCATATAAACATCTGTATCAGTCTCAGCCTCACTCACATCCTTGAACCCTTTATTGCCAACATTGTTGCCAGCGGTTACAAAGCCACCATCTTGTTCTACCAGGTTACTGAAAAGTGGCTGCTCTGATTGGATGAGCAGCTGGATCTGAAGTTAAAATATTCAAGATATCAATTGAGTACGTTTGTGTAAAAAATTAACTTTTAGATTGTTCACAAAAAATATAAACATGGACTTTTCAAGATTAAAAGCTTGTTTTTGTGACAATGATACATTAAAGTTTGTGATTAAAAATGCTATTTTGAATATGTACTGTTGATATCTTCTGGTCTTCTATAAACTGAATGTGACCCTTTAACAAACAAACAAACAAACAAACAAACCTGATCCTCATCAGAAAACATCTTGCGAATGGAGCGCACAAATGCTGCCTCGTATCTCTCAAGGTCAACTTCACTGACCATGCGGTTGCCATAGATCCATTGACATTCGTGACGCCAGAGTTTAAGGACGTTGTCCCTTTTACATCCTGGTCTTAAACTCAAGCATATATTCCTGTGGTAAACAAGAAATAGCATTTAAAGCCTAGTTTGTTGGTCAACAGATTGTCATTTTTGTAATGCAAAATTGGTGGGAGTAAAAAGGAATTAATGCAAAAATATAAAACACTCACAGAATTGGAAATGCCACAGAATCAGATTCAATAGTTCCTTTAGTAGATTTTATTGTTGAGTATCACTTATAGGCAAACTAGGAAAAATAATCAAGCCATACTAGACATCAGTATTTGAACGAATATTTTAATTCCTCAATTACTGGCGTCATACTACATACTAGAGCTAAAGGAAATGTGAAAAAGTGGACAGAAAAAATCAGTTGAACATTTTAATAGCCAGCGCATAAAAAACTGAAAAAATCAATAAAACAAAAATCAAAGATCCTCTCTTACCTGAATATCCTTCCAAGGTCATTCATTGTGAATATATAGTGACATCTTTGGGCAGTAGGGAGGAACATCGAGCACATTTTGTCTTGAAGCTCTATGTTCACTTTCACCATGAGCGACAGCAGTAGCTTTAAGGCTTCCTCTTCCTCTCGAATAACATTCTTAACCTTTAATAGTACAAGGAGGAATTTTCTTGAAGATCATTGTTAGAATGGGTGTTGAAGCTCATTGTATAAGCTGAATTTTGATGCTCATTGGTTAAAGCTCAGTGTGAGAAATAATGTTTGAAAATCATTGTTGAAGCTCAATGGTATATTGGATTGTTGAACCTAATTTGTTAAATGTGATAGTTGGAGCTCATTGTTAAAATGTAATAGCTCAAGCCCATTGTTAAAAGCAATTTGAAGCTCATTGTGAGAAATTTTTGTTTTGTTCTTCATTATACAAGCATATTGTCTTCTGAGATATACACATCCTTGTATTTTAACTTATTTCAAAATTATATTCTTTCATATGTTCAATTGCAGCACTTTAAACCATTAGAAATATCAATCCAAACGTGATGTTACTTTCACACTCAATATATATGAATTCTTCTTATGTGTTAAAATTACAAACCAATCCTAAAACCAGGGGTCCGTTGTTAAAATTTGTTGTATAAAATCATAAAACACTATTTTAAAATTTTCTAAATAATATTCCCAGAACTCAAAATATTTAGAACAATTTCCCTTGGTTATTTTATGATTTATTTAAAATTGAATTTTAAACAACGGGTCCTTGGTTTCACATCAAACAAGTAAATATCAAAATAAAAAGGTATAATAGACAGATCAGTATTTTAAGTCTGAATCCCTAGCAACCTGAATAGACACAAGTATTCTTCTGTGACACATTGATTCCAGATATTGACACATGTATTCTGAGTATAAGACACTTTTCTGATATTCTGAGTTAATGTGATGAAAAATTTGCTGATCATGAGACACATATGAATTTGGATATAACAAGGGGTATTCAATAACTTATAAGACATGAGGGATGATTCAAAGGGTTTCATGACTTTCGTTTACAATTTGTATTATTTTAATTGAGTATTTGTATTATACTTCATATTTTTTTTATTAATAAGTCACATAACGTGAAAGTTTCAAAAGTCTGTATTGAAAAATAAAAAATAGAGAGGTATGAGAACTTTCTGTTCAATACTCTTCTGTATTCCAGATGTATGCATCGGGCACACAATTCTTGAACATATGGTACTCAAAATGAAATCCAGTTTAATGGGTATTCAAATAGAAATCCAGTTTAATGGGTATTCAAATAGAAATCCAGTTTAATGGGTATTCAAATAGAAATCCAGTTTAATGAGTACATATGTATTCAAATAGAAATCTAGTTTTTATTTTGGAACATACATCAACCCACTTTTATGGGTAACAAATAGAAATTCATTTCAATAGGTAAAACAAGGAAAACCAGTTTTATTGATACCATATACAAATCCAGATTAATGGGTAACAAACAGATATTTAGTTTAATGGGTAAAACATAGAAAATGTAGTATAGAAGGTAACAAAGGAAACCCAGTTAGAGCAAACCAACAAACCTACAATTCAAACACACAAGGTGTAGCAATCCCAGAAACACTCAGATGATAAAAACACATAAGATATTTGACACCAAAAGAGAAATAATTCGTGGCACAATTATTGAAGGGTATAATTATATGACAGGTCGTGTTTATGGGTCAAGTGAATCAATTGAGCATTACATAATATCAAGGATTAACATTTGTGTGGGGGTTACAATTATGTTGAGGTTACATTCATGTGGTTGTTACATTTATGTGGGTGTTAATATTATGGGAGTTTTAAATATACATGTTTGTTATAATTAAGTGATGGTTACATTTATGTGGGGGATACATGTATGTGGGTGTTAATATTATATGAGAGTTATATTTCTGTGTTTAATATAATTAGGTGAGATTACATTTATGTGGGCATTAGATTTATGTGGGTGTTAATATTATGGGAGTTATATTTCTCTGTTCAATTTAATTAGGTGGAATTACATTTATGAGGGGGTTGCATTTATGTGGGGGATACATTTATGTGGGTGTTAATATCATGGGAGTTAAATTTCTCTGTTCAATTTAATTAGGTGGAATTACATTTAAGTGGAGGTTACATTTATGTGGGGGATACATTTATGTGGGTGTTAATATTATGGGAGTTATATTTCTCTGTTCAATTTAATTAGGTGGAATTACATTTATGAGGGGGTTGCATTTATGTGGGTGTTAATATTATATGAGAGTTATATTTCTGTGTTTAATATAATTAGGTGAGATTACATTTATGTGGGTGTTACATTTATGTGGGTGTTAATATTATGGGAGTTATATTTCTGTGTTTAATATAATTAGGTGGGATTACATTTATGTGGGGGTTACATTATAAGTGGGTTACAAGTGGGTATTAATATCATGTGTGTTTTAATTAAGTGGGGGTTACAAATATGTGGATGTTATATTTATGTGATTGTCACTCTCATATTAGGGTTATATGTCACAAAAGCAGGAATACATCTGTTAGGTGCTAGTGTTTAGACTTGATATTTACGCAGTTCTCTCACTGAAATCCAAGACAACTATTTCCATAATATTTCTGAATTTTTCTTATATAGTCTCTCAGTATTTTTTCAATGTTATAAATGTTTATATATGACTATACATTTATCCAAAAATATGTACTAAAATGTACAGTTAAACTTGTTAAGCGAAACACTTTTCTGAGTCAAGTGGAGCAAATCCTAACACTTTTAGCAGAACCAAGAGTGTTCCATTTACACAGGTTTCACTGTAAAACTCAAATATTTATATATTATATGAAAATAGTTTCTTGGATTTTTTGATTGTGAGAATTGAAAACTGCGTAAAGTGCACAGCGACCTGTCGTGATACCTTTTCATCATGTATTCCCAAGTGATGCGCCGTGGATGCAGCAATAGTCACCGTGGATGACATCTCAGGCGTGATGAAATGCGTATTGAGCAATGTGGTGAAGATCCCTTGTAATTCATTTTCGCTGGAAATAACATAATGCATGCTCAATTTGAAAATGGTGATGCCACAATGACTAATATCTCAATCTATCATTACTGAGGACAGAATCTTTTGAGGACAGATGCATCAGTAATTTTTCAGAAAAACTTTGTAAGAGAAAAGGTATGTGACCAAGAATCTTTAATTGACTAATTAAAACACATTGGATGTATTTAGCTAAACAACAATTGAGAAACACTAAAGCTTTTTTAACATTGTATTTTCTTACCTTGGGTATGGGCACCCAAATACAGCAAAATGCCTGAGCAGCCTCTGACTAAGTTTGGGTACAGTTGCTGTACAGTTGGGGTTGACAGTTGTGACGTAAGTAACATTTTTGATGTATCGCCATGTGTGTGTGATTGGATCGTAGAATCCTCCATCGTCAATATGCTGTCTTACCAGCTCTGTTGCTGTCTGGTTTCCAAACTCATCGACCTATGGGAAAATAAAATGAATTAACAATACAGAAGCAGATCTTGAGGCTGACGAGGGGGGGCAAACTTTTAACTGGGACAAAATATTTAGCCATTCTTCAGTTTGGGCCAATTTTCAGATAAATCTAAAACAAAATGCCCACCTTAGGCTCGGAAATGTTGGTTTGCTTTTCACTGTAACTTTTTCCAATTTTTTTTGCTAACGAAATTGTCATTTATCCCCTCCGCTAATGAAATCAACTTCGCTCCTTCACAACACTAGTGAACTTTGAGCACCATACCTGTGAGAGATTGAGATCATCAACCAGGCACATCAATCTTTTGTTGCCCTTAGGAACATAAGTTCTCCCGTGTTTCCATTCTGTTCTCTCATCTAGGCGCTCACATAGTAACTTAGCATTTGTGAATCTGCAATACAATAGAGATTCAGGTATGAACTATGAATCATATAGAAGATTTTTAATTTGCTCTTTTAGACAAATCTTGATATTATTTCTTTCTCTACCCTGAGTATTTACATAACTCCTGTGCCTGTTTCAATTTAAATTTCTTTTTTGAAAAGATAAGCATTTATAATCACAATTTTTTAACATGCCTTATGCAGTGTTTATTTCTTGCTAATTCCACTCCTTTCCACTCTATTTTGCATTTTTAAAACATGGCCACCATAACATTTTTCTCGTGACAATTCTAATATGAATATTTATTCATAAAAATCACAATTATTTCTACAGGCCTCTTGTCTATTTCACTGACCTATTTGTTGTTATAGTAAGAGCTAAGACCTCAGCCACCTCTCCTGAACATACTGTTCTGATTCTATCAGTCACTATAGATGTCTTCCCGCAACCATTGGGGCCCACAAGCATGACAGGTTTTCCAGCATCTGAGAGGATCCCCATCATGTATGTCAGTTGCTGGAAAATTTTTAAAATCAGTTAGACATGCCATAGTATATTCTTAAGTTTGTTACCATGAACAAATGCATTTGGCCATGCGAACTGGTTGTCATCAATTCAATTGTAATGACCAGATTCTTTCTGACCCCCACCTGCCAAGAGACACATGATAATTACAATAAAAACTTAAAAAAACTTTTTAAATGCAATAAACACTAAAAACTGGATTTCACTATCATACTTTGACTGTGCTTTCATACCTTAACATTTGCATTGTATACAAAAGCCTCTGGTGTTATAATAAGTTGAGACATTGCACATAAAAGAGAAACTATAAAGTGAGTCCATACAGTTCGGATGATTCTCTTACTGTTATTAGGGTTATATCTATACATACCTCAGTATTGACATTATGTACAAAGGCCTCTGGGGGAATACCATAATGTGGGGTTGCACTATACGCTGGTACAAGTTCTGTCCACTTGATGAACTCATGACTCTCTTGGTCCACCATGTAATCAAATACCTGAAAAAAAGAAGTTAAATGTATGAGGACATAATGTTTAAAAATGCAATATAGAGTGAAAAAGAGAATTATTTAGCAATGAAAAGAAACACAAATGGTTTATTTAAATTTTAAGAAAAATTCTATTTAAAAAGCATTAACAAATGGATATAAAAAACTTTCTTGACCAGAAGAGTTAAAATGTATGTTTTTACAGTTGACATTCTAAAATTATACCCCATTATTTAAAGACAGGTATTACATGGCATAATTTAGCGTCTGACTTACAGAGCCACCTATTGGGTATTCTATGTGTTTCTCGAATGTTCGTCTCCACCACTGACTAAAGGGTTCCCTGTACTGGACTTCCAAAGTTCCACCAAATGCCCAAATCACCGCGAGAGTGAAGTATCGTTCATACTCTGTTTCTGATAGGTCAGGATATATCAACATCATACTCTGAAATAATTACCATATATAGTCAAACACAATTCCCTATCCATTAAAACTGTTTTATGCTTAAAATTCCATTACTGTATCAGCCATGGAGAATAAGTAGTAATAACGACATCTTTCTAAATGTAATGAAAAAACATGATAAAAAAATTAGCCCCAGAGGGCAGCACTTACATCCATTAGTGCCGTCATAGTGCTGATCATGTTTTCTTCCGTCTGAGGAATCACACGTTTATAATGTGGCAGCAAACGTCCAGTCTTGGCTGGGCGTGGTTCCAACATGGGTGGACGACAACATTGGGTCAGGTAGTTCACAGTCGCCATTATGTAAGTGTCAACGAATGCCTGTAGCATATCCCGATCTGAGCTGTTCTTTCTGGCAAGCCATTGGGCAAGCATTAACTCCCATCCGACATCACTCCGCTGCATCGCCATGACGCCAACATTGGCCAATACAGAGGGACTCAGGTTGGATATACTCTCCATCTATTGAGAAAAATGTAAAGTTATTTACAGAGATTATTGTCCTTCAAACAGAGAACTCAAATATACAGAGTATCATCTTCCAACTTTCAGATATTTAGATCCTAAAACAGTTATCAATTCAAGAAAAATCTCTTGGAGATTTCTCAAAACTTGAGTTTTATCAATGAAACATTCATTACATAAACTGTCGTGTTTTTTTGTTTCCATTGTTGATATAAACTTTTATTAAGAAACAAATGTATAATGGAATACATGTACAAATTATCATACCTCCCAAACAAATCTGAGTGTGTCAGAGACATTGATCCTCTCATTGTTGCCCATGACAATGGCCCCATCATTGTGCAACATTGCAGACATTAGCTCCATCTGGCGGGGGTCCAACTAAAACAATAGTGAAATAATTCAAACATTTTGAACAAAAATGAGCTCAATCAACTAAAAACAAAATATTATTGAATTCTATTGAATTTAGATGATATTCCAATCTAAAATTATCATTATCAATAATTTTACAAAACAACTTAAAACAATTTCATGGGTTTAGCTAATATAATACAGAATAATCAAAATTCAAAATATACTAATGCTCAAACTAAAATGATGGTACAAGATATTTAGCATGGATCTACATGACTGTTTAAGCATGTGTAGAAAAGAAGTAGTAAAACCTAATAAATCAACACTAACAAGGATCTGGAATCATTTTAAGGTAAATGTTGCATTATATATTGTATCAAACTTACATTTCCATCCATTTGTAGAATCTTGATTACTGGCTTAATATTCAGTTCATAGTTTGCCTTTGAGTGCTGAATACAGAACTTCCTCAATAAACTTGCCATAAGTCCATCTCTCCACTCCCTATTAAACAAATATATATAAACAGTAAAGTATCAAAATGTATGACAAAATGGCACCAACTGGTTAGTGCAAATAGCTAAAAAAGTTGGTAGGGAAACCAGCCAATTCTGCTTCTAATTCATGCAGTTCTAGATGAAATGACAAAAATTGTTGATTCTAGTCTGTATAGAATTTTGCTGAAATTACAGTGATCAAATTTCAAAATTTTGCTGGTTCATGGACATACCGTGTTTTGGGGTCCCAGTGCCCCAACAAGTCCTCTGACTCCACTGCTTTTGTGAAAACAGATTGAATGTTAATGATTTTTCCTCTTTCCCTCTCAGCCAGAGCGAATGTCTTGATGCAGTCTGTTTTTCCACAGCCAGGTGGCCCACATACTATGATCTGAAGCAAAAATATATGTTGCATTCAGATAGTCTCAAAGCCAAACTATCATATGTAGTAAAAATATATGTTGCAATCAGATAGTCTCAAACCAAAACTGTGTTATGTAGCAAACATATATGTAATTGGATAGTCTCATATCCAAATTATGATCTGCATTAGAAAATATATGGTGTCTAATCAAACATATACATGTAATTAACTATGATCATTTATAGTGGAAATCTCAAATTCTAGGTTTGGACAGATATTACTGTACTTACTGTCTGATGTGCAGTGTTAAGCTGTGCCAATTGGGCTACTCTAGCTTGGAATGCTGTACCAGGAAGGAGACCAAGGTTACTGGTTGCTATGGCAATTGCATCCTCTAATTCCTCTAGGACCTGTTTGTTAGTCTGGTCCAGTAGAGCGCTGAACCTGGTTGGAGCCGCAGAAGCAAGGCTTACTACAGGAGTGTTCAAGTTGAGAGTTTCTGCAAATGAATTAAGTTTCATGGATAGTATGAATTTATGTATTGTGTAATGTTTTGGCTTTGACCATTAAAATTAAAGTGAAATGATTAATATGTGCATCTGAATCCTCAATTATTCCAAAAAATTTTATGAATAAATTTATACCTCTGAAAGTTGGCATATGGGCTGACATTCGACTTTTGGCTTTATTCAACCGAGATTGTGACTTTGACATCTTAGTCGGTGACCTTGACTCAATATCCATATCAGGGCTCCCTCTATCAACTAATCCTCCAAAGTTCATTGGAACGTTAACCCCTTGCCATAAATCAAAGGTCAAGGTCGTGAAAATGGAGGCATCTCTGGCTTTCATCCTCGGCATAAAGCTGTTGCGGAGAGCCGTCACTAGCGCCTCCGATTCCATCTGGAGTGTCTCTTCCGCAATTTTATCAATCTGCTCGGGATCCATTTGTCCTTGATCTGCTTCATCTTTTTCACCTTCAGTTGTACGTGGTTTATCACGAGTGACCTTTACTGGGGAGGCTTTAGTGGATTTTTCTACATGCTCACAAATAAATTTGTCCAAGATGGCGCCAGCCTCAAAGACAACATATTTTAGAGTTTGTAAACTCCAGCCATGCACGCCATCGTTTTCATCATAACCTGGAATTCAATAAAGTCATCGTTTTGACACAGTATAATGTACAATCTAAACCTGAACACTCCCTTGACTGCTTGTCAAAACTATTTGAACCAGCAGGTGTCCGCAGGTGTTCACATGTAAATATCTTTTCACCTGCATTTGCATTTTCTTGACAAAAAGCATTCTGAATCTTAAATACACAGACAAGATGTGGCTAGAGTAATCCACAAGGGTTCAAGCAAAAACAATAATTCTTACCAAGGTTAACGTTGCTAGTGATGGGTGAGTCTGTTCCAATAAGTTTCCTACACATCTCATACAACAGTGTAACTTTATGGGCCAACTCTCCAGCATTAAGAAAACCTAAGAAATAAAAGATTTGAGCATCAGTCACATTTGCAGTTGTACAGGGGCCATAGGTACACAAATGTAAAAAGTCTACGTCGTATATCTTAAAGTCTACATACATCGTACTGCATTTCCTTGCATTTTATGCAGCATCTTTAACATAAATCAAATCCTTTATTGTCAAAGTATAAGAGTTTATGTATACATTATGTATAGGGGACACCAATATTTGTGATTAATTGGGTCTGCAATGCATCACAATTTAATATTGAATATCAGAAGTCTTCTAAAATCATTGTCAGTACCTTGACTTGCAAGCATACACTCCAGGGTCAATCTCATATCCGGCCTCATTATAGCTATTGCTCTGAACTGGTTTAATATTGTAGCAGGCAGCTTGGACAATCTGAAACATAATGTGGGGGTTACATGTTGCAATCCAGGGGAAATGTGGGGATAATAAATCCCAGGATAAATAGGATGTTTTGTTTCATTATAACTATCCCTGAACTGGTTTACATATACATAATACAGGTGGAGAATAAAATATGTAAATACCTTGAGTTGAAGAGTAGTAATTTCTCTGGATTGCCAGATTCTGCCTTCAGTGATGTTTCAATTGTTGCAAAACATGCTCCAGTCAATGAAAGTGACACCTTGAAAAGAAATTTCAATTATTCCATATATTTTCAATTTTTCCATGTGTTTTTCTATATAATTTTTTCGATTTTTAAATTTTATTATTATTTTTTAAGTTTTGAAAAATCCATTTGAACTTGAGTTTACCACTAACTACATGGCATATTATATATTCAATTACAATGTCAATTGCCAACTATAAAACACTTTATTATTTTCTCTCTTACATTAAAAGTTTATATCAAAACATTTCTATTTTTTTCAAAGTAATATTGACATGCTACAATTACATCCTAGACACTGAATAAGAACCCCCAAATTCCTTCATTTTTTCTTGATGTTTTCAAAAAGTCTATAATAATGTTTTGATAATAATATTTTTACCTCTTCTGTACTAATGATGACATTTGCCTTTCCTGCTTTGATTGCATCAAGCACAGTTGACAAATACTGTGCACAGACACTCAACACAGCGGGACTCAACACATTCAGATTGTTTAAGCCAATCCATGCTCCTGGAAAAACAATGTTTGATCAATATAGCATTTTTAAAGAAAAATTTGCAATAACCATGAGGTAATTTACTCATGCCAAAACCCAAATCAGAACTTTAGAAGCTGAATAGGTAAGCAGTTTTCCTGGAATTTTGTTGTTAAGGTTAATGTGGTGCCCAGCCTACCCAGATCTAAATCATTCTGGTAAAAACATTAAAACAAATTTTTTGCTCAACATCATTACAGAACAAAAGGTGATCTATGGAAAACCTCGTAAAACACATAAAATATTTTTAAAACTGAAATATGAATTTGGCTTAGCAATCATGTCTTGAAAAATACTTTTCAGGTTCAATATAATAAATAACTCTTGAAACTGGGATAGAACATCAATAGAACAAATGTCTTTGGGGTTGTAGGGATTCTCAGTTTCATATTAAGGTGGAATCAGAAAAACTACGACAAGATTTAAAAAATATTTTTCAGATATTAGTATAAAGGTGATAAAGAACCTAGTGATTTGCTAAAATTTAAAATTAAAATCTGTTTTTTCGAATCCTATCTTATTAGTTAAATAGATGGCATTGCTGATGTATTACAATTAAGTTTTGTTGAATTGAGGGAGAAGAAGTGTTAAAAGATAACATTTTATTTGGTTTAATGATTAACTTATCAACTGCATATAACATTGATAAAGATAAAATGAATCAAAAACTTTTAAAGTTTAAAAACTGTTTAAAGATTAAGGTCGCATCACATGATATTTGTGCTAACTAAAGTACAAATCACAAAAATGGCGTCAGTAATTGGAGATCGTCATAAGGAAGCTCTTACATGTGGACTGTGTCTGGACACTCTTTCTGAACCGAGGACATTACCATGTTTACACCAATATTGTTTGAAGTGTCTACATGATCTTGTAGAGAAAATAGGGCTTAAAGAAGGGAGCATCAATTGCCCTGAATGTCGTCATGTATGCTATGTGCCGCAACAGGGAGTGGCAGAGTTCAAGGTGAGCCCTACAATTACCTTCCTCTTGGATGCCTATAAGGATATCAACCTGACCCAGGAGCCAGAATGTAGCACATGTCGTGAAACAGATGAAACACACATCCCGGCTAAAGTCAAATGCCTAGATTGCAACAAGAAGTTGTGTAGAAGATGTTGTAAATTGCATGACTCATTTATGCAAGGTCATAAGACACTTGAACTTACAGGGGATAGCGCACATGATCTACAAACTGCACTTCAGTCGATAAAAGAGCGTACTGTGTACTGCCGAAAGCACCCTGCTAAACCACTGGAGATCTACTGTAAGGTGGACAAGGTTGTGTTGTGTCAGCTATGTTATACATTAAAACACACGGGTCATGATGCTGAGGATATTAAAGAAACAGCTGCTAAGAATATGAAGCCAATCGGGGCATTGATAACACAAGGTAAAGGACTTTTGGATATATATGAGCAGGCCATTCAAGATACACAAACCTATAAAAGTCAACTGGAACAAAATGCAGAAGATGTCACAGCAAACATTAACAATTATATGAACACACTGTTTCAAGCTATTCGCAAGAAGTTTAAGTCTTACACAGATCAAGTGGCGAAAGAAAAGGAAACCAATGTGAAGCAAGTCATGTCCCATCTCGGTCACCTGCAGCTCCAGAAATCCATCACTGAGGGCCAGGTCAACAAATTCTGCACCATCGTTGATCATGTTCATCCTGTAGAACTAGCTGGTCTAATAGAACAGATCAATGACAAGGCTGAGCAATGGTCCCAACAACCAAAACTTGAGTTTAATGGTAAAATAGCAATGGACTTCAAAGAGGGAGTAATCAAGGATGATAGAATTGAGTTTGGAAAGGTCTTAGTCAACAAAGGACTTGAAATTAATAAGAGAGTTAAGGTTCCATTAAAACTTATGACTAAGCCAACAGTAAAAAAACATGAACTTCAATCAGAAGGTATTATCAACTTAATCTGCACATCTGTAGGAGATTGTGTAGTAACAAATGAATCATCACAATGGAGTCAAAATTCAAAAATATATAATGCAAAATATAAGCAAAAAAGAGATTTGCATGAAAAATATGAGAATGTAACAATCATGAATGATGGCAATATAGCATTTACTGATACTTCCAATACCATCAGCATCCACAATCAATCTGGGGACCATGTGCATGATATCATTTGCAGAGAATTAAAGAATCTGTCTGGGATAACTGTGAACAGTGAAGGTGATCTGATTGTGTGTGATCTGGATACCAATACAGTACATCATGTAGATCCAACTACTGGGGCATCCAAATCTACATCAAAGCCAGGCATGTTCGAGTTGCCATACTATGTAGCATATAATAGAAATGACACAGTTATTGTTAGTGACTATCGTGGCCACTGTATAAAAGGAATAGATAAGAATGGTGAGGAACTATTCTCATATGGAGAGCTAGGTGATGGTGATGGACAACTTCGATATCCCTATGGCATATGCACTGACCAGGCTAACCATATATTTGTGGCTGACAGTTGGAACAAACGGGTCCACATGCTAAGTGAAGATGGAAAGTTCATCCAGCATGTTCTAACACATGAGGATGGTTTAGAGTATCCACTTGCTGTAGCAATCAACAATGAGGGACAACTGCTGGTTGGAGATAGCAATGGCACCCTCTTCATTGTCAATTACAGGGAATAAGGTAAATACCAACTCATTTCAAGTTACAAGTTACAACATGTATTAACTTAAAATAAAGGGATATGACAAGACAAGACTTTTACTCTTTAACTCATTGCTGGCCAAAGCTATTTTGGAGGTTTCTGCTGGTGACTGGCCATTTTGATAAAAAATTGGTCAAAATGGCATGTTTTCATATTAGCATCAAATGAAGTGAACCACCCTCTGTGCTATGTTTTATGCCATTGTGAACCCCATGAAAATATATTGTTCAGCACACCGAGGTATTATGGGTTGGTCTGAGATACGATTATGACATCATAGACAAGATATGTCGGGGTTGGTCAGCGATGAGTTAAAGTAAAAGTTGTATGTTAGGAATTGAGGATGTAGAAAATAAATTTAATGGTGGGTGAGTTTAGTAAAATACTTCCTTTATAAGAGATATATGATAATATTAGCGCAAAAGTTATTTCTCATAAAAATATGTGCAAGAGAGCTTAAATGTGTAATTTGTTTCAGCACAGAAGTGACTGCAATATATGATATCATTTGATCAGTGACAAGAGTCCACAGAGACCAAGATAGAAGACAAAAGTGAGCTATGAACTGTAATTTACATTACAACTATTGAAATCTAAAACTTAAATTAAAGTGAGTCATGGATATTACAACTAAAAATATCATAAAATGGATTAACACCTCTTAGTTAAAAAACCAACATCAGTGAAAAACATTATAAACTAATTAGATATACTTTAAAAAAATAAAAATAATATATATTGTACTGTGAAAAAACTATTAATATAGGAATGTGCTCATTCCCACGCTCCATTTCCAATGAAAACTTTAATTGTTTATATGGAACATAGGGTAGGTACTAATCAGACCTCCTGATAGCATAATTTTGCTCAGTAGTATCATAGCTATTAAGCCCATGGCAATATGGATGAGCAGACAGCAGTATGATCAGCTAAACACCTATCCTAAAATCCTCACAATGCATGTATGTTGAGGTCTGATTATGCCATTTGATAAAGATTATGTATTTCATTCTCATAACATCCATACATGTATCATACACTTTGAGGTCTAAGTTATCATTTTCTGTTAAGAAATGTTTAAACACCATCTTTCTCCTGTAATTAAAAATGAAAATGTTATTTATTTCACTTCTTGTTAACTACAGAAAATATTGTACCCTAAAAATATAAAGACTCTTGAAATATAGGCCATCACAGGCACGATGCATTCTATATTTGACTTGAATTGTTGAATAAGTTTATATCATTATACTGAAACAGAAGTTTATGCAAAGAAAGATCAGACAAAATCAAAACATTATCCTCATGTCTAGTGTGTTCACATTTCATGATTTTTCCAAAGAATAATCTTAAACATATATTGGAGAAAAAATAATGAATGGCCATTCAATATGGTGAAATTCAGCACTCATTGGAGAGAATGTCCAACTCGTGGTGAATATCATCATATTGAATGACCTATCATTATTTATTCCAATTCAAACATAAAAAATTAAAATATTGTTTAGTGAATTGGGAATTGAGCTCCTTGAAATAACCAAACTTGCTGTTATTTTCACCATTCCCAGGTATGACGTCACAATACAACACAATATGAAGCAGATCGAATAGATGCACGGTCATGCATTTATGGAGAATTAGAGAACAGCTATGCTGCAATCTGATTGTTTGAGAAACTCAATTAAAGAACTGTCATGTTTGAATTGTTGATTAAGTACATAATTCGTTGTTATTATGAATCACTCAAAGGTTTGCATATGACTCTCTTTTGTGGGAAGGGATGGTGATTTGACAAAATAAAAATTTGGATGTCAAATTCCCTATCCTGGAAAGAACATAGCGAATTAATTTCCTCTCCTATTAGGAGCACCTTGTTGAGGTGCAGAATCTTTCTGGAGACATTTTTGAAAAATTGCTATACCTACCTGTGTTATTTGTTTTATTTTAAAATGAGACATGTGTGTAAACCCTAATATTTTCAAGTAAAGTGTATCCTGATATTTCAAGAAAAAAAATATTCAAAATGGTCACCCTTCCATATTTTCATATTTTTCCATACTCCTTCTTCAAGTTTGTCAACAGTATTGGATTACCTGATCTTACACTAGATGCAACAAGGATGTTTTTCACACAAAAACAATACAACTTGTTCAGCTCCTGACATTGTAATAGTATTTTACCTTAAGAAAGATAAATAGATGGCATATGCTACATATCTTGATTACTTTTTGGATATACATGTACACAGTCCTATGGGCTATTGCAAGAGAGGGGTAACACAACTTCCCAAATTCAATATATGAGCAAAACCTGGGGTTTTAAAAATTGAAGAAAAATGTTTCCAGTATACAGATTCCAAGAAGAATCTTATATTTTTCATATACGATAATTTAGAGAAACATCTAATAAATGATTATTGTTCATAATATAATACAAAATGGAATTGATCATACTTATGGCAATAATAAAAGTTTGTATTCACACCTATCCTTCATAATAATTTAAGTGTGCCATCATTTCATAGATGTAGCTTCTAAATAATAAATAAATAAATGAAATTATAATAAACTGATTTCAAGCAAATTAATGCAGATCTATTTACTATTGCCTAAAATTTAAAAGGCTTTTTAAGATCAAGGTTGCAATCACACAATACCCATGCTTTACTGATCATTATGCTTTGAAATGGTCCTGTGGATAAAACATTCTCTGCAAATATGTGTTCTTTCAATGATTTATTGCTTTTAACTCAAGTCTTTGAATAACAAATAGAAACAGAATCATGTGTTTTATTAGCAACGTGATATCTCATGTGGTTTTATTGAATTCCAATGGGCTGAATGAGTGCCAGGTCATAGTGTTCTAAGTTATTGACTAGATGTTTAAGAATAGTGTTGCTGTAGAGAGTAATGTGTAAAGTTAAAATGGCGTCAGTAACTGGAGATCATTATAAGGAAGCTCTTACATGTGGACTGTGTTTGGACACTCTATCTGAACCGAGGACATTACCATGTTTACACCAATATTGTTTGAAGTGTCTACATGATCTTGTGGAGAAAATTGGGCTTAAAGAAGGGAGTATTAACTGCCCTGAATGTCGTCATGTATGCTATGTGCCACAACAGGGAGTGGCAGAGTTCAAAGTGAGCCCTACGATTACTTTTCTCTTGGATGCCTATAAGGATATCAACCTGACCCAGGAGCCAGAATGTAGCACATGTCGTGAATCAGATGAAACACACATCCCGGCTAAAGTCAAATGCCTAGATTGCAACAAGAAGCTGTGTAGAAGATGTTGTAAATTGCATGACTCATTTATGCAAGGTCATAAGACACTTGAACTTACAGGGGATAGCGCACATGATCTACAAACTGCACTTCAATCAATAAAAGAGCGTACTGTGTACTGCCGAAAGCACCCTGCTAAGCCACTGGAGATCTACTGTAAGGTCGACAAGGTCGTGTTATGTCAGCTTTGTTATACATTAAAACACACAGGTCATGATGCTGAGGATATTAAAGAAACAGCTGCCAAGAATATGAAGCCAATCGGGGCATTGATAACACAAGGTAAAGGACTTTTGGATATATATGAGCATGCCATTGAAGATACACAGGTCTATAAAAGTCAACTGGAGCAAAATGCAGAAAAGGTCACAGCAAACATTAACAATTATATGAACACACTGTTTCAAGCTATTCGCAAGAAGTTTAAGTCTTACACAGATCAAGTGGTGAAAGAAAAGGAAACCAATGTGAAGCAAGTCATGTCCCATCTCGGTCACCTGCAGCTCCAGAAATCCATCACTGAGGGCCAGGTCAACAAATTCTGCACCATCGTTGATCATGGTCATCCTGTAGAACTAGCTGGTCTTATAGAACAGATCAATGACAAGGCTGAGCAATGGTCCCAACAACCAAAACTTGATTTTAATGGCAAAATAGCAATGGAATTCAAAGAGGGAGTTATCAATGATGATAGAGTTGAGTTTGGAAAGGTCGTAGTCAACAAAGGACTTGAAACTAATAAAAGAGTTAAGGTTCCATTTAAACTTATGTCTAAGCTAACAGTGAAAAAACATAAACTTCAATCAGAAGGTATTAATGACTTAACCTGCACATCTGGAGGAGATTGTGTAGTAGCAAATGGATCATCACAATGGAGTAAAAATTCATCAAAAATATATAATGCAAAATATAACCAAAAAAGAGATTTGCATGAAAAATATGAGAATGTAACAATCATGAATGATAGCAATATAGCATTTACTGATAGATCCAACACCATCAGCATCCACAATCAATCTGGGGACCATGTACATGATATCATTTGCAGTGCATTAGAGAAGCTATATGGGATAACTGTGAACAGTAAAGGTGATCTGATTGTGTGTGATCTGAACACTAAAACAGTACATCATGTAGATCCAACTACTGGGGCATCCAAATCTACATCAAAGCCAGGCATATTCCAGTCGCCATACTATGTAGCATGTAATAGAAATGACACAGTAATTGTTAGTGACTATATAGGCCACTGTATAAAAGGAATAGATAAGAATGGCAAGGAGATATTCTCATATGGAGAGGAAGGTGAAGGTGATGGACAACTTCGATATCCCTATGGCATATGCACTGACCAGGCTAACCATATATTTGTGGCTGACAGTGGGAACAAACGGGTCCACATGCTAAGTGAAGATGGAAAGTTTATCCAGTATTTTCTAACACATGAGGATGGTTTGGATTGTCCACTTGCTGTAGCAATAAACAATGAGGGACAACTGCTGGTTGGAGATTACAAGGGCAACCTCTTCATTGTCAATTACAGGGAATAAGGTAAATAACAACTCATTTCAAGTTACTCTAATACAACAATGTACATTATATAATCACCTATGTATCTTTTATATCAACAAAATACAATGTTTGATTAGAAATGCTTAATTATGAATAATATGGCAGATATATATGATAATATGAACACAGTTATTATAAAATATGAGCAAGCAAGCTAAAATATGTAATATTTGTTTCAGTAAAGAACTGCCTGTGAAACATGATGTCAAATGATACAAATGGTACTTTGGATCAGTGACAAAAGACAACAGGGAGTGAGATAGAAGACAATAGTGAGTGACGTGAGTCATTGAATGTAATTCATGTCACAGTAAATGGAAATAAAAATAAATGTGTAATATACTTTCATGATATCACTGGTGATCCACTCGATTACGCTGGTTAGTGAAACGCTTCATTTCGGTAACAAAATGTTGGAATGTCAAATGTAGGCAGAATCCCCATGACATTTTTTCTCACAAACGTGTATCAGTATCATATGTTTTAGAACACCTCACATTACATAAACGGTTTGAGTTAAAAGTCCAGATCTTAACTGTTTTTCGAAATACTGAGTGTTTATGTAACTTAAGTGAGGAATTAAATCGATACTGATACATGTTTGTGATAAAAATGTCATGTGAATTCTGCCTACAACCTGTGAATTAAGGAAAAAAGAAAAATCGTACCTTTGACGTTCCGACATTTTGTTACCGAAACAAACCGTTTCGGTAACCAGCATAATCGAGTGGATCACAAGTGATATCATTGGTTTGCTCTGGGTTATCATAGCTCAGGCATTGGACTTTATGTATCAGTGAACAGTGTCTTGTTAATACTTATACCTGTGAATAAGCAATAACAAACTCACCTGTAGTTGCAAACCCCTTGAATATATCAGCCAGCATGTAGCTATCTAGTTGTTGCGTACAATTGAACATGTATAGAGGCTGGCCTAGGGCACGGCTTAATTCATGGATGGTGGCGAGTTTACCTGCCCCCTAAAAAATAATTTCATGACATGAATATATTAGTTTGTTGTGTAAATGTGATAGAGAGGCCTAGGCCAGCATGGCTTCATTTTATAAATAGTGGCTTTTAAATGCAGAAACTTCTAGAAAAATGGACAAATTGAAAATGAATACTAAAACATGGTTAATTCTTGTATGCAGTTTTCAGAACTTTTTGGTTTGATTAATTTTCATAAAAAAGATTTCTTTAAGAGATTATTTACAAATTGTAACAATGTAAATATTATTTTAATACACTCCAATATTATATGTGAAAGCAACCAACCCATTGAAAGGTATATTAAATAAATCACAGTCAAGTTCCACTTACACAAGTTTTACTGTTATCACTGTATATATAATCTACATTAGTCTACATGTACTTTTTTGTTATTTATAATAAATCTTTATTTTCACATATTATTTTACAGGTCATTAATGTTGTTTACTAAAGGAGAGAGAGAAAGGAAGATTACATTGATTTATGTCACTTTGTATAAACTGATGATATTAACATGTACTTACAGATGGTCCCATACATAGTCCTCCTACATTTGCCTTCACAGCTTGCGTCAAACTAACAAATGCCTTCTCTGTCATTGGCGTAATTACTTCCCGTGTGCATGAACCCATATACTCAAACCCATAGTCAAACTCTGCATCAAGGCACTTGACAGAAATCGTCAAATCCTCTGTGTTGAATTTATACTGGAGTTGGGATCGCCAGTCAAATGCTTCCTCAAGGTTTGTGTCTGATTCGTTGGTTTTCTCAATTAAACGAACCAGCAGGTCCCTTTGGTGAGTAAGGACAGCTTAAATAACAAAGTAATATAATTTGTTGTGATCTTCCAAATCCTTTTCTTTAAAAGATATAATGTCTAAAATGAAATAATCATATAGAAATCATTCAAAATTATATTTCATTTTTTAAAGGACTTACATATAAGACTGCTTATTTTCTGGATCTGACTCGGGAAGAGCATCAGTTTCAAATCTGTTTCCTCGGATTGTTGCTTCTCACGATTCTGTTGAATTTCAACCTCAAGGTCATGGTCACTCTTTTTGGGTATAAGCACAACCGCACCAAGATTCATTGTATCTATTGGTTCACTAGTCTGTGGTTCCAGAAGTGCTGAAAATATAGTAAAATAAAATGTAAACCTTTTGGTTGTCTGCTGAAGTAATGTTGCATTATGGGAAAGGATTTTTATTCCCAGGTGTATTGAAGGCAGCAAGATTTATTGTTTCTATTGGTTCGCTAGTCTGAGGTTCCAAAACAGCTGAAAATATAGTAACTATTTTGGTCATCTGCTGAAGCAATGTTGCATTATGGGAACGAATTTTTATTCCCATGTGTATTGAAGGCAGCAAGATTTATTGTTTCTATTGGTTTGCTGGTCTGTGGTTCCAGAAGAGCTGAAAATATGTCAATATTTTGGTCGTCTGCTGAAATAATGTTGCATTATGGGAAAGGCTTTTTAGACAGAATCAAAGCTTCAGTGCAAAGGTTCATTTAAACTAGTCAGATTTCAATTTTCCCTATGGGTAGAGAAACTCTACTAAACCTACCCTCAGAGCCATCTGCATGTGAACCCTCCTCAGGTATCGTTGCTTGAGGGTTCTCAATTGTGAGGTCATAGACAGAGCCTCTGTTTGAAGTCCCGAACTGACTCTTGCCCTTGTACGACGTGGATTGGGACATTGTCTCTCTTTCATTATCTTCCTTTTCTTTTTCTGGAATATCAAAAAGATTTAAATTACTTGAAACCATATCATAGGGGGAATCATAGTTTTCTCTAAACGTCCTTGCTAAATATAGGACTTAAGCGATGTGTATAGCTTCAAGCATCATTGTTTGCTGTATTACTAACTTCACCTCTTTTCCACTGTATTTTATATTTAACAGTTCAAAACATTTTTCATTTAAAAATGTATGCTTACCATCTGCTTCAAGCTTTGCCTTTTCTTTTCTTGCTCTTGCTTCTTTCTCATCTTCAAGTCCTTTAAGCATCATAACTGTTGCCTGGACACTGGAGTTGATCTTCACCAGTGCAACCTAGAACAGAAATTATGGGATATATGTATTAACTATTTGGGATGCCTGTTTCTTGGACATTATACACCCATTGCAGCACTCAGGAAGATGTATGTATTTTTGTCTATAAAATCCAAATACCTTATCCTTGTTCAAATAGGGCTGAAGACAACATAAAATACAATTTAATCTCTCATTTGTACTCACCTGTAGAGCGTCCTTGTCTCCATTGTTCATCTGCTCAATGATCTCATTCACTTGTTGTGTCATTTGTATTTGGGTTGTCAGGCACACTACCTCAGCAACATGGTCCAAAGTCCATGATCTGAAATGTAAAATGAAACATTATCTTCCCCCATTTTTGAGGCAATCCCAATTGCATTCAGATTGATTAAATTGGTTTTACTGTAGAGAAGTTTTACTAAAACACTGGCAAAAAAACAAGCATGTCTAAAATTTTCCAAAAGCCAAATTAACAACACTGTTAATAGACTATTAGAAAATAAAAAAGGAACAAAATAATTAGTTATGCAAACCTGGACCCTTGCTCTGCGGATTCTTCTTCTTGTTCAGCAGGGGTAGCAATACGACTGTCCTTCACTCTACTACTAGCTAGGCGGCTGCCGGATCTACTTCCTGCACGCTCTAAAACACGTCACAGCATAACACATTAATGATGGATAACAAAACCAGGTATTAAACATAAACAAAAGTATCGGGTCTTGCAACTTTTATATTTTTGCTAGGTGATCATTAAAACCTGGGAATTGGTCTGCAATTTCAATATTTTTCAACTAATTTAGTGTGGTACTTATTAACGGTCAAAATAATATGGGAAATGCAATTCATTTCATAACTTAATGCAACTTTAAAGTTATAAACAACAATTAACAGAGAACCATCAGTATCAATAAAAATCCCATTTTAACAATATTATTCTATAAGGAATCTTAATAAAATATCAATATTTATCAAAGATTTCAAAAGTTTTTTTAAGCCCTTCATGCCCCAATTTTACACAAAGTATTAACATGCAAAATGTCACGACCTGCCATTTGTTACAGATGCCGGATGCCAACCACCGTCACTCCGTCACAAAAAGTGGAGACCATAATAATTTTGGTGGTGACATAAAATGTTATTGAATGATATTGAATTTGGTATTTGCTTCCAAATGAAAGAATTAGAACCCTATCCCGAGAACCTTACCATCGATAGAACCTTTGTTTTGATTAATATATCCATTATATTATATTATTGTATATTAATATATAATTTTCTATAATCACCTGAATTAGCTGAATCTGCTGGATTAGTCCAAATAAAATAAATCAAACATATTAGTAATCATTCATTAGTTAATATTAAGACATTCCATATATTACACTCACATTATATACTGTATGTATATGTAATGGTATAGTTCACAATATACATTTTGATTTTCAATTGTTAATTTATAGTTAATACAAGACAATATGCATGTCAAATATTATCAAAAACATAAATATTATGGGGCTGTTTTAAAAACCTGTCAGGGCTTATGGGTAAAAACAATTATGGTGCAAATATAATTAACTAGGTGCATACTAAATCTGGGTCAGATGTAACCAATCAGACTGGCAGATTCTATAGTCCAACTATGGGTAAATATGGGACTTGGTTTGCGGATTCATTTTTAAAAAGTAGGTTAAAAGCTATTGAAAAATCTTAACTACTGTATAGGTCATAGTATAAAGCTCTTTCCACCTCAAACTATGGGTATATCATAAGCTTGTCTTTTCTATGGTGCATTCTTAAATAACTAAATGGAATGGAAGTAAAACTGACAAACGGCTTCATTTCTCCACATTTTTCCACTATCCTCTACATTTTTCCTGTGGGAAAAGCAAGTAAAAACAGGATATTTCCTGATGTTACTTCATTGTTCCACACTACAAATGGGAAAAAATTAAGAAAATTTATGGATAAAAGTGTGGGGAATTTAGTAAGATCACCTATGGGCTATCCTTAACTACTGGTCAAATGTCAACCTTTTATTTTTTCCAAAATTATGGGTGCGTTCTTAACTATGGGTCATATGTTAATAAAAGCTCATCAACTATGGGTTCACCTCTGTGACTGGGGGTATGAGACCTAGAATTAGGACCATTGTCTCTAGGGGTCTGGCCTATACTGAAACTATTGCCTAATAACACAAACATATAAAATACAAAAGAATAAGTCAGAGTTAAATACAGGCCTAAAGTATATTCGAGTGCAAAGGAAATATTTTAGAAGGGGGGAAAGGGGTAGATAGACTAAGGTAGCTCAATTGGTATAGTTCAGAGCTCAACATTTTGAGTATGAAGCCATGAATCATCATACAATTACTGTTTTGTATGTCACTATGGTTACCATCAGATTCATTGCATATTGCGCAATCTAGCATTATTTTAGCATATACAGCAACGAAAATGAAAACATTTTTCAAATATTCTTGATTTACATTTTTGTTGATATTATTATACTGCTTGAGCTACCTTTCAGAGTATTTAGAATTTTGTAGAGGAAAAAACTTAAAAACTCAAAAGTTATTTCCCAAATTGGATATCGTTCATAGAAAAGCATGAATCTGTTGATTGAAATGTTCACCTATGTTTGACCCTCTGGTGACGGGTCGGCTTCCTGATTGGCTCCCTAAACATATATGTATATGAATACATTATAAATGTAAACAAGCTACATGTATCGTGCATAGTGCAGACAGAAAAACCACATAACTCAATGTCTAAACTAAAAATAAAATATTTATGACAGAATCTACATTTAAAAAACAATAACAACAACAACAGACAACAGATATTGTGAAAAAGTGAATCATCAAATTAGTACAAAAATAATAATTTTCATTATCGAAGGAATACCAACCTCGTCCTCCCTGTCTGCTTTGAGAGCGCGACTGGACTTGGACTCGCCTCGCCCCCGCACTGTGTATTTCACGTTTTGGAGGAGGTTTCTCCAGACCCATAGCTGTTGCTAGCTGGTATTGGATACCCTCCTTTATCGCTTGTAGGAATGCTGTCAACCAGCCTTCGATAGCTCCTTCACAGAGCACAGGCTGAAACACAACAATGGTATTCTTGAGAACAATATAGGTATTTCAGCTCAATGTTGGTATTTCAATATATAAATGCCATTTAAGGAAATGTTCAATATATAAATGCTATTTAAGAAAATGTTCAATACATTAATGCTATTTAGGAAAATGTTCAATATATAAATGCCATTTAAGGAAATGTTCAATATATAAATGCTATTTAAGAAAATGTTCAATATATAAATGCTATTTAAGAAAATGTTCAATACATTAATGCTATTTAGGAAAATGTTCAATATATAAATGCTATTTAAGAAAATGTTCAATATATAAATGCTATTTAAGAAAATGTTCAATATATAAATGCTATTTAAGAAAATGTTCAATATATAAATGCTATTTAAGATCCATTAGAATGGTTTAACATAATATTAAACAAAATGGATATGTCATGGTGTTCCAACAACAAGGTTGTATTTATACATCTATCATTATTTTTATTTAACAAAGAAAAGATACAAAATGGAAGGCTGATACTTTACTTATCAGGAAATATAATCTTCATAATGAAAATCAGAGGCAATAAGGATATACTTAGAGGTTATGTCACTATGACGTGAAATATGCCTGAGTTCTCCCAATATAGGCCGACCTTGGGAGGCTCTATATTTGGGCAAGAACGAAGGCATATTTCACGTCATAGTGACATAACTGATGTATTACATGCCTTTGTTCCCATGGTTACTTTGTATCAATGACGTGACGTCATGATATTATCATGGTTATTAAAGAAATCTAATATCAAAACGAGGTAAGCGGGCTATATCGGGGTAATCGGGCAATATCGGTGGATATAGCTCGCTAACTTTCCCATTGACTTCCATACAAATGCTTCGCTAGGTATGTAATACTGTAGTATATATACTATAGTAGATCATTCAACTATCACACAGAAAAATAACACCGACTTCAAAGAGACTCAGAGATGTATAGATCTATAAAGTCAAAATACATTGAATGTCTACAATTAATTCTAAGGCATGCTTCTTCAATGAACCTTTCTACAATACAGCACAATACAAATTCTTAATAAATATAATGGACCAATGTTCCAATCTCAATGAATATTTGTAAAATAAATGAAAATTGATTCAGTGAAAATAGCATGCTTTACATTATTCTACATACTTTAAGAATTAAGTCATCAAGTTTTTCATCTAAAGAGACCTATAAGATAGGACATCTCATAATTTACTCAAACCCTTCTTAGTTTATACTTCTAACTAACTGGAAAGACAGAATTGTCCCAAGATAATAAGGAAAGTAGCTAAATATCTTCTTCCTTTATAATAAGTAAACTAGCTACAAGGCCCCTTGATAATATGTAAAGTAGCTATATAGCCCCTTGATAAAAAGTGAAGTGGCTATATAGCCCCTTGGTAATAAGTAAAATAGCTATATACAGGTAGCCCCTGCATAATAAGTAAAGTAGCTACATAGACTCTTGACAATAAGAAAATAGCTAGATAGCCCCTGGATAATAAGGAAAGTAGCCATATAGCCCCTTGGTAATAAGGAAAGTAGCAATATAGTCCCTTGATAATAAGGAAAGTAGCTACATAGACTCTTGACAATAAGGAAAATAGCTAGATAGCCCCTGGATAATAAGGAAAGTAGCCATATAGCCCCTTGGTAATAAGAAAAGTAGCTATATAGGCCCTTGATAATAAGGAAAGTCGCTATATAGCCCCTTGATAATAAGGAAAGAAGTTATATAGATTCTTGACAATAAGGAAAGTAGCCATATATTAGCCCCTTGGTAATAAGGAAAGTCGCTATATAGCCCCTTGATAATAAGGAAAGAATCTTGACAATAAGGAAAGTAGCCATATACTAGCCCCTTGGTAATAAGGAAAGTAGCTATATAGCCCCTTGATAATAAGGAAAGTAGCTATATAGACTCTTGGTAATAAGGAAAGTAGCTAGCCCCTTGATAATAAGGAAAGTAGCTATATAGCTCCTTGATAATAAAGAAAGTAGCTAGCCCCTTTATATAAACCAAGGTAACTTAAGAACTAACGTAGATATTCAAGGAGGGGGCCATTGCAAATAGTATTTATCAAACCTGTCTCAAAGCTATCCTTTCTCCTAATAAACTTCTGACACCAACTATCACCTGATTGTACACAAAATATGATGTCTTGAATATGTGATGAACTTGACATATGGTGATGTCATAAATATGTGATGATGTCATAGATATAAATAAAAATGCATATACTATACATATTAATAGGATCTTATTAGTACTGATGCCCTTTTAGGGCCAAACGTACATCCGATATACAATTTTCAATAACAGTAAAAAATAAAAAAGGATGGTATAACGTTTCTTGTTCCGTTTTGAATAAGCGCGTTAGACGATTGGGTTTACAACTGGTGAAATCACCGAACAAAGAACCAGACTTCAAAAAGATCATATTGAAACAAACAAGAATAAACATGGTATTAAAAATAGTACAATGGGAAAAACACATATTTTATTTTTCAAAAAATATGCAAATCATTAGTGTGACCCAATTTAACAGAAGTATTGAGTCACTGCCCTCTATCTTTTGTCCCATACACATATAAATGAATTTGGGCAACACATGGTGCTTCATGCAAGGCTAACTTATCAAACATGCTACATTACCTGTTTCAAAGGAAGGCGTTCACCTAGAGCACTTTCTACACCCTTAAGTTGGAAGTTACATCTGTCATTGTCGACCTCCTCATAAACAAGACTTCCAACATTTTCAAATAGCTTGTTGACGTACAGGTTCACTTGATTGACGTCATAGCCTGTAATATATGTATAACGTGTATAATTGTTCAGTTATTTTCATTTATATCTAGAAGTAATGTATGTAGGGAGGTTGGGAAAAATGTTGGGATAATTCTCTATTATACACCAAACTCCACCATTCTTATTATCAGTTGACAAAAAAGTTCACATTTTCATTTACTTTTCATATTTATTAACAATGGTTAATTCTCTTGTTATTGAAAACAGGACTTCATATTCAATATTTTCAAGTAAGGAATAAACAAAATTTAAAAATTCTCACAGAATCTAAAATCCTAGCTGATTATTTTGGATAATATTGAAATTACCTATAAAACTTACCATTACACACAATATGTAAGACGTCAGTCATTGACAGGAAGTAGAATCGTGGGAATTTCTGTCGTCTGCGGTCAAGGTGACTGATTAGAGATTTCTTACATTGTTCCAAGTTTGAGTTCATCTTTTCCAAGATTCTCATTACATCTGCAAATTGGGACAATGGTCATATTTTAAAGACCCCATATTGAGTTTTAAAATATGTTTTCATTATTTTTAATCTGTTTTCCAGTACTTCCATGAAGTTGTTGAAAAATGCATTACTCTTTTTAAGAAAAAAGTTGTTTTCAAACATTCCAATTTTGCATTATTTTTACAATAACAGCTTTTTCTTGATATAAGAGGGGTTTCACAAGAATTTCTCACAACAGGCTAAATAAATGTAAACAACAGGCAAAATTAATGGATATCATAAATTTTACATGGAAAGTTGGAAAAGTCCCTAAAAACAACAGGCGATTTTGTGAAAACAAAACGCCTGTTGCCTGAAGCTTACGAAACCCCTGTTTTATGTCTTTTTTGATTCTTACTTTTTCTTTGGCAGCACTGAAGGACATTTGGGTTCTTCTCAGTTGCTCTCATAAGAAGTCTAAAGTCTCTGTTCACGCTAGAAAATAGGCTGGCATCTTGGTACAGGGTGATCTTTACATCAGACCCAGTGTAAATCTGAAATAAAAATGTCAACATTTACAGGGTGTGAATAATAAGTTCAAAGTCTCTATTTACTTGAGAGGAAAGGCTTGTATCTTGGTGCAGGGCAATTTGAAAATGTAACTCTGAAGAGAAAATCTATTGTACTGTTTCATATGTACACTGTACAAAAATACATTGTACAGATTTGATATGCACACTGTATGGCTTCAGTGTGCAATAAATTAGTATCAATTAAAAAAAATAAAAACAACAAATTATTGCTTAAAAATATTTCTTTGTACCTCTTCAAGCTCGACCCATTTATCCTGTACTTCTAACCAAGCTGTAAGAACTGCTTCTATGGTTTGTAGCCTCTTCTGCCACTTGATCACCTCATCTAAGAATGAGCCTGCTGCACTGTTGCCTAAAATCAGGATAATACTATCGCTGAAAATTGACCTGTATTTTGCTTGAAATCAAGATAATACTATTGCCGAAAAGGGATCTGTATATTCCAAGAAAATATTAATATCAAAACATAAAAAAGTTTAATGTGCTCTCTATATTGCATCCTCTCCTCCTATTACAATACATATAATCACTTCAATTTTCCTTATAGACTTAAATATGCATCTTCGCACACTCCGTCTTCATTGTGTTCCAACCAATGGGAGCCAAGTGGATGACGATGCGACAGAAGCCAAGTGAATTAAGATGAAGATAGTAGATAAGAGGGGGTCCAATGAATCAGACTAACCCCCTTTCTCCCAAATAACAGGATTTATAATATTTTACCTTGCATCGCCTGCAGTGACACCTGGTGGCTCTCTAACTGTTCAAAGATGGCGTCTGTGTCAGTTATCAACTGCAGCTGACCAGAGTCCTATAAATTACAAATATATATTCAATATTTATCTGAGATGCCATGATTTGAAATAAAAAAATACAATAGAAAAAGTGGGCAAAGCAATTAAAAAAAGTTTGATGCGTACAAAGTAAGCACTATGAATTGTACAGAAATGTCTTAAAATTAAGAAACTCATTCAAATTTTTGGGAGAAATTGCATGGTGTAAGTATACAAAGAATGAGTGCACTCTCAATTAACTCCATACAAAATACAAACACAAAATTGAGATCTGTGACATAACATTCTATATTTCAATTCTGATTGACCATTTTTTGCAAAATGAGTATAAAAATACTATCAAAAATTCAGAACACCGACCTCTCCCATATTAAGCAAAGACGCAGGAAGTGATGAAACGCTAGTACGCCGTTGCCTACTTTGGGCACTCTGGTTGGATATCCGACTGGCTGACGTCGTAGTTCGCATCTGGGTCTTACTGGCAAGGTTAGATCCTGCTTCACTGTGGGACTCACTTTGAGTGTCCTAATACATAAAGCAGTGCATTGTGGGTGCAGTCATGCAGTGTGATGTCATAATAAAGCTTTTAGAGAAATTAATGGGATATTTGTTGAACTTTCTGTGCAATGTGATTGGAGCTTCTTTGTGCAATAATCTAATTATATTTTCATGATGTAGAACCATGCATTTCATGATGATCACAATACATAAAGTGCTTAGAGGAAGGTGAATTTGTAGGATTCATAAATTATTAAAACCATTCAATTTCCGTTAATTAAAAATGGATTTCATTCAAAAAACAAACAATTTTTGACCACTTTTTCAATTCACTTGTAGTTGTAGGCTATCAAAATTATAAATCAGTTGAAGAATATTATCATGTGAATATATATAATAAAAAATGTGCTTTGAAAAATCTATGTGTAAAACAGGTCTAAGAACATGAGGTGTAAGACAATATACCAAGGGCCCCATATATTTGCATGCAAAGGATCACTGTTAACTTACTACTACAGGCTTTGACTTGTGGGGATCTATATAGGAAAATATGTGATGATCAATAAAGTATTTTAACAGTTATGTACATTTGTAAAAAATGTTCGTGAAGCAAGGGTAAATAAAGAAGGATTATGATCCACATTCATTTGAATTTTAATATCATATGATAGATTTCTAATATCATATGATAGATTTTTAATATCATATGATAGCTTCTTCTAATATCATTTGACAAATAATCCAATATCATATGACAATAACTCTAATATCATATTAAATATACTCTTAATATGATATGATATATATTCTAATACCGCATGATGGATATTCTAATACTGTAATATGATTGCCACTCTTACTCTTAATATGATATGGTATATTCTAATATCATATGATTGCCACTCACATCTTGTTTGCTTTGTTCAATGACAGTCCCAGCAGTAGTTGGCGCTTTCACACGGACATGAGATCGAAGATCAAAGATCTTAGACAGCCATACTTCCTCATATGTCTTCAGAGACTGTTCAATGGAAAGATCTTTAACAGCTCGTTGTACAATGGCACGTACATCATCCACATGTTCTGTGAGGAGAAAAAATGACAAAATGTCATTGGGGCCATAATTTAAAAGTGAAAATAAAGTGAAAATATAGAGAATAAGTGAGAAATAAAGTTCACAGGCATCAAGGCAATACTCTAAATTGTATAGAAATGCTCAAAATTGAGGCAGTTTATTCAAATTTTAGAGAGAAATGGAGTGAAATAAACATACAGTGAGCAGACAAATGTTGGAAAAAATATTGTAGTATTGTCGAAGATTTAAAGATCAAGTGTACTTATAAGAACTTTTTTCAGAAAGGGAATATTTTTACTTTTTAGATTTCCAATGACTTATGATAAGAAAATAATCATTGCTGTATAAAATATTTTACTTTGGAGGCCGAGACTGAGCAATTCTCCCAAGGTCATTCGTTTGAGGGTGTCATTATCAATCTGTAGGGCGCCACCTGTCACTCTGACCAGTTGTTTCCAATGACGTGTCCTCATAGCAGGGTTGCTAAGATCATCAATCAGAGGCAGGCAGGCCTGTAAAAAAACAAAAATCAGAAATATAAACACAATGGGATGAAATACAGGCAAAATGAGATATGTACTGGCCTGTAAAAGACAAGTATCAGGAATATATACACAATGGGATGAAATACAGGCAAAATGAGATATGTACTGGCCTGTAAAAGACAAGTATCAGGAATATATACACAATGGGATGAAATACAGGCAAAATGAGATATGTACTGGCCTGTAAAAGACAAGTATCAGGAATATATACACAATGGGATGAAATACAGGCAAAATGAGATATGTACTGGCCTGTAAAAGACAAGTATCAGGAATATATACACAATGGGATGAAATACAGGCAAAATGAGATATGTACTGGCAAATGTGAACTACATATAAAATAAAATGTACAGACAACAAGGCAAAATGTCACCACCCGCCATTTGTTAAGACACCAATCACTGAATGCTGACCGACGAACACTGTCCATAAAAAAGTTGGAGACGATAACAATAAGTCACCACTTCTAGTGATGACAACAATCATGAAATGAAACATATATATACAAAAAATACATTTTGACAATGCAAATACAAACCTGAATAGTCGTAATAGACTCCAAGAGGCCCATATAAACATCCCACATAAATACATCTTCTGGCAGAGTCTTAACAATATCAAGCTGTTTGTTGGTTTCATCACGTAAGAACTTTGTGTTCATTTTCTGCCAGCGATGACGCTTCCATTCGCTCTGCTGGTCGTCAATGAGACGAACTGTCTCCCAAACTTGCTTCAAGTTGTTCAAGTCATGGCGACATCTGTAAAATAATATAATATCATGATTTAAGTTTTGTCAAACAGAACAAGGCAATAAGGCAAACTGTCACCAACTGCCATGCTGACTGCCAAATGCTAAATGCCAAACTGCCAAACACCATCCACAAAAAAGTTTGAGACGATGTTACCACTTCTGTTAGTGAGATATTATAGATGGGAATAGTTTAATGGCCTTCAGGATTGTCAATAGATGGCGAAAAATTCAGTAGGTTTTATAACATACTTTAACATGTAAAAATGTTCCAAAAATCTCCCAAGATAAATTTTATTTAGAGGAAAATATGATATTTATTTGATATATGTAGAGAATTTTAAGTTTCAAAAATGGGCCAGTTGTTGAGAACAACCTAGTAGTTAACTGCCATCTATACGAGTCCTGGCTCCCATTAAGTGATTAGTTATGTTACCATTAATAAAAGCTCTTTATTCAGAGATGTAAAATGCACTCAATGAGGAAATATTTTTACCCATACATTTCTGTATGCAATCATGGTATATAGTGTGAACTTTTCCTGATAACTCATCTATTAAACTTTGTATGTTAAATTTCTGTAAAGCTATGATGATTGCATGTTCTATGTATAAAATAGAAAGAGAAAAAATGAACTTCAATTTTGGGAAAAGTTTAATTGCAGGAGAAATAAAAACAAAACTTACTGTGGAAGGATGGAAAAGTTCACCACAGATGTTTCCAGCAACTCTTGAAGCTCTATCAAATCTTGCGCTTCATTTTCCAAGACAGTCAGACTTGACATGAAGTTATCTAGACTGCTGTAGGCATCACCAATGCTGTAGTCGCGATTGTATACCTCCGAATCTTCTAAGTTTGTGTTCAGGGTGTTTACTCTCTCTCCAAATGCAGCAAGGTCCTGAAAATGTGGTAATTATAATGGTTATGAGTCAAATATAGGCACTTGGGAAACGCCCCCATTATTTAGAAAGAGGCTAGTTCACCTATATAGAAAACATATAGAAGCATACAAAGCATTTGCTCATTTTGGGGGTGTTGCAGTTTTAATGGTTCAATTAACATTGAGTCAATGGGCCAAGTATTCCACTTGATACAGAGGTGTTCCACAAAACAGGTTTTACAGTACAATATCTTTTTGGCTGGTAAGTGCATTAAAGTTCATTAATGTACCTTTGTGATTCTTTCAGATTCCTCTTGAATTCTAGGCCCAAGTCTTTGCTTCGCTAGCGACACCTTTGTTTTGAGATTATTCCATCGACCAGGAGCTGCATTGAATAGTTGTTGAGTCACATCTGGTAGCTTCTGGCTGTATTTTTTGAGCAACAGTACTGTCCTGTGCATCGCTCCAAACTTCCCATCCATTTCTGACTGCTGTGCTGACACCTAGTGGTAGAAAGAAAAACTTCAGTTTACTCAAAAATTCTATTCTTTTTTTCTTATATTTGCATCTGAATTTGTATCTGAATTTTTATCTCAAAATTAGGCAGTGATAAAATGTCAAAATGCTCAATTGTTAATTTAATATCAACATGAATATTGAGAAATCTTTCATGGGCAATCTGTTAAACATACAAGATTTTTTCAAAGGTCTAGGAAACTACCGCTACAAGTTCACTTCCCCCTAAAAGTATGGCAACTGGCATGGGGAACTGCCAGTTGCCAAACTTATGGAGAGGGTGTAACAACTACCGATTCTTATTCAACAAATCCAGGCCAGATCTCATACTACAACATTCTACTAAAGTGTACTATATGTGTTTAGTATAAAGCAAAAATCACGCTGAAAAGGTGATAAAAATTCACCTCTGAATATCCTGTTGCATATTATGGAAGGAATGGTCTCCAAATGTTGACGGGTCATATAACAGAGATATCTTTCATTGGACGAGGGAGTAAGTAATGGTTTCATCAGTAAAGAATTTTGAATTTAAAAAATGCATCTTTGAGGCAAATCTGTATTTTCAATTTTTGTATATGGGACAGGGGGTTTAAACCATCATAAAATTAACTTTACACTTCCAAAAATGACAACATGGGGAGACCATCCCTAATTGAAAGTAAAATCGCTAGTACCCCTGATACCCTAGTGAATCTTTTTGAAAATATAAAACTAAGTAAACTAAATAGAAAGAACAAAGAATAATAGAATAACCTAAAAGACACATATATTATTCATTTAATGGTAAATGTTCAAATCTTTTGAGCACAAAATGAAAAAAATATTGAATATTGCAAAGTGTGGAAAACCTGCCAAATTCAAGTGTGGTATGATAGATAACAGATTGTGGTACTGAGAAAATTCACCTAAATCTTCATTTTCTGGAGTGAAAATGAAGTTAAACTTGCTTTTTCAGTATTTCCAAGATACATTCAGTATTTCAGATGAAAAGACTAAGTAGATAAATTGAAGGTAGAGTTTTTTTGCAAAAAGCATGACCTCCAAAGAAACAAACCTGAACGCCCCACTCATGACGTAACCTGGAAATCTACATCATCCATGCAGGGTGAATATTTAATAAATAAAAATTGTTTATTTCAATTTACTTAAAGGTGCTGTGTGAATAATGCAAATTTCATTTCTATGGTTTTATTCTTTATACAGCACCTTTAAGGAAAAGGTTAAAGTATGAAATAATAACACAGAAATTAATTGATGAAAATTGTTACGGGTTATGGATTAACTAACATCTAAATCAAACTTAAATCAATTCAGCTAATTGGACAATTGACAAAACATATTAATGTTAAATTCACCATCTCAATTGTTACGATTGTAAAATAAATTGCAACTGGATAAATAGATTTTAAGAAAATCTTGATGGTCAATTTATCATTTGGGCTAGTTATTAATAATTCTACACAACGCTATCAGGTAATTTAAAACTTAACACACAACAAGTTTTTAATTTAAAATGGGTAGAAAAAGTAAAATATTTTGACACTCAAAAGTTAAAAACATACATGTAATGTAAATCTTACGTGTTAGCCTTTCTCCCTAACCATTCCCCTTTTGCCCTCCCCACCCCATTTATGTCTAGCACATAAGCAATGCGCATTTTGAAAAACAGAATAGTTTTTGGCCCTTACTGGCCCTGATTGTGCAAAAGATAATAAGGAAAAGAGGTCACCATATAAATCAATGGAGAGTAGGACCATAAATTGATAGGACCTCCTTCCCTTTTACAATGTGTATGTCATGTTTTTTGTGTTTGATCCTCTTTCCAAAACTTTAATGTTTGACAGACATGCATTTTGCAAAGCTGAAAAGTGTTGTTTTAAAGCCAAACTCATGTGCAGGTATTATGCGTTCTGTTTTCACCCGATCACTTTTTGTCCTCCAAAAGGTTTTAATATATTTTGCAAAGCTGGAAAGTTTTATCGTTTAATAAAGCTAAATCCATCATGCAAAAAGTCTCAAGTTTTCACCACACCCCTTTTCCAACCCAAATCCATGTACATTTGCAAAGCTGAAAAGTTTTATCCATATGCAAAAAGTCTCTAGTTTTCACCACACCCCTTTTCCAACCCAAATCCATGTACATTTGCAAAGCTGGAAAGTTTTATCCATATGCAAAAAGTCTCTAGTTTTCACCACACCCCTTTTCCAACCCAAATCCATGTACATTTGCAAAGCTGGAAAGTTTTATCCATATGCAAAACGTCTCTAGTTTTCACCACACCCCTTTTCCAACCCAAATCCATGTACATTTGCAAAGCTGAAAAGTTTTATCCATATGCAAAAAGTCTCTAGTTTTCACCACACCCCTTTTCCAACCCAAATCCATGTACATTTGCAAAGCTGAAAAGTTTTGTCTTAAAACCTAAATACATGGTGGTTGACATACATACCTCATTGAAAAGGCGCATAATCTTCATGAATGAGGCCGTGTCTCTTTCCTCTCCTGATATACTCTCCAATTCTGGCTCAATACGCTTCAGGAACTGGTCTAAGCCTTGAAGCATGATCGTCACCTGCAAACAAGATCATTTTTTGAAATGTGAGATACAACGAAAAAGAATGGAATTAGCAAGGATTAAAGTAAACAGACAAATAATGAATACTTCAAATTTTGTTTGTATGGAAATATTACAAAAATGTAACGAAATATAAAAATGAGCTATAAAATTACCTGGCGAAACAATACATTTCTGATAATTGAAAAATGAGCCAAATAACTTACAAAAATGTAAAATCATAAAGTTATAATGCCAAAAATAAAGCAGTCAATTCAAAATTGATGGATCTATACATCGGCACACATGAAATACCTGATCAGAAAGATATTTGGTGAAGGTCCACATCCACTTGCTAGCATACGTTGTAAGGACTTGTTTGATTGGCTGAAGATCCACGCGTAACCAACCAACATCTTGATGGTCTTCGAGAGCATACACCTCATCCCTGGCCGTCTGAAAAGCAGAATTATAGATAAATGATACAATAATAATATATATTAAATACAGAAAAGGTCATTTATTTAGTACTACTTTATTAACCTATGTTTCATAACATGTGTATACCAACACCTTGGAGAAGTACACCCCCTCCAAAGGTTTGGAAACCTTGATTTTCAATTTATTTATGTTTGTTTAAATTTTTTCATCAAATACAGTACATTATGTCAGAAATTTATGACTTTGTATCCATTAGATTTCTCTAATGAACAGGATTATACTCATGAAATACATACACCCTTTGGGATGTTTTTTATGTAATCAATGAAATATTACGATGAAATGTTGAACCAAATAAAGTGAATTGAATTAAAATGAAGTACCGATGATCTCATCTGTACCAACACTTTGATTTCATTCGAGATATACAGATTCAGGGTAAAGCATCTCCTTGGAAACAACTTGTTCAGTTTTCAAGTCAATTAATTTGATTCAATTAATATATTTGAGTAGATTCTAAAGTGGAGGAATCAAATCACTTTTCTCATTAATAATTCAGATTCATAACAGATCAAATAGAATTACATTTATATTGTATTTTTTGCATATCAATTTAAACAATCAAATAACAATAACAAAAAGTCTCTCATTGAACATGTGTGGTAAAGAAAATTGCGAAATAAATTAATAATACAAAAATTTTATTACATTCCAGTACTCGTATCAGCTCCTTTTTAGTAGGACACCAGAAACAAGTGGACAAAACAAATTCATTTTTTTGCTTTCATCAGAAGTAACTTGCGGACTGTCTGTGCCGCATTAAAAATGGACTTGTAATGAGTATCAATCCAGTGTTATAGGCTCAAACAAACAAAACAAACAAATTCATTTTTCTGCTTACACCAGAAGTAACTTGCAGACTGTCTGTGCCGCATTAAAATGGACATGTAATGAGTATCAATCCAGTAGCTCAAACAAACAAAACAAACAAATTCATTTTTCTGCGTACACCAGAAGTAACTTGCAGACTGTCTGTGCCGCATTAAAAATGGACATGTAATGACTATCAATCCAGTGTTATAGACTCTTTTTGGGGGATGACTGAAGGAGATTTAACTGATGATAGCCTTCTCTTTAAGGAGCAGAAAGGTCGCTCATTAATGTGGAACCGACTGGCTGTAGTATTATTAACTCCAAAATATGGACAAAAAATGGCATCTAAATGGCAACAAGGACAAACATTTTTTTAAGGAACCTGTGTTAAGTTGTAAATAATGAATGCAACGTCAGACAATGGATTTCATTTAAGTGATTTTGACTATATGATAATCATTGTAGGTTTAGTCCTATTGGCACATATAGCTGTCAGCAATGGACTGTTAGTTGCAGCTATATTTAAGAAGAGACTACTTCATACACCGACCCATGTTTTGATTGGTATAGTTACAACAATTGATTTTCTCACAGGATGTATTATCTTTCCTCTATATATATACGCAAGGGTGTTCAACAACATATATTGTCCAATTTCATTCTGTCTAAGTTATGTATTCTTACATGTATCCATTAACATAGTTCTCTTGATAGCGATTGAAAGATATGTTGCTATTTTGCACCCATTCACTTATCAAAAATGGATGAGTTTAAAAACAATCAAGCGGGCGGCAGTTTTTGCGTCTTTAGTACCGTTTCTGAACAGTATCTATATTGTGATATTTTATGCTATATTACCATCTGGTTTAGAAATACTAAAGAATGCAAATGACCTGAGGTGTTTACCTCCCAAGTTATTTCCAAAAGCATATGGCCTCATAATACTTGGACAGTTGATGTTAGTTGGAGCATTGATAGTGGTAATATATATGAAAATATTAGTAATTGTGCGAAAACAGCTAAGGGATATCGCTGCAATGGAAATACAAATTTCTGACAATGGAAACCAAAGAATGAACAATCAGGGTATCAAAAAATCAATAAAAAAGACACTTTTCCTGTGTTTTATGGCAGGTTTTCTTATTTTATCTTGGATGCCTTTTACAATTGTAACCATATTAGAGTATGAAGAAATGTCATCATCATCCGTAACTTGGACATTTGTCCTGGCAATAGCCGCTCTAAACCCAGCTGTCAATCCAATTATGTATGGCATATATCAGAAAGATTACAGGAACGCTATTAAACAACTATGTTGTAGAAATACAAACGATGAAGTATCGGAAATTCCTATAATTCAAACAAACAACTAAGAGATTGAAATGCCCTCAGGGAGTAAGCAGAGTAATTGTGTGATGATAGTCAATGAAACGAGGAATATTATAAAGCTCAATAAAGGCACTGAGCCCAATCTCACGTTTTACTCTGCTTCATTTGTAAAGTTTTGTCATTTGAACATTTAGATGTGTATTACTTTTAAAAAATCAATAAATGTCAAGTAATGTTACATGATTTATGATTGTTTACATCGTAACTATGACTTCAGTCCCAGAAAATTACAATTTTCAGTGTTTCAAATCTTACCCTATAGATGTCAATCTCAGCATCAAACTCATCAAGTGACGGGACATTTATGGGGACGGCCTCTCTGGATTGCTTTGGGGTAAGGAATGTCTTCTCTGCCGTTCCTACGAGACCCTGGGAGTCAATGCTGCGTATGGATGATGCCCTGAAGTGTATAAGGGTTATGTACTGGGAGGTTTTGGATATGGGGTTTATTCAGAGGTAGATGTGCATATCTCATGAGGGAGAAACCCCATATCCAAACCGAATATACATAACTGCTTTATCCTATACCCAGTAGAATTTACTAATTTTTAAAAAAAATCTGATTTTTTCCAAATTTTTTTCATAGTGGGAAGATATCCCCTGGAGTGGGAGATATGGGGCACTGAGCATAAGATAAAATAATGTACATTTTCAACAAAGGATATACAAGTGGAAAAATTGCACCCGGTAAACAGTTCAGTCCTCATCTTATTCAAATCTGCTGTTCGATACCCAATGGCTCTAAAGATTTTGTGCATGTGAATTTTTTATATCTTTTGTCATACATGTTTTAGATTTGTAAAGGTGGTTCAAAGGAGCAACTTTTCATCTCAAATTCTCTAAAATTTGAGGAATAACTGCTTAATTTTCTTGCACTTCTAGACAAGAGAATTTATTTAACTCTATGTACTTTATTCCTTGCTGATTTTTCTCTTTTTCACTCTATCCTGAATTTTAATACATAAATTTGGGGATAACAATCTGCTATTTCACTTCATTTCTCTCTAACAAGTGTCTCATTTTATTGCTTTTCCATACAATTAAAATGCTGACTTTATGGCCATTTACTTGATTCCTTGCCATTTACTTGATTCCCTGCTAATTCCTCTATTTTTCACTGAATTTTGCTTTTTAAAACATGACCTCTTTGACCTTTGACATTTTTCTCACCTTGAGCTCCTTGAGGCGGCCGAGGCAACCTCTCTCATTATCGTTGTATTTGGTTTCGATGACTGTCGGAGAGGATTTGGAGAAACTTTCCCATTGAGAAACTCGTCGAATGTTTGATTGACATCTTGTATCCATAGAAATGAGTAGTCTTTGAAGAGTTGGAATAATTTCTAAAAAGAGAACAATTTGATTTAAAATTTAAATTTAAAAAATCTAAAACAATTTTCTCAAGATACATGTATAACAGCCAGTTTAGAACTAATGGAATCTTATGTTCATTAACGAACACCTTATTCATACTGAACACCTTGTGTTTGTCAAAGGACAGAAAGAAAATACTTGAACACAAAAAAATATTTTTTAAAAACACATCATTTACCTTGCATTCTTCTCCATTTTCCTCCACTAATTTATTTATCTGCTCCAGTAAATATTGAACTTCTTCGTCAACCTGTATATAATCTTTGTAGTCACCCTGTAGACAGAGAAAACATCTATTCATTATACTTTTCCGATTTCAAGACAATCTCTGGGATTCTAGCCAGGATCAAAATTGTGGTGAGTCAAATGTAAATAGGTGAGGCAAATTTAGGCTAATGGAGGTATTTAGCGAGGCAATTGCCTCAACTGCCTCATTCTCGGCTACCAACATGATCCCTCAACTAGTTTTTCTCTATACATTTCTAAATTTCTAAAGTATCATATTACGCTTGTTCCTCTGCATGGACCAACAGAGTGGTTTCAAATTGATAATAGAACTCCTCTGAATGCAAGCCTTTTATAAGGGGAACATTTCAGAGTCTGATTATTCAAAACTAATGTAATATATGAGCTTCCTAAAACAAAACACCTCCAAAAGTGGAACATTTCAAAGCCATTTTACCCATTACCACTCTAAAAAAATATTACTTGACAGCTAGCTGAAGTAATTTGATTAATTACTAAGTAATTTATAAATTACTTGTGTCACCTAAAATGTAATCATATTACTTAGTAATTGTTTATTTGTGTGAATTACTTACTTTAGTAATTGTAATACTTTATTTGTAAATAAATTGTTTCTGTTTCTGTTTTATTTGCATATAAAAGTAATAATACAAGTACTAGGTAATTTTATTCCCCATTTGCATTTGAACATTTCATTAATAGTAATACTAGCAATGTAAATGAATTATTATGTTTAATAGCATTTAATTGAAAATACATTATTTAGTAATTCTTTTAACATTCAAATTACTATATTGAAATATTATACTACTAGCAATGTAAATAAATGGTACCAATATATATTATATTCAAATAAATGTTTAATTGCACTAAATTCAAAATACATTACTGAGTAATCTTTTTAATATTTGAATTACTTCATAGAAATATGATAATACCAGCAATGTAAAGGAATTACTAAGTTTAATTGCATTAAATTGGAAATACGTTGCTGAGTAATCTTTTGATATTTGAATTACTATATAGCAATAGCAATGTTAATGAGTTAATATGTTTAACTGCAATAAAATGATAAGATTAAACTGAGTAATTCTAATACTTAGTATTCTAAATTTTTAAAATAGTAATTAAATTACTTAATGTAGTTTTGATATCATGTTTTTTAATATTTTTAAAATCAAGATTTAATTCTTTATTAAAAGAAACTGTAACAAAATTATAAAATTATAAATTTGCAAAGAACTATGTCAATTTTATGTGAAGCTGATTAGCATACGATTAATAAATGCTAACTCTATTTGATATTAACCTAATAAGACAAACTCCTAATTTATGGTATCCAGTTAACTATTAGGTCGGGTCCCCAAAAGTAAGGTTACAATTTGTTCAAAGCGCTGTATGTAATCATGGACATATGTGGAAACTTGAGAACAAAAGAATATTTTAATTATATGTAAATAAATCCTAGCCAAGTTAAAAAAAAGAAAAAAAGTCTTGAACAAATTATTCAATTTTAATTAGGTAATTTTAATACTTAAGTAATATAATTACTTAGTAATGTTATCCTCAAACATAAAATACCCTTTGGAACAAAACAATTACTTATAGAATAGAGTAAAATAATTACTTAATAAGTATAATTATTTATAATACAAGTAATTTTTTAATTACTCAATATAGTAATTCAGTCAAAATAATACTATGCTAGTAATATAATTACAAAAATGAAAACCCCTTTGGGACAAAAACAATTACCTGACCTAGTAATTAAATTACTTGTGAATACAAAGATAATACAAACTTAAGTAATTATTTTTTAGAGTGACCTTAATATAAAAGTGAGCCTCTATAAGTGGAGAAGATTAAGTCAAGATCATCATTTTAAGACACCAAAGGTGTTCCACTTACACAGGTTTTCACTGTATATCCAATGTCCTTGTATGAAAATATACTCACGTTGCCACCTAGCATGTTGACCAGTTTTCCACGTGCCACAAATACTTCCAGCCATTTTTTGACTAGTTCTTGGACACTTATCACGGATGTACTTTGGTCTAATGGTGGACGGAATGCTACCTAGAAACACGAAAAACACAGAAAATCAGCATCCATTTTATTGTTAGTGGATCAAATTTCAGGAAAGGTGCACCGAAAAATCAATAACATAGATTTACACAGTTGTTTTTCATTCCTATTGAAAAAAGGTTAAAAAATCTATAAACATTGATTTACTCTTTTAAGGATAATGTTAAAGATGATAATTTTAAGGTGATTCCAAATTAATCCACATGTCAATAAGATAATCTAGTTGCATGCCAATAGAGTTTAAAAGTAATCCAATAAAATATTTGAGAAATTAAGTGTCATTGGGTCAGTCTTCTCCATATATTTTAAGTGATGGCATTCTGGCGCGACTATGACCACTACTGCCATCTATTGTTAGAAAACTCATAGTACAAGGAGTGTTGGATTAATATTGCACTGTACCTCATTTTCTATCAGTTCCAATCGGATTGTCAAAATCGGTATGATGCCATCAGGGTTCATATTACACTGCACAATGGTGTTGAGCATTGATTTCAAGCTAGCCAATGTTGCCTGTTTTAACCCATCTAATACTATGGCATCAATGTAGTCTACATAATCAACCCAGGCTGGGGAAGCTTGACTTATTTGTACTGCACCAAATGATCCCTGTAGTAGGCTATGAATCTTGTTACCAGAGGGCACCACATGGTTTTCGAATTCTTCATCGAGTACACTAAATTAGAAAATTGGTTAAATAGAAAGAATAAAAAATGCCTGAAAATAATGTTAAATGTGTATGAAATTCGGGTCAATCTGACCATTCTTGAGTTATTGCTTCACATTCAATAATTCAATATTTAAATAATTTGTCACAGATGAAAATGCCAAATGCCAATGTCAACAGATAAAGAAAAGAAGCATGCACGCATACCCATCAGCTCAAAATGACCACAATTTAGCACTTTTTCAAAAATCATACTAGAAAGTTTGTAGTAGGCTAGACCATGCATTGCATAATTTTAATTATTGTGTACCTTTGCATTGAGACCAAATTCTCCATCGAGTAGCTCTGATCTGACTGACGTGAGGAAAAAACATCCAGCATGCCTTGCGACCACGATATTGTGATCTCAGCAACATCGTGGCAATTTGTTTGAACAACATCTAGGTTCTGATGCACATCCAAACAGACAAGCGATGTCGAGATTTCTATAAAATCAGCACTCTCTTTTGTCTTCCATGTATAGTGGTTCAACCCTTCCTCAAACAGCTAAATAATTAGAAAGACAACAAATGTATAATGTTGAATCGGATGCAAATTATTAGAAAGACAAAGTACAATCTTGAATCAAATGTAAATAATTAGAAAGACAGTGTACAATCTTAAATCAAATGTAAATACTTAGAAAGACAATATACAATCTTAAATCAAATATAAGACAAGAACTATTGCCCCCCCCCCCTCTATAAACAATGTACTTACATTATCTATCTTTGCCAGTTTTCTTTCAAACAATGGTTTCTCAATATCAGTGATTGTTCTCATGATTACATTATACTTCGATACAATGGTCTCCAGTCTTGTTGCCGTGACACGTAACTCATACGCATTCGTATTCCGAAGCAATTCCCGCGCTGGGGCAGGCAGATGGATGTTATGAGGTTCTTGTGATAGGTAATGGATCTCCCGTAGTAGCAATAATAGTTTCGGGTCTAAGTTAACATGAACCACCTGGGGACGCTGATCTACATCCTCATCATACTCTTCTGCCACCTATTGAACAAAAATTGAACTAGTTATAGTGAATCTCATATTTGTTTATATTAATGAATGAAAATTAATTCAAACAATTTTTGGATGGGGATATAAAAACAGGAATGCAGAATAAAAGACAGGACCCCTCCCCTGATGACACACCCCAAACACACATGGTTCAATTCTATCAAATCCATCAGGTGGTCATTTCTCAAAAGTCCAATAAATGAAGTGATTTCTGACGAGATTTGTGCAAAAATGTTGATATAAATGTTAAAAATCAAGGATTGTAATGTTAATTGAAGATGAATTACACAACAATTACCATAACAAAAAAAGTTAAAACATTTCTTCAAGAAAGATATGTGTTACTTTAACTAAATTAAAAATGTTAAAAAAGAAAATCTTAAAAATATAGTATGAATTTTGTTAAAAGTTTAATGGTTAGTATCACTAATATACGAAATCAACCCCCAAATGTAGATTCAGACATCATCCATTTTGCTCCTACTAGATACCATCTTCATGTTAGGAGCCATGTGCATAGAAGATGAAAGTTTTGCTCCAACACATGGGGCAAAACCTCACTTGCAAAGTCCCACCAAGCCCCTTCAATAATGAACATGTTCATTATTTCCATGGGGCATCATGGGATTGTTTTGATCTTTTTTTTTATCCAATTTATTTTATATTCCAAATGAAATTTCACAAATCGAAAAGGAAAGACAGTAGAATACATATCATGACACAAAGTGTGTTAATGATGAAAACTGAAGGCATTTCAATTTTGTAAATTACGTATTTTACAGTCTTCTCTACAATACTTATCTAACTAAATAAGAGTGTTATAAATAATTAACCATCAATTTTGAATTTCCCACAATCCTTTGCAGACAATTTTCCATTTACTGACATATCCTACACAGAGGCCCTCGTCTTTTGCTATACACTAATGTTATGCAAAGAATTTTGAAAAATTCAAAATTGCTAAAAGTTCCTATCATCTTCAAAAATTACCATCCAATCAATAGCCTCTGTTCCTTTAACCTGTAGCAAGATAAGTATTTTTAGGCAATGAAGGTTTATATATTTCGACTGAAAACCCTGTGTCTAAATACTTTATTCCTTGCTGATTCCACTTTTTACCACGGATTTATGTACAGGGTGTTCAATATAAGTAGTGACAAAAATGCTGAAACCTTTTTTGTTTCTGATCAATTATTCATCTTCACGTTATTGAGTAATGCTGTACTGAACTGTACTGTACCGTACTGTACTGTACTGTACTGTACTGTACTGTACTGTACTGTACTGTACTGTGCCGTACCGTACTGTACTGTACTGTACTTCACTGTACTGTGAAAGTGATAGAGCTTTATAATCATGGAAAAATGCTAGTAGGTTAAGCCAAAGTTGATAGCCCTTTACTTCAAAACATGACACACCAAGAAATTTTTTCTCAAGGGCTATGCCTTCTCATGGGAATTTATTTTAACTTTTATATGCAATAAAAAAGCTTTGTAATGGCGAAATTAAAACAATACAAGCTAAATTTAACATTAAGCCATCAAAGTCTAAAAAATATTTCATTTCAAACTCAGGTTTTACCTTAAACAGAAAACAACATCTATATTTTATAAAATTCATATTTTCGTTATTTACGCCTTCTTCACAAAAAGCCAACAACAGTTCGACTAAAAAATTCACATTGAACTTTTTTAGAATTGAATACTTACTAGAAGTGGTTGTTTCAGCCGTGTGGTTAATTCAGCGGTAATGTTACTCTGCCACTCATTGCTAATTTTGTCAGTGTATTTTTTGAAGTCTTGCATGGCCTCGTTGTATTGGTCGCGTAACTGCCAGCCGGAGTCACCTTCAAGAGAATGAGGACTAACTCGCTTCATTTTCTCCATAGGGATCTAAAAATAAACACGATAAACGTGAAACGTGAATAGTTCGTTCAGGATCGTGTAGCCTTTTCCCAGGGAATACATAAAATTGAATATGGAATGGAAAATATCATTGATGCAATAGGTGCGATAGAAAAAAGCATTTTTGTTGAAAAAAATTATAGTTTGAAATGCATAGAATCCACCATATACTATGTCAATTTTAAAAGATTTCTGGGGATGAAAAAAAAATTTGCATCCGCTTTACATTTGCTGGCTATGCCCCTGTACATACTGAGATTATATGTACAGTCCGAAAAGAATATTTACAGGTATTACAATGCTGTGTGCTCAACTATATCAATGCAATTAGTTATTGAGCCTACTTTTCATTAGTAGAAGGGGTAACCTATACTAACTACTATGCATATAAGGTCTTGCCTCTCCTTGTTATGTGTACAAGGGGTCTTACCTGCACTCGCTGTCTCAAGGCATGCACCCATAGAAGTTTGCTGACTACAGGGGGCATATTTCTGTGGGTAGGGGGATGCCTGTTATCCTGATTGAATAGATTCCTGACTTGGATCAACTCCTGCATGAAAGCCTTCACAAGTACTGTGTCTTTGTCTCTTAGGTTTTGCTAAAATAAGAACATTAGATTCATTTAATTGAGCCTCAAGCCCGAGAGCATCATATTTACAACTATTAATTCTACAAACACATACTGAAGAACAAAAATTCGTAATTTTCCACGGATTTGATCATATGTTTCTTTTTGTGAACTGATGTTTTCGTGTTTTTGAAAGACATCAATTTGTGCCTGAAATACAATTGACTTTACCCATTTTTGCACTTTGAATCCTTAATAACTTCACCAATTGATAACATATCATGAATCTTTTGGGAAATTTTGTATTTGAGATTGTAAGGAATAGATTGGTAGGTCATTTTACATATTACTTGTAATTTTGTCACCCCTATAGATCTGATTCTGCCTTTAAATTTGGAAAAACATTCATAGGCAAACGAGAATATAATCAATGTGATGGGATATTAGAATTTAGAACAATCATGTTATGAACTTTTTTTGTATTCATTAATAATTACCTGCACAAGTTCTCTGCTACTGATTCCTTCAAACACTTCAAGCAATCTTAACTGCGCTCCAATTGTTGGACATTGCATGAAACTTGCCCTCAATATATCAGCCAGCTTACGCTCCAAATCCTAAAATAATAAAGACATGTTTTGTTGAATGTACACTGAGGAAAACAAACTTTAGAGTGTTCAAAACAATGCATAAACAAGCCAATGAAAGAGGCATAGCCATGCAAGGCAAACTTAAATCAATTGGTGTACTTTTTATCTGCATCATAAGACATCATTGTCCCAACTTCACTGTATACCTGATTATATACGATATTAATTATGAAAATTCATTAGCTTCAATAGTTTTATCCGGATATTTTTTCTTATAACTTACCTTCACGACTGAGCGGAATGAAAAGAACGCTTTCTCAAATGCTTGAGTGCCATCTATTGAGAGAACATTTGTGACGTATGAGAAGAATTCTTCCATTGATGCTTTGTATTTTGAGTCTATCTCCTTGACGAGGGCATCGAGGCTTTGACTACCAGCGCCACCTATTGCAGCAGCATCAGCTAGAAGACGGAAGTGACGGGTTGTCTGGACAAGTTCAAGGACATCATTACATCTACAAAATATAAAAATTGAATCCAATAGTTGAATTCATTTTACCTCACTTTAGGGATTAAAGACAGTGACTTTACAGATTCAAGATCGAAGCTCAAAAACTGACCTCTCCATGAATGCATTGAGCAGATCAAAACATGGTGCATTTCTTGGTGGCCAAGGACTCGACATCCACAAGTCTTCATTCAGTTCATCCTGGCTCTCTGTGACATCACGAGGTCGCACACCATATTTGGGTGTATATGCACCGGAGCCGTACATTTTGGTATTCCATAAAACACCCTGCGGTCGATGAAGCCTGGAGAGAAAATTAATTTTGTCAAACTTTAAAATATAATTCAGAGTGAAAAGGTGAGGATTTTGAAGGAATAGTTAATAACACATTTTGCTAAAATTTGAAATACATGTATGTGTACATAAAAATACTGTAATCGAACTAATATAAATTGAAATAAGCTCAAAGTAGAAAAAATATGTACATTTCAGTTTTGAATATGGTAAATTGTGAAAAGTTTGGGAATCCAAGGCAGAAAAAAATAAAATTTAATTTGTGCACCATGTTATGAAAAAAATCTACAAAACAGTAAATTTATTTAGAAATTCTTCGAATATGCTGATAATATCACATATCACAAAAAAATCATGAATAAAACACAAAGTTTACATTTTTTCTGAATTGTCCTGAACATTCTGCCCATTCATTTCATCAGCTTTGTCTTTATAGTCCAAGTATGTCCCTCTAAATGCGGCACACACACGTAGGGCCTCTTTCAGCTTAGTATAGGACTGGAAAAATATGAAAAATATATATGGTTTTAATATGTTTGATGTATTAATAAATGTACAGTATATGAAAATGTGTATTGAAAATTTTAATTTTAAACATTCATTAATGCATTAATGAACAAAAAAAACTTTATGAAAATAAACTAAGAACATGTATATAGATATCATCCTATATATAAGGTTCAGGATATTTAGATGCAGATATGCTATATGGGCCAAGGGATATACAGGGTGATCCAGAAGTAACGTCAAAGACATTGTAATTTCAAAAGTATTCATCAGATCTTCATGAAATTTGGTATACATGTACCCACAACATTTCTGAGTTACCATCTCAAAGATTGGAATTCAATCATTTCATTGGTTGAAATTATGGTTGCTATAGTAACCCGATATCGCGTAACCCGGGGCAAATTGAAGAGAAACCATAACGTTTTTGTGAATTTCTCTAATTTAAAAAGTCAGTAACATTTGAAAATGTTCATTGTTTGTTTTCTATGATTTTTATATTTGTTGCCATGGTAACAAATATGTAATAGTTGTGATGTCACAATAGGCATTCATAAAAAGCTTTCAATTTCTTTGAATTGCTTCCATCATCCATGACAAATACTAACATGACCAAGGACACTAACCCACCCAATTCAAGATGGCGCCAAGTCAGAGTAAAATAGAGCAAAGAACAGACATTAAGTTCTGTGTAAAGTTGGGGAAAGGTGTAAAAGAGACTATAAGACAGATAAAGAAGGCATATGGTAAAGCTGCCATTGCTGAGAGAAACATTTACAGGTGGTTTAACAAGTATTCCAGTGGATATGATGAAGTGGTAGACAAGCAGCGAGGAGGCAGGCCAGTGTCGTCATTCGATGATCAAACCATCAAAGCAATTGAAGCTGATGTTATGGACAATAGGCAAATTTCTATCAGAGAATTGGCTGAAAAACACGATCTGAGCTATGGGACTGTGCAACGGATACTGACAAAGAACTGTCTGTTAAAGAAGGTGTCTGCTAAATGGGTGCCGCATGACTTGACACAGGAGCAGAAAGACCGGCGTGTTAAGGCTTCAAGGGACTTTCTTGCAAAATATCGGAGAGATGGAGATGACTTTCTTAACAAGATCATTACGAGTGACGAATCATTGCTATCATTCTACATCCCAGAGACCACGCAACAAAGTTCATCGTGGAAACATGACAACTCCCCAACACCAACCAAGCCTAAAATAGTACCAGGAATTCCACAAAAGAAACAAATGGTTGTGACATTCTTTGACATTAGAGGAATGGTGTTAACCCATTTTGTTCCCATTGGCCAGAGAATTAATGCCGTTTACATTGCAAAGGTAAGATATCATTTGTTCTAATAATACATCATACTGTGAATTTTATTTTTAAATTAAAGTATTTAAATGTTGTTCACTGTCAATATAATTATAACTCCATGGCCATGATTCAAATCCAAATCCAAATCCAATCAATGAAACAACTGGTTTAACAACCATTAAACATTTGTTTTTCAGGTTCTGAAGCGTGATCTTCAACGTTCCCTGAGGAAAAAGCGTCCCGGACATCTGCAGCAGTTTATCTTGCATTGGGACAATGCCCCTACGCACACTGCAATCCTGACCAGCAACACAGTCCAAACACTTGGATTTCAACAACTTGAACATGCCCCTTATTCACCTGATCTTGCCCCCAGTGACTTTTATTTGTATGGGGAACTAAAAAGAAACCTTAGTGGAAATAATTTTCAATCCTGTGAGGAATTGAAAAATGCCGTAGTACTAGCCCTACAAGGAATGAGTTCTAATGGATTTAATTCTGTGTTCAAGGAATGGGTATCCAGACATGAGAAATGTGTTGCAAATGGTGGCAATTATTTAGAATGAACTATTATTAGTAACTGTGCAATAGTATGATTTATATTGTTGTGAAATAAAATGTTGAGGATATAACAATTTCAGATCTTGTTGATATTTTGAGATTACGCATTACACGTTAAGTAATTTGCCCCGGGTTACGCGATATCGGGTTACTATAGCAACCATAATTTCAACCAATGAAATGATTGAATTCCAATCTTTGAGATGGTAATTCAGAAATGTTGTGGGTACATGTATACCAAATTTCATGAAGATCTGATGAATACTTTTGAAATTACAACATCTTTGACGTTACTTCTGGATCACCCTGTACATGTACTAATATCCTAGATGCTGAAATACAACATTTTACATAGCCTTGCCCAAGTCAGTCTCTATTACCTAACTTGATTTCTATAATAATTCAAGATCAGATAAGTAAAAAAATACTGACATGGGCAAGGCTACATTTTACATACCTGCTTTATGTACCTCAAACATGTTAATCTATAGGATAAACATACAGATGTGCATATATTATATATCCAATTAAAATTTAAAAAACTGACCTCTAGTGGTTCATGGAGCACATCTTCTCCGACCATGGCTTCTGCCCTGTGAACTACTTCATTTGATATGACCCTCAGAAGATTGTGGAATTGGTCTGGTAGATGGTAATATCTAGATCTGAAAACGAATGATAAACTTTAATTATTGAAGTAAACTACATGCTATACAGTGAATATCTATTTGACGGGACCCTCAATAGATTGTGGAATTGATCAATTAGATGGTAATATAGAAAACAAGGGTGGAAGCCTGAGTTCAAGGGCTGTCAATACTCCTGGGAAAGCTTGTGGAAATCAAAATTTAAGATTCTGCAACGCTGCAGCCCAAGACTAATTCCAATAATGCTCTGTACAGTATACAAGTATAAACAGAACAATACGTTAATATGCAAAATGCACCACCAGCCATTTGTTACAAATGCTGAATGCCAACTGTAAGACACTGGCACAAATGCTGGAGACCACTTGTGGTGTTGCCATGATAATTTTTAAATAAAAGTTTTTATAATTATGGATTTTAACCTACCTTGACCAAACTAGCATTATTGTATGGATCAAAGGTGGAAACAATTTCATCATCAAAAGTGGTTGAAGCTCAGCATGTAGCTGGTCAAACCAGGGGCTTAGGGTTCCAAGAAATTTCAAAATCTCATTTGTTTCTTGTTCCGCTTTGTAGATCTCTTTACGAACATTTTCAAATGAGTGTGCATATTGACTGTTTGCATCTTCTAAATTTCGTAAAATGTCAACTGCGACTGGAGAATCCAATTGTTCATTTATGGAATGTAATTTTTGGAGTCTTTGTTCCCAAATTGAGATTTCATCCAACGGACCTGGATGTGGCCCAAAATGGCGATCAAGTTCATGAATTGGGTCGTGTTTTAGAATTCCTTTGATTTGTTTAATCCAGCCAATCACAGTGGACTCCAAAACATGTAACACTGCACCACGTCGTGAAGGATTGGCGGCTGCTTCTGCAAGGACCTCTATTGATGGAAATGGTAACACAATTTGCCCCTAAAATTACAAAACAGTGTATATGTATAAAGATACCATAAAATACCATCTGTTACTCCAATCTAGAGATCTAGCATTTTAAAACCCATTTGCTCCATTATGAGGCATTTAGACAAAAAACTTCTTAGTGAAGGAATTTCAAGGTGAAACAAAGGCACAGAAACCCTTCTTTATGAAGTTTTGTTTGCAACAAGCCTTGAATTTCCCTGGGAGGTGGATGGGACCCATTCTTCTTCAATTTTCAGACTCACATCACTTTGTAAGCCATAGGTAAATAATAAAAATTGCATTATTAAATGTTACACCATGACCAGAAAAATGCCTAAGGTATTATAATTGATTACTGATTACTGAAAAATCATCCTACAATCAACAAGAGACTATTACACACCTCAATATGACCTTGAGCAACTTCTACAGTGGCCATAAGCCTGTGTAATACATCCATCAACTTATCAGCATTTATTCCTAAGGCACTAGCATGGCTCTGGTCTATACACAAAAGAGGGAGGTACACTTCTCGTGTGAGCAATTCTATGTGTTCTAGTGGCACATCTGAGCAATCAGTGTAATACACCTCCTCTCCTAAAATGCAAGCAAGGAACATTTTAATTCATTTTATTCTACAAAAGAAGTCTTACATTTTGGACAGTCCGTTAAATACTGACTATGAGCTCCAGTGATATTTCTAGTGAATAAGTTCCTTTGTTAAAACACAACACATTGGACAAATATTTAAATGATTTAAATCAAATACGACATCTTATGTTTTGACCCTCAAAATCTCAAAATAATCATCAACATACATACATGTACTTTATGTACATACAATAACGAAATGTTATCTCAAAAATACATTAAAGGCAGAATCTGATATATAGGGGGTGACAAAATTACAAGCAACATGTATAATTGACCTACCAATCTATTCCTTACAATATCAAATACAATATCTCCCAAAAGATTCACAATATGTTATAAATTGGTGAAGTTATTAATGATTCAAAGTGCAAAAATGAGTGAAAAATGTTTAAATTCTCCCAAATAATAAGACTGGTAACCATTCTTATAGAAAAATAATACATTATTGTAAAAAGCTTTAGTTTTCCCTTGAATAAAGTATGAACTTTTGTGATTTTTAGAAAATAGACATGACAAGGAATGACATGAGCCAAAAATATTCTAAAATTGAAACAATTTTTTGTTTAGCCTGCTCGCTATATCTGATTCTCTCTTTAACAACTTATGTACACACAATAACAGTAAATACAATAACCAAGAGTGAACTACTTAATAATAAAGCAACATTGATTATCACAATTTCACAACCTTCACAATTAAAACAATGTTTTGAAATGTACAAAAGACTGTACAGACTTTGAAGAACGTACAAAAGAATTGAAGGAATTCAACTGAATATGAACCTTAAACAAAAATTATATTATACAAATATTAAATGATGTTGAGTGCAATACCTTATACATTTCTATATTTCCCCCAGAAATATATACAGGTATTGCATGAAAACAGAATTCAATATTTGTTTTATTATTTCACCCATTTACATGTTTACCAAAATCTGAGAAGAAAAGAAATACATATTAACAGTTAGTTAGAGAAATAATAATGAGTAATATTCTCCTTTTTAGTTCAAGAATTTCAAATTGATTTTAGAATGACATAAAACAGAAGCAGGGCTAGATATTATAAGTTCAGGAAAAGAAATATTTAAAACAAAATTGATATAGTTTAAATTGTCATCTTTATTTTAAACTATCTATCAACAGTTTGCTTATGACAATAGACTTACTTATATTTTCCTTTGTGATTTTATTCCCTGAGCCGCATTTCATGAAGAAAATTGACTTGAACGTGAGATCGTGCGGAGGCTGTAATGACGCAATAATCTGCTTGGGTGGTCTGATGAAGACGAACAGACGGCGCACATCTTCATTGTTAATGAACTCATGGAAGGCTAACCTGAAACAGAATTTTTTGTTTTCCTTTATTTTTATGATTATTATGGCTGAAAATGTGCTAAAGGACTTCACAGTACTAGATGGAATCTGTGAGTTATAACTTGTAAATGCATGGAAGGCTAACCTATGTTATTGTTTGTAATAAGAGACTTCCAATCAGCATGCATGCTTGTTAAAGTATCTGTGTTTTATCACTAGCACTGGTAAGGACATTCAATGAAGTGAAGAATAAGTTTAGCTGTGACTGCTTTGAGCAAAAATTTGGGTTTGGCTAATTTGCCACCCCCACCAAGATGAATTCCCAGTTACCCAAAACACCACTCCATGCCAGGTCTGGCAAGGGAAATTGAAAAAAGATCCTACATACGAGGTAGCTAGGTGGAAATCCACCCTAAATCACTTATGTTTTACAGATACATGTATATAAACCTGCCAAGATTTTTTAGAGACTTGCTTCAAACACTTTATATTCCCTTTAATTTGCTGCCACTTTAACAGTATATAAATGAAAGGAATAAAAGTTCACATCTTTCCTCTCCAGATTATCGATTTACTGTATTTCATACAATTTAGGGTGTTGATTTATAAATTCTCTATTTACATGTACTTTCTTGTATTCAATGCACTTTCTACTCTTCTCATTCACAAAACCACTGTGTAACTAAAACTGTACCTATTTTCATCATTCTGTATCATCTGCTTGAGATCTTCATTTCTAGGTCTAAGTGAGGAGCTGATCCTCGTCTCTAACCACCGTAATCGCTCATCGACCTGCATCTTTCTGTTGTTATCTGTTTCTTTACTCAGATCTAAAATTAATAAGACATGAAAATTGATGTCCAAAACCATTCATATTGTACATGCAAACCATTTGAATATTTCAGATTGATTAGTTTTTCGAAAATAACATGGCAGAGAAGCACTAAAATAAAACAGGTCACACATTTGATTAGTCAAACCACTTACCACAACCAATCCAATATATACACATGTTATATGTTTAAAGTATGAATGTATTTTTCCATATGATATTGCACTGTTAGTCTTTTGATTGCTTATACGAAAAGAAAAAATGGGATGGAGTTTAAATGCAAGTTTGACCACCCCGCATTTTCAATGATTGAGTGGTGTCAAACGTTGACCTCTTTATCTTCAGTGTAGTAGTCTATCCAATATTTATACTACTTAGTGAGTAGTAAGTTTACAGACCACAAAAAAATCTTCAAAATTTTTGGCTGAGGAAATTTCTAAAAATTAGCCAAAATTCCTTGTTTAGTCTTATTTATAGTTTATTTCAGTCCAAATAGTGATAAAAGTACGTACCCGATATAATAGTTGATAATTTTGCGAATCTATATATGTTCCATCAGTCATAGTTTCATGAAAATATAAGATATAAATATTTTCATTTTATTTTTCACCGCTGAAACTTATCCGCCATATTGTTTCTGTGTTGCTAGTAAGTTAATTTGCATAACTACGTTCAGTCGTTGTTTCCTTCACATTCTAAAGAGGCACTTAATTTTACTTTTAAACCATATATAATATTTATTTAAATATTTTTTAATTAAGTTTGGGTAGTGGAATCTCAGAAATAGCAAATCTAAATGAAATCTCGTGCACCTTGTTTTCGGATGACGTCATATGCGGAAGTGAAATTTTATTTTTAAAAACATTTTATTCTTTCGCGATAAAAAGGTAAATATCAGGAATAATCACCATTTTATATTTGATATTATTGCACTATAACTTGTCTTTGATATGTATTGTTACATATGTAGTAGTAATTTTGTTTCTGTACGCGTTAGATAGCTCTAGACTGAAGTAGATATAGAAATGTGACTGTGTTGATTGAATTTTGGACAATTTTTAGGCAAATCTACACTCGCAAATGATAGTCGCCTGAATCTTGTGGGTGCACACTAGAATGAATTGAAGATGGAAATCCAAACTTGTTTCTTATTTTTAATATTTTGCACAAGAATGATAAAATATAAGAACGCCAATTCGACCCCACATTTATGGGGGTAACATCTATGGACCAGATGCGAGTAGAAATAATCTTGATTTATGTCATTTAATATTCAAAATTTAGTCAAAGTGACGTCATATTTGAAATCTTAAAATTGTAAACATGTAAAAGTACATCTTGAAATATGGTTTCGAACATAGGCCCCGGGAACATGTATAAAAAAAGTCGACACAATTTTTTATACAAGTTCCCAGAGCCTATGGTTTTTTTCGAAAATTTTCGAAAATTTTTTATCTACTTTGAAATTTTTTTTGAAAATGTGACTTCTAGTTCAGGTTGATTTCCCCATAGACCCTAGTATGTATCCAACAGACTGACTAGAAGTCAGTCTGTTATGATGTACTACTTTCCTGTGGAAATTGCAGTGAAATTTTTTGCACAAAATTATCAATTGGAGGAAACATTTTTTCAATAAAATAAACATTACAAAATTTCAATTAAATAGTAAGGTACAATTAAATGCAATAAAAAGTAACACAGCATATTGTCTAGTGGAAATAAAGCTAGTTGAAGTAAAAATGTGCAAATTAATTTTACCCAATCGGCCATTTTGAATAGCACTTCCTATGTAAACAAATATTTGGAATTACCAAACTTTAACATATGTGCCTTATAGTCTGAATATAATTCAGACTAAATAGGATATAGTCTACCATAGACCCCATGTTACAAAATCACAAAAAGTGAAATACCTTTTCTTGTATTATGAACAGATAACATTTTCTTTTACTGGACATATTTTAATTTGCATAACTATTAGATACATTAGGGTTATATGAAAATTGAACAACTAAAACAGATTTCAGTTAAAGGGAACTTTCTACTATACCTGCCATGCTATCTGACTCAAATATGCCACCTGGTGGTGAAACTGATAACTTCCTACTCGCATCTTCGTGATTAAACACCAGTTCGACACCATTACTCCCAATCTTCATGATTTATTCAAATATTTAGAATCTCTTCATTTTTTAAAAATTACAACTGAAACACAATTGAATGATGAATCACAGGTAAATGAAATCGAAGAGATTGGTCTATAAAAAGCACCCTTGTAAAAAAGCGTCCAATATTGATCAGATACCAATATACTGATATATTGCTCATATATCTCTTTTCTTGACTTCTTGCTATTCTTTCAGGAGAAATCAGAATACAATTCATCATGAGGTGAAATCTCCATGTAATAACTTAAACCCACATTGCTGCATAGTCCTAGGTGTGACATGCAAAAACAATTTATCAATCCAAAAGGTCACTGCAAATTAACACAAAAATGCAGCAACTGACATCCAAGTGCAGCAAATTAGGCAACTAAATTTCTGACATCAAACTGGAGCAATTGACATCAATCTGCAGCAACTGACATCAATCTCCAGCAGCTGACATCAAACTACAGCAACTGACATCAAGCAGCAAAACAATGATCTCAAACAACAGGCAAATGGCTCCTAATATCCATAGTATTTTGTCAACATTTCCTAAAATATTATCAACAGACAAAATTTTATCTAAAGTTCTATGGATGCTCATAATACTACACCTAACACAGGCCATAAAAATCCCATTACGGCATAGAAGAGAAATTGTCAGAGAACATGTATTCTCTAAAGACTCTAGTTACCTCATAGAAGAAGGGAATCTCAAAGGAAAACCAGGACAGGGTTACTATGCAGAAATGCAGGTCGGGACTCCACCCCAAAAGGTATTTATATTTTAATGGCATAGCTTTGAAGTCATGGTGATATACTGTTTTACCCATCATTTTTATGTCACCACTAGAAGTGATGAAATATTGTTATTATCTACAACTTTTTGTGGACTGTGTTTGGCAGTTGGTGTTCAGCATCTGTAACAAATGGTAGGTGGTGACATTTTGCATCTTAATGTCTTGTTGTGACACGTGTATGATTTAGAACATAAAATGTTAATCAACCAATAGCAAACATTTTGCAGACATGATTATGATTTTTGAATTAAATGATTACAACTATGGTAATTAAAGGGGCAACAAGGACTATAGAGAGAAAATTTGAATTTTTTATTTTTTCTGAGCAATCAGGTCAATATTTGACTCAACATCTTCTTTGACATACTTATTTTCTGAAAATGCATTAAGAAGTGTAAATTCAGTTCAAAGCTTCTATAAAGGGAGTCCCACTCATAGATTTTTAAGATTCACCACGTTTCAAGAGGACTATCAGCTGAAATAATGTTCATCCAGGGGGTTTCTTTGTAGATAATAAAAAATAAATGTTAGTCTTGATGAAATATCCAAACTTAAATATTTTTTGACACTGGTCGATGATCGTGGCCCCCTGTACTAATGTACTAATGCACCTTTAATAAAGGTAAATAAGCTCAATGTTCTATGTGTCTTTAAAAATCATTTGATTTATTCGAAAAAGGTCATTAGAATTTCTAACAACAGGTGAAAGGAATGGAAAGAACAAGCAATATAATCGGAAATTGTCATCTTACATTAGGCAATAGAAAAATTCGTGGCTGCCACCATATGATTATACCCCTTGTACATGTTTGTTTACTTTCAGATGAATGTATTGGTAGATACAGGCAGTAGTAACTTTGCTATTGCGTGCTCTCCAGATCCATCCATCAAGACATTCTTCCATACAGATGAGTGAGTATATAGCACTAATAGACAGATATCTAGTGAGTGGAAGAATGAGAGAGTGGGTGGGAGAATGTGTGGGCAATGAGAAAGAGTGAGTATGAGAATGAAAGAGTGAGTGGGAAAACGATAGAGTGAGTGGGAGAATGAGAGAGTGAGTGGGAGAATAAGAGAGTGAGTGGGAGAATGTGTGGGCAATGAGAAAGAGTGAGTATGAGAATGAAAGAGTGAGTGGGAAAACAATAGAGTGAGTAACTATCATATAGATAACTCAATAATTGTGAGATAAACAAATGCACCAATTTGTGTCTGTTCGATATTAACTAAGTGGCCACCCTGACCCTGTGTTTAGCTATTAGATAGGATGAATATCAATAAAACGAATTGAAACTAGAATTAATCAATTAGTGCAACAGCTGCCTTAAATTAGATGTATTGTCTAATATTTTGTTAGTAGTTTTGTAATAAATTTTTCATTTGCAAGCTAGAATATTGACTCTATACTAGGACCATGGGATAGTCCATGCTAGGACCAATATTGTGAATATAAGAGCGTTGTTAACGAGAAGATGAAGCTCAACTCAAGAGAGACTTGAATTTTCATTGAATAAATTATTTCAGATACTAATATTGGATGTACCCTTTGCATTCGTTCGACTTCACTTCTTAAAAGAGAGTTCCGTCTTCACTCTTTCAAACTAAAATAAACCTGTGAACTCACCGCGCCAATCAGTGCTCGTCGGCCAATTTTGACCGACGTTCTGTATATGGTCATTCCCTCTGACGTCATCATTAAGCCCGGAATTGACCAATGACAATTCAGAATTTATTTTGGCGCATGTTTCTTCAAGCTCGCTGATTTGTGGAAGAAAGGTCAGCGCGTAGGTCAGAAGTGATTTATTACCCGAACTGTCACCGGCACCCATCGTGGGGGCGAGGCTACTAAACTGTAATATGATTTCTACTAGGCAGAGTGTAGTTTAACTAGACTCTGCATGCAGGGTATATTGGATGGTGGGATTAACTTGGAAAACAGGCCAATTGTGCTATACTTCAATGAATGAAACTTGAAACTCAAGTAGCATTGCCCCCCCCCCCCTCCAACACCCCATCCCCAAAAATGTAGGGGACACTCAGTGCCTATTATTTTGAAACTTCTCCCCAGAATCGTCAAACATTTCCTACCCTGCATCCAATCAAATAGTATGAGGCAAAAAGTGAAACAGGAACACTCATTAAAATGTTAGTTAAAAAACAGCAAACCTGATTAACAGAAATGAGTCAGATATTTCCAGTTACGATACTGAAATATGAAATTTCTAGCAATCCGATTGTTCAGACATCTGTGTTGTACATTTTCTTCTTTCCTGTTTTTCAGATATCAATACTCTTATAACACTGAATCACATATTCTTTGATATTGAAGTCATTGATTTCTGTTGGACATTCATTTTAAGTACCAAATACAAGTTTTACCATGGGCTTTCAACTACTAATTGAAAGCCCATGGTTTTACAAAAGAAACAGCCAAATGAAATATTTCCTTTTAATAACCATTTTGCTAGAGTCATTGAATATACTTGTACTGTACCTGTAGTCTTCCTCAATCTTTCAAATGTTTGGATAAAACACAGACCTCTGATTTTAAGGATAAACTTGTACTCTCTAAAGATTCATTTTGTGATCATGCTTAGATATTATAACATGTAATCATTAATCAAAGGGTTAAGACACCTAATTAGGCAGTATCCTATAATTTGCATAATTTATAAATTATGCAAATGAATCACCATTTTCTTTAATTGGATTAAATAGTCTATGATTGCTTTAGTTAGTATACAGTCAAGTTGTGTATATAAGTGGCATGATAAACAAACAATAGCAAACAATGATATAAGGATTAAATGTTTTTCATTTTGAAGACAGGCGTTGGTTGTATTTTTGTATGACAGCAGAGCAAGCGAATTTGATACGGTTGCGTAATATTTATTTGTTTTACAAATGAAATATATTTTCACACATACCACATACCTGAAAAGATGTTGTTGTATTGAATGCTGAAGTGAAAAAGCGGCAAAATAATTTGCAGGGAAAATTTGAGGCGATTTGATTGCTTGAAAGGAATTAAATACGAAAATAAGTTGAGGAATAATTACGTACCTTTACTGTCATAAAGCTATGCATCTAGCTAATTTCTAGGATTAAAATCTTGCTCACAGTCAAAAAAGTATGTACAAAGATGCAGCCTTAGAAAACATTTCATTGTCTAACTCCTATTATATATTTCCAGTTCATCATCGTATACCAGTGACGGGAGAACAGTGAAGGTGCCCTACACGCAGGGAAAATGGGAAGGCCCAGTGGGTCAGGACATGGTCCGTATGTCATCACTGAAAAATGTATCTGCAGTGGAGTCGTACATTGCATGCATCACAACATCAGATCAGTTCTTCATCAATGGTTCCCACTGGGAAGGAATTCTCGGCTTGGCATATTCAGAAATAGCTCGGGTAAGAAAGTTAAATATACAGTGTCTCTTAGGTTTCTCTCCCGGAAAATCGGTACTGTCCCGTCGTAATTGCTTATAGAAAAACCTTACATGTACATACCTTGAAAATATCTTGGAAACCAAATTTTGGTACAGTATTGCTGAAATATATATTGAGAAAACCGACAGAACAACCTATTGTTAAAGTTATCTCATCTTGAGCTTTCTATTCAGGTTAACATTGCAATTTTTCTGTATTTTCAGCCTGATAATTCTGTCGAACCATTTTTCGACACACTGGTCAGGGAACGAGATGTCCCTAACTTATTTTCTATGCAGTTATGTGGAACTCTAGATAAAAATAAACAGACAGATGTCAGTATGGGGGGCTCAATGGTAAGTACAGAATGACATTGTGGTCAAGTACATTATAAACATGACCTAGAGTATAAAAGGGTGGAATTGACAAGGAGTAAAGTTATGAGGCATGTTGTTAACACCTTTATTGTATTAAAATGTGTGAAAATCAAATGGTATTAGCCCATGTATTGGAGTTTAGAGCTTGCAGACACCGGATATTAGTTTAAACAAAACCAAGAATATCAATTTTTTAAAATTTTAGGATCTTTTTAGGCAATTTTAATTTGCTATTTAATTTCCAACGTTTTTTGTGAAAGGTGTTTGGTGGTTGCTGTTTGGTAACAAATGGCAGGTGGCAACATTTTGCGTGTTAATGCCTTACTAAAGACCATTTTCTAACAGAGTAAACCAAATGAATTAATCTTAGCATCTCTTTAATTTTGTCCTTTGCATGAAGAATCACAGTCCTTTTGGACTCATCAAACTGTGTTTTCTAGCACTGAAATCTCAAACTGCTAAAATAAACAAGTCTTTTTTCAGGTAATTGGAGCCATTGACCCTGACCTTTACAAAGGGGAAATTTTCTACACCCCCTTGCGTAAAGAATGGTATTATGAAGTAGTCGTCACAGATATCCAAGTTGAAGGTCACAGCCTCGCTATGGACTGCAAAGAATACAATTTTGATAAAACCATAGTGGATAGTGGGACAACCAACTTACGTCTTCCAACTAAAGTGTTTACTCAGCTTGTTGAAAGCATTAAAATGAAAACTTTGGTGAGTGAGTTGGAAACTTGAAGAATTCAAGAACATTTGATTTCCAGAGAATATTAAAGAAAAGCATTAGTGATGACTTTTTGATGACTTTTGGCCCACCCCAATGGCATAGCGTCATATTCGTATAAAATGCCATGGCGTACTCTCAAAGTTTAGAGAAAACTTAATTTGTTCTATTGAATTGCCCGATACTTAAAAAATACTAGATATTCTGAAAAAATGGCAAATAATTTATATTTTATTAATCCATATTAGTCGGAATTTTGTATTTTAAAACGCCAAAGAATGCTTCAAATGCAATCTCATTTTCAAATTTTCTTGGGGGGAGAGAGAACCCTTAACCCCCGCTGACTCGTGGGATACACTCACAAAATACCCAAGCTTCGCCACTGCACCCTATAACATATATATATTGAAGACTACCCTCCCTTGCTATAACTATCTCACTTCCTTTTTGTCTAATTACAGTTAGCTGACAAGGACCCTCCTCCAGATGAATTCTGGTCTGGGTCGAGTGTTCTGTGTTGGTCTACAGGAGTGACCCCCTGGGATGAATTCCCTAGCATTAGCATACATCTTGCCAAAACTAATAACTCAACATTTTCACTAGTGTTGTCACCTCAGGTAAGACAAGTTTTTTTTAAGGTTATGTTTTATTAATCAATACTATCATTTAAACAATGTCCGACAATGGGCCAAGGCCATTGGCATTAGTGGCCCATGTAAGACAAGTTGGGGTCTGTTTGAAAATTAATATGAATTATAATATTTCTTGAGTGTGGGTACATTTTGAAAATAAAATAATATGAGCTGCAATTATGTTCGAAATCCTGGTTGTCTGTCATTACAATTCCTGAAATTAAATCCTCATTTTTTACTCAATTTCACAGGAATAAAAGGTAAATAAAAACACGGAAAATTATTATTATGACCATACACTGAATTAGTAAAATGACCATATTTGTATTAAATTACCAGAGTAAAAAGTGTGTCTGAGGACCATCATAGTGATCATTTCTAAGCTTTGTTGTTTTTTGGAAGTCTCCATTTTCAAAATCTCGGGGGTACTAATTTGTCATGGAATATGTTTGTAAATTGTAATTGATCGATTGATTGAGATCTACTTCTTTAACATCTCAATTTTATATTTTCACACATGACTTTTTTGTTTTCAGCAATACCTACGTGCAGTTGGCGAGGAGTATGACCCCTCTGCTCAAGAGGATTGCTTCAAATTTGCAGTGGCTCCATCTATTACGGGTATAATGCTAACTGACATAAAGCCAGTAGCCAGCTTTTTTAGCTCACATGGTGAGCTTTTGCAATCACTCACTTGTCCGTCTGTCTGTCCGTCCGTCTGTCCGTCTGTCCGTCCGTCAACAATAGTGGCACGTTTTAAAACCTCTGTCGATAGGATTCCTGTTTTAAGTTATTTCTGTTCAACATCAATACAGAAAACTCCCCTATGACTCCTGGTTCAAAAGCTCGCCTATTTTCAAAATGGCCGCCACTTTTATCTCGCGAAATTCACTTTTGACCCATTTGTTTTAAAACCTCTGTCGATAGGATTCCCGTTTTAAGTTATTTCTGTTCAACATCAATACAGAAAACTCCCCTATGACTCCTGGTTCAAAAGCTCGCCTATTTTCAAAATGGCCGTCACTTTTGTCTCGCGAAATTCACTTTTGACCCATTTCCTAGCTTTACAAATAATTTCAGGTGTCCTTCACTGTAAAAATCCATGTCAATGTAAAGGGTAGATATATGTTATAATATTGTTACAAAAAATCAGCGAAAAATTATATCCATTTTTTTATTTTCAGCCATTTTAGTTAACATTGATTTGTCTATCTGACTCGCGAAATCCATTTTCCATCAATAACAGTGGCACGTTTTAAAACCTCTGTCGATAGGATTCCTGTTTTAAGTTATTTCTGTTCAACATCAATACAGAAAACTCCCCTATGACTCCTGGTTCAAAAGCTTGCCTATTTTCAAAATGGCCGCCATTTTTGTCTTGCGAAATTCACTTTTGACCCATTTCCTAGCTTTACAAATAATTTCAAGTGTCCTACATTGTAAAAATCCATGTCAATGTAAAGAGTAGATGTATGAAATAATTTTGTTACGAAAAATCAGCGAAAAATTATATCCATTTTTTTTATTTTCAGCTATTTTAGTTAACATTGATTTGTTCATCTGTCTCGCAAAATCCACTTTTGGACCATTTACCTTAAACCCTCTGTCGATAGGATTTCCGTTTTAAATTAATTTTAATCAACATCAATACAAAAAACTCTCCTATGACTCTTGGTTCAAAAGCTCGTCTATTTTCAAAATGGTCGCCATTATTGTTCCGCGAAATTCACTTTTTGCCCATTTCCTAGCTTTACAAATAATTCCAGCTGTCCTGCATTGTAAAAAGCCGTGTCACTGTAAAGAGTAGTTGTATGAAATAATTTTGTTACAAAAAATCGGCAAAATATTATATCTGTTTTTTTATTTTTAGCCATTTTAGTTAACATTGATTTGTCCATCTGTCTTGCGAAATCCTCTTTTGAACCATTTGCTTAAAACCTCTGTCGATAGGATTCCAGTTTCACATTATTTTTATTCAACATCAATACAAAAAACTCCCCTATGACTCCTGGTTCAAAAGCTTGCCTGATTTCAAAATGGTCGCCATTTTTGTCTCGCGAAATTCAATTTTGGCCTATTTCCTAGCTTTACAAATAATTTCAGGTGTCTTGCATTGCAAAAAGCCATGTCACTGTAAAGAGTAGATGTATGAAATAATTTTGTTCCAAATAATTGGCAAAAAATTATATCCGTTTTTTTTCTCAGCCATTTTACTTAACATCGATTTGTCCATCTGTCTCTCAGTCAGTCCAAAATAGTGGCAAGTGGCTTGAAATAATTTTGTTACAAAAAATCAGCAAAAAATTATATCCGGTTTTTTCTGTCACCATGTGAGCCCAGTACCCACGGTACTAATTTTTCAAGGGGGGTTCACTTTTCAAAAATTCCATGGGAGGTTCACATTTGGCCCAAAATCACTTGAAAAGTGTTGAGAATGGTGAAAAACTGCATGATTCTGAAAAAATATCTTTCCTCCTGTTTGTGAACTAGAGAAACAAGGCTATATTTGTTAGATTTATCATGTCATACTGTCTAGGAAATAATGTCTGTATACAAAATTGAAATACGCTTTTATGTCGCCACCAGAAGTGGTTATAGTCTCCAACCTTTTTGCAGATGGTGTTCGGCAGCTAATGTTCGGTGTTCGACTGTCAGCTTGTGGTGACATTTTGCATGCTAATGCCTTGTTTAGTTCTTGTATTAATGTTTGAGCTGTGACTTCATTAATTTTATAATGGATAATGGCCTGAAATAATCTAATCCTAAAATAACCTTAAATAGGATTATCTTAACATAACCTCATATAGGATGCTCTCTACATATAATTGCTACTGTTGTATACATTAAACAATTAATCTGCTCTCAAGTTTTGAATTGTTTTTCTTTGTTTTTAGGAATGGTTCTAGGGGCAGTGTTAATGGAGGGCTTCTATGTAATATTTGATCGTGAAAATCAACAGATTGGGTTCGCCCAGTCCAGTTGTAATGTGCGCAATCCGAAGGGTGTGATATCCAGAGTGGAGGGTCCTTTTACAACCCATAGTAAGTATAATATATACTTAAAACTTATGCCTCATAGATGAAGAAATATTTTTCACCCCCCCCCCTGGTAAATACATACAAAAAGTATTGTTCATGTATCCGGAGCTTTAAATGACATAAATATGACATAAGTACTTGTGAGGCTATAACATACATGTACTTATATTAGATATACGGATCTTTACTTTCAGGCAATGTTCAAGACTGTGCATATATTAAACCAGAAAACAACCAATCAACGATGATCACTGTAGCCTATGTACTTGCGGGAGTTTGTGGAGCGTGTATGATTCCGCTGATTTTAATGCTCGTGCAATGGATCTGGCAAAAAATCCAAAAACAAAGAAATTCTCAAGATGACACTAATACTCTAATTGCAGATGAGGAAGATAACAATGGCTAATCTCAAGAAATGTCATGGTAGTCGTGTTTTTAAATGCAAAATAAATGTAGAAAGAGTGGAATTAGCAAGGAATAAAGTAAACAGGCATGTAGTAGACACTCTAAATTGTATAGAAATGCCAAAAAATCAGACAGTTCATTCAAATTTTAGAGAGGAATGAAGTGAAATAAGCAAGGAATAAAGTAAACAGACATGTAGTCAATACTCATAATTGTATAGAAACGTGAGAAATTCAGGTGGTTCATTTAAGTTGAGAGAATGGGTTGAAATCCTGGTTCTGTTTTGTTAAGATGCTGGGGCCTCTAGTGCATATGATATATGATTTATTTCCCTGAGAATAAACTTGCTGACAGAGCGTAGTGACAATGATATGTAGCTTGCATAAGAGTTTAGTTTTTTATCAATGACAAATGAGGGGAATTGTAAATGAAACTGAGTTAGCTTTAAATTCAAGATTATCATAGTGTCAAGAGGATGTGTTCTCAGTCCGTAGTCCTTGATGCCAAAAAAGAAATCCAAAAAATATCAATCTTAAGTCCAATATTAAAATAATATTAAGCATTTTGTTAGTAATATTAAAAATCCATGTACTCATTCAGTAGTTTATGGTACACTGTACCAGAACAGAAGTCATGAAATGGAAAACATCCATACTTTTCTATGGATCAGAAATATTAACGATGATCATTTTTTAATTAACTATGTCTTGTCAACAAAGTGGGCTAAATACAATCTGACACTCAGCATATCTCCCTTCTTACGAAGGAATTTATTCATGTCAATTTCACAATTATATCAAGGTCTGTGAATTGTAAAGTTGAAAAATCCTTAATTTACCATAAAGCCCAAAAGCTAAATTAGGGCCGGGTGTTTTAAGATCTGAATATTATTGTAAGATGTAGAATTTTTATTATTCAAAAGTGGGATATATACAATAATTATTTACACTAATTATGTACAATAATTTACGATATGTACAGGAGCTACCTTTGTATCAATATTGACTAAATGTAATATACCCAGAGTCATTTTTCATACTCATTGTAACAATGTGGTGTTATTCAGTGTAAATCAGTGACACTCAGTGTACCAAGGTGGCGTTATTCAGTGTAGACCAGTGGCACTCAGTGTATCAATACAAGGTGGTTTTATTCAGTGTACTTCAGTGACACTCAGTGTATGTGGTGTTATTCAGTGTAGATCAGTGACACTCAGTGTATCAAGGTGGTTTTATTCTATGTACTTCAGTGACACTCATTGTATTAATGTGGTGTTATTCAGTGTAGGTCAGTGGCATTCAGTGTATTAAGGTGGTGTTATTCAGTGTAAATAATTAGTAACATTCAGTTTTATTCTTATTCCATGTACAAATAATTTTTGCTATGAATATACTCCATGTGCAATGTATGTTTTTCTCGTATCACTTTGTATTTAACAGGGTCAGTTTAACATGGTTAACTGGTGTCATTGGTGTGTTATAAGTACAGTTGGTGTTAATCAGAGTAACATTGGTGTTACTCAGGGTTTCGTTTTGATCGTAAATGATGATAAACCATTGTCTATTTTCTGATGAACAATGACTTGTGACCAAATTGTAATTTAGGACGGTTCCAAAAACAGATCTCAGTAAAATTGGTGTTATTCAGAGTAATGTTGATGTTATTCAGAGTAAAATTGGTGTTATTCAGAGTAAAATTGGTGTCATTCAGAGTATCATTAGTGTTATTCAGAGTATCATAAGTGTTATTCAGAGTATCATTAGTGTTATTCAGAATATCATTAGTGTTATTCAGAGTATCATTAGTGTTATTCAGAGAATCATTAGTGTTGATTCGAGTATCATTAGTGTTATTCAGAGTATCATTAGTGTTATTCAGAATGTCATTAGTGTAATTCAGAATATCTTTAGTGTTATTCAGAGTATCATTAGTGTTTTTCAGAGTATCATTAGTGTTATTCAGAATATGATTAGTGTTGATTTGAGTATCATTAGTGTTATTCATAGTATCATTAGTGTTATTCAGAATATGATTAGTGTTGATTCGAGTATCATTAGTGTTATTCAGAGTATCATTAGTGTTATTCAGAATATGATTAGTGTTATTCAGTGTATCATTAGTGTTCTTCAGAGTATCACTAGTGTTATTAAGAATATGATTAGTGTTGATTCGAGTATCATTAGTGTTATTCAGAATATCTTTAGTGTTATTCAGAGTATCATTAGTGTAATTCTTGATAAACAATTGTATTATTCAGAATAAATCAATACTATTATTAGTTATTGTAAAACAGTGCTATCAATATAAAACAGTGGTGTTATTCAATGTAAAAGTGTGCATGGCAGTAATTTCAAATTTTATACTTCGACATAGTCATATGTACTCTGTATTGTTGTCTTTCACTATGTTACACAGTGTTTCTATTTCGAATCGTTTTATACTGCCATAATGGCATAATTATTGCTGTTTACCTAATGAGAATGCTTTAAATGTGGTGTATTTCATTATAAAAGCCGTCACTCCTCCCCCTCCTTGGGCAGAAAATCTTTCAAAAGCATGCAGTTTTTCACCATTCCAATCCTTTGCATGAATTTTTAGCCAGAGCTGTCAAAAAGCTCCTCCCTTTGCAAAAGCCCCCCCCCCACCCCTTAGTAAAACCGCCCCCTGTGGTAAAAGCTGCCTACGGGCCTGATCATTCAGTGCAATGTGTGTGTGTTGTAATATTCAATGTAAAATCTGTAAACCTAATGCTATTCAGTTGATTCTATGCATAAAAAATCATGTCATGAAATTTAGAATGTAAAATACCAAGAAGTTGGCTGAAACACTGAATATACTGAATGTACATGTGGACTATGAATTATATTTCAGGGGACTGGATACGGTTAATATTACCTGTAAATTATGCCCCCTTTTGCCAATTTTTTTTAAACTGGGGTTTATGGACTAGATTTAAAATGGAAAAGAAATTTATAGGTAGTAAAATTTTCATCTAAATTCAAAAAGGTACCCCCCCCCCCCTCTATAATTTTATTTTTATTCTAATGTTACAGTCAATATAAAAATATAAGAGAGCGTGGTTGCCTAGGCTAGAACGGCCTCGCAAAAGTGTACTCTTGATTCTTTTTTGATAGAAGTATTGTGAGGTGGAGATTTTTCTTTTTCTCAAAAAACTAAATGGTGCCAACTAAGAAAATGTGGAATTTGTAGTCATTGTAGAGGAACAGTCATTGTAGTGGAACTGTTGTGTATCAAATAAAATGCAGTGTTTAGCTTTTGTAAAAAATATTTTGTTCATTTGAAGCCCACGTCCTGGTTATGGTATGGATATTTCTGCCGCTGTAGCTGAAGTTGAGATACAACCGTATCTATCCGGTCCCACCCAATTAAATTTTTTAAATGGATTTTTTAAATTAAATTTAAAACTTAATACGAAATATCTTTATAAAAAGCTCTTCATTGAAAAAATAATTTAAAACATTATTATCAATTTCTCAATTTTGGAGCCTTCGTGACCAAGGGATGTACACAAATTTCTCGTATCCAAAACTTTCCTGAACAAAGTTTTCAACAACAGATTGAGACTCTTCTTCAATGTTTTATTTCATTATTGTTATTGTTAATATTTTATTACTGACATCCCCTCTGTCTCTAGAATTCACCTAAACAAACTTAACGCCATGTTGAAGACAATAGACTAGATGCGAATAGAAATAATCTTGATTTATGTCATTAAATATTCAAAATTCAGTAAAAGTGATGTCATATTTGAAATCTACATGTAAAAGTACATCTAGAAAAATGGTTTCGAAAATTGTTTCTCAACTTTGAAAATTTAATCTTTTTTGAAAATGTGACTTCTAGCTCGGGTTGATTCCTTATAGACCCCATGTTACAAAAGCACAAAAAGTGAAATATCTTTTCTTGTATTTGACAGATAACATTTTCTTTTACTGGACATATTTTAATTTGCACAACTATTAGATACTGTGCATAGTAGGGGTTATATAAAAATTGAACCACTAAAACAGATGTATTTAAGTTAAAGGGAACTTTCTACTATACCCGCCATGTTATCTGACCCGAACGAGCCACCTGGTGGTGGAACTGGTAACTACCTACTCGCATCTGCGTTATTATCAACTCTGATAGTCATTGAATCTGCTATATCGCAGATGGAGAAGGTGAGGCTAACCATATGGAAATTACTTGTACGATCAAAATGCATGCACATAAAACTTAACCCTGCGCCACCCCGCGCTCAGAGTCTAGTTATAAACATGGACCTCTATCCCCATCGGTAGTTACCTCGAGGATAGAGGACCATGTTATTAACTACCGAAGAAACTCTCTTTTGAGAAGCGAAGTCGAATGAATACAAAGGAGGGTCGTATTGAAACTAATCAACATGAAATATGATTCACTCAAATAAATTAAACACGATATGTTAAATAGGCATTTCCAATAATTTTATAAAACCTACTGAGATTAAATTAATCCGAGAACAGAGTGCCATAATTCTTAATCTTGTTGAAAAGAGATTAGTTTTTAATAATCAAGATTTCTTCATTTTTTCACCATGGTTATATTGCGACGACCGTCAAAACCACCAAAGACTTCCATGCTTTGTTTGCATCAAAGTAACATTATGTTACATTTGATAAAGGACGATCTGTATGGACTTTCACCCCTCCCCATATCAATTAACCGGACTAATATTTTGATCTTGTTTCAACTTTTAATTAATTTAATTTTTAGACTAACTTTGAATTTGACACTTATCAATTCTTTTTCCGCCCCTTCGCAAATGGACTATTAAACCAATAGATTACCAACCTCAAATAATCTATAATTTACCAATCTCAAATAATCTATAATTTACGCTATAGAATTTTTTCAATTGAGCCAATATCGATATAGATGTAAACAGGAGCTTTTCATTTGACATGAATTTAAGATTTAATTCCATTGTTATCCCATGGAGATAAATACAATAGTTTAAGAGTGACTAACAGTTTGGGATAAATCGTTAAAAACTACGATGGCAGTTTGTGTGTTTGGAAATCAGTGTGAAAACATTGTTGACCCAGTGTTCTCTGAGAGCACATTAGACCAATGTTTGTTCTGGGTTATTTTGAATACTGAAAATAGATTCTATTTGCGCTCGCACAAATGCAAACACGAGTATATTTGAAGAATAAGCGGTGATAAACTAGCACGAGCGAGAAGTGAAATAATACGTGGATATATACGAAGGAAAAAAGAATACTAGTTCAAGATGGCGACAGGACATAGAACGACCCTCGTACCGTTTTTAAGATGTAACTTACGAAAACAGTTTACAAAATGGCGATGGTTAATAGCAGTGTTTTATGGAACAATGTTGATTATCATGGTCAGCATGAAGAGATCGTTGCTTCCAAATGCCCAACAAGGAAAGCCTGACTTGTTTATGCCTATGGGTGCTCCGGGTAATGTACGCGAGCAAGGAAACCGAATACTAAGTGAGGATGACATTGTCTTGGAAAGATACAATGATTATATTCGAACGCATAACATAACGGTAACCATGTTTACCACGTTTGCAGATCGAGAAGAAACAAGATACGTTATTCAGAACAACACTATTCTAAACTGGCTTCATCTTCAGAACGTCAATTTCAAGCTTGTTCTTTTTGGGAGCAGACGAGAAATAGCGGATTACCATCTACAGCACGTTGATAGCTTTAAAAAACGACTCCATAGACGAGAGGCCGACTCCGGTGAACCCAATGCAAAGACTCAGAAAAAGTTCGACCCGTTATCGGCTAATAATGTCCTGATGGGTTTTCACCAAAGGGTACAAAAGAATATTCGTCCAAATCTTTTTGGGCCACAGGACACGTTAAATTTTGTAGACCCAAGAATTGAGGAGAAAATTAAGATCACTTCGTTCCCTACCTCAAATGATCTATACACGTCTAAGAGTTATTCAAAGAACGATCCTTACTATCAAACTTGGGATTTTATCCCATTGGAAAAGCACCTAACTGCTCTTGGGAGGCCGATATTGAAGAAAATGTACTTGGAGGTACAAAAACGATATGAGTCAGACCTCTACATGTACGTCAACGGGGACATCCTATTTCACGCCGAGTCTTTACTTGAAACACTTTATGGAATAAAACGGTTCGTGGATGATCCGCAATCTAAAACGGAAAAGTGGCTAATATTTGGAGGGCGTAGAGAAGTTGACTTTCATAATGCAACTACGGGTTTGAACCACGCGCTACAGTTTGGCGATGATGCTGAGATCCAAAAATTCTCGATTAACTCAAGGGTTCGGAATTACAACGCCCTCGATTTCTTTATCTGCAGTAAAAGTAGCTTTCCTTGGGTGGTCGTCCCCGACTTTGTTGTTAGTCTCCCCTTATTCGATCACTGGTTAGTTTTATACAGTAACAAAGTAGGCATTGAAACATTTGATATTTCAAGAACAGCCCTCGTAGTACATCAAAGAGGTGTTCAAAAACTCAAAGATTCGAAATATGAAAAAGCTGATGGTTTCAATAAGTTTTTATTCGACAGCGCCGTCGGCATTCGATGTGTATTTGATACGAACCAGGCAAGACTCCAGTGCATGAAGCAGAGGACCCGGAGAAGGAGAGTGGGAGGTGAAGATGCGATTATTATACTTCAGAACAGTCTATTTTATAAAATGGACAATGTCGGCTGCGTTTACCCATATCCCCTTATGGCACCTGTCCTTGGGCCTATTGGCGAACAGGACACCTGGAACTTTACATTGACTTAAAGGCACCTCGCTGTCTAACTTTTCCTCTCCTTTCATGAGTACACTCAGGCCCGTAGCCAGGGAGGTTCGATGGGTTCGAGAGATCCCCTCCCCCACCCCCTGGCCAAAACTTAATTCAAAATCATGCAGTTTTTCACCATTCTGAGCACTTTTTAAAGTGATTTGGGGTCAGTTTTGGTCCAAAATTGTCAAAAGCAACCCCCACTGGAATTTTCAAAAACTGACCCCTCCCCTCTTTGGCAAATCCTGGCTACGGGCCCGACAATGGACATATGATATAAAGGTTTGGCATCCCCCGAACAAATGGTGCCAGTAGGTAATTACCAGGTGGTTAATTCGGGTCAAATAACATGGCAGATATAGAAAAAAGTTCTTCTAAACTTCAATTAGATATATTGAATCAGTCTTCATATATCTCTTTAAATATGTTATAGAACATATGTCAAATATTATTTTATCTGTCCAATGCGAGAAGGAAGTCACTTTCTAGGTGAAATCCTACATGCACATTTTAAATTTGATATCACGTTGGCAAGATTTTGAATATTCTAGGATGAAGAAAAGATTCTTATCTTCATCCTAGGAATATTCAATGATGAAAATTAAGATTATTTCTACTTAGATGTAGTTAAGCTGAAACATAGGCAATGAAATATAGAGAATCATATCCATAGCTAATCGCTGTAATGTAATGTGAAAAGTCACTACACCTTGGTGGGATTCGAACCCACAACCGCCCGCGCCCGATTGTATGCCGGATGTCTATTTGTAAAGCATAGACGTCAAGTGTCACTCGGGGGTCCAGGTTCTTGAAGCAAGACTAAATGTCACCTTGTTACTTGATTACATTTTGAGAACATCTGACTAGAATAATCACTTCACTAAATCACTTTGGTCAAATTTACAAGAAATTACAATAGAGGTACATTTCATCGCAAAGGCCAAACTGTATACCTGGAACGTTCCAATTCCAAACTTGCAATTTTATTGAACTAAACGTTCGTGGTTTCTTAGCACAGCCACGAGAATTGAATAAATTGTTTTCATCTGAAATCAATGCTATCAATGTGTATCAACACTTAAAATATGAATTCTGTTTACTTTTAACTGAGAAGTATAAATACATGAATAAGTACTGTAATAATGTACACTACACGTCGGGCTATGAAACAATAAGATACCTGTACTTTCTAAATAGCTGAAAATGAATGAAATGAATCCGTGTAAAACTTGATTGATATATCATGTGATGACCCTTTTAACATACAGGTACTTATTGCGATTTATCATCAAAATTTGGGTTGTTCGAAAAAATAACATGGCTGAAACTCCTTAAATTACAATAGGCAACGGGGTTATTGCACAATTTAAAATAAATAATCTGAAATATACAAATGTCATTTGTGTACAATATGAATGTATTTTCCCATATATTATTGTACAATGGTCTTTTGATTTCTTATTAACCTTTAGGCCGTGTCGGCCCACCGTTAGCCAACGTATGAATAATTTGGGGCAGCCGGCGGGGTACGGCATGAATAAATGGTAGGCAAAACAAATGGTTTGATAGCAAGATATTCCCATCACACCACAAAAATTAATTAATAAAAAAAATAATGGCACACGGTGGCAAACGGTCAGCCCACATGGATTATGTGACAGTTACAATACTTATACTTTAAATAGACGGGTAAGAGAACAGCAAGTCGCAGATCACTCACAAAAAGTCGAACTTTGATCACATTTAAATATGTGTTTGATGCAAATGACACCAACCAAACTGCAATTGACTGTGGTTTTGATGACATAGTTGATGTACATTTGAATTGCGTGTTATCCGATTGGCTATAGTTGGCTATTCAGCATTCAAGAAATAAGATATTTCAAGCTGTAAAGAACAAATATATTTGACATAAACTACAAAGGTGTCTATCTGCACGCAGAAGTACGCATAAGATCCGATGTTATCGGACATCGGACCCGATGTGATCGATGAGTAATACAAGTGTATAATAAAGATCCGAAAATATCTTGAGTAAAGGATCTCAGAATCCGAACATTACTTGAGTAAAATCTGTTGAGAACCGATGACATCGTCGAGTTTATGACGTGCTGATGATGAAATAGTGTTCGGGTTACTTTTGGGAGTTTTCGAACCTTGATTTAATTGCCTTTATTAGAAGGGTTCCTCGTTATTAATACTATTGTAACATTTTGACCCAGAACAGAAATTAGGCTATCAACACTGGAGGATAGGAATAGCGCGAAATTGCATTTAAATCAATTATTATCCATATTGATGGATTAAAATGAATATGTTTCAAGTTCCTAATCTCTACTGTTCAATCTTTTTTCATTTTAGTAGCCGTTCTACTGATATCTTATCTAATTCAAAATTGAGAGCGAATTACGTTGATAAACAAATAACAAACAAGAATGAGTTTTGTTTCACACGAGGGGACTCTACGTCATTAGACATGTGATCAGAGAGAGGAATTCCCATGGTGTTTCCCAACTTAATTAATCGGAATTAAAATATCAATTCCAAAACAATGAGCATAACGGGTCTTTTAACTTTGCACATTTTAGATCAATCAAAGATATAACTTTTTTCATATGTTTACCGTCTTGGTAGATACACAATAACACGTACCAAAGTCATTGGATTATGAGCATAGTCAAATAGAAGTTTTTTGAAATGAACGACAAAATATATACATAATATTTACAGTGTACAATACATAATCAATTTGATGAGCACTTAACTATTTTTCGACGAGAAGTGATGATATTATCAACAATGAAAATTATGGTGATTCGATTGAAAGCATGAATTCAATGTTTTAAAGAAGTTTGCGGGACACCGACGTTGACGTAAAGTGCTGCGGGAATTATATAATATTAACAGTAATTTTTGTGATATACTTCATGTTATTATATGATCATCCAAAAGGTTACTCACTACCTCATCGGGTTTTACTCACGGTATAATCGGAATACTCAGGCGGTAGCATCGGGTCCTATAGAATCGTACTCGTGTTATAATCGGGTCTTTCATTTTCAACTTTCACCGGTGATTTCAATGATATACAACGTTTGGCAGTAAAAAAGTGATATATTTGCACCTATTGTATCTTTGAATCAAATGGAGTAAATACAGCTATGGTTCTTACTTATTTATTATGTAAAACATCGATTCTTATATTTAGAAGTTGAATTTAGCGATTTGATAGTAAATATTGCATTAAGCACTTATTATTCTGCAAACATGAGTGCCTGGGACAACAACTATATATGTTACAAATAATTCTGTGTTTTTTCTATTTCTCATATTGAGAAATTCAATATCTAAACAGGAGTTTATTAACTTATCCCCTACATTTTCAGACATCTTCGGGTCTTTGCTCGGCGGTAGGTTGTATATACGCGGGTAGACTTTCCCCTCGTGCCTTTGCCGGATATATAGTGTTCAAATATTTCAAGTCATCATTTTTGTTATTCGCCTTTACACGCCGCACGAAACTGGGGACAATTAGCGTAACATCATTGCGTCAAAATACCGAAACAAATACAAAAGGGCAGAATATATAGCGCAATTCAGAGGGGGGAATAACACACACAGTTCAAAGATGACATACGTTTATAATGTAAACCTGTATTGAGATGACATATATCTCTCATTGGTCAAAGGTCGACAAACAAATGATGTCATCAATGGCGGTTTCAAAATTTTGGGAAATCATGACGTCACGGTTTGGTCGCCATCGAATTTTGAATCAATTCAAAATTCTAAAATCACCTTCCCGTCTGAGAAAGTTCATGAAGTTCGTAAATAGACCTTCACTTAGAAAGTTGTAGTTACGTACATTCCGTTCGCACACAGTTTAAAACCAGTTTTGAAGAACGCAGTGGCAACTTGTTTGGTGTGATAGCTATATTTTTGCTTACTCGTTCATAAGCAGTCTTTAATACGTTCTTAGTCAGTTTAAACCCGTTTGCAATTAGTTCTACCTCGTTCTCAATACGTCCCCAGACAGTCCAACTCGTTGTAAAAACGTCCCTAGTAGGATTGAAGTACGACGGTTCCGTTCATAGTACGCCCAGCTCGTCGTCAGTACGTTGTCACTCTTTCTAATTGTAGAACGTGACGACCACGAGAACATTTTGAGCATGTTCTAAGTTCTAGAGGACCTACCCGTTCGAGTACGTTCGATGAAGTTTGTAAATAGACCCCAAACGGTTTTAAGTACGTCCAGTCCGTTCGTACACAGTTGAAGACCGTTTTCGAGAACTTAGTGAGAACTAGTTTGGTGTGATAGTAGCGTTGCCAATATCATAGCTTCTCATTTCACATCAATATAAAGAAAGGTGTATGGAATATGCCTATATCAATCAAAACATCCCATCGAAGTGTAGTATTTGATAACTAGCCGATGAAAATTCGAACGAACGAATGTGGTAAGCAAGAGACGTAATTGTGTCTGTCATCTTTACACTCTTGGGCTTTCCCTCCTCTTGGTGCAAATAGACTCATAATGTCAAAAACGACAAGCGTTACATTTTGTCAAGTTTATTCAACCTAAAAATAAAGTGCTTTCTACTTATTCAATCCTGATAAAATTCACAGAGATTTTCGTTCAAACAACGTTGTACAGTACTATTCAAACAACATTGAACGGCGCTGTTGCTCAAACAACGTTGTACACTGTGACACTGTACTCCCATGACACTTGTCAACGTTGTTCAAACGGCGTTGTACAGCACTGTTAACAACGTTGTTCAACGTTGCTAGATGATGCTGCGGAAATCAGTTTCGTAAATCAGCTCTTATTTAATATTATTTGTACAATTAATGATTGGTTATTGTTTTGTACATTTCTCACGGCCAACATTGTGCAATTAATTTTTTATTCAAATCAGACCTCAATTAGGTCAAATAGAGGGAAACTTCTCGCTCATCCCATTCGCCTTAAACCTTAGCCTACACTATTTTGAAAATATTATTAAATCGTCTATTAAGAAAATTCGAACTGTGATCGTTACGCAATCATGACTTCATGAATGCAAATTGTCAATTAAACAATATGTGAAATTTTAGTGGTATTCTGATTGTTATTTTAATAGTTATCCCAATTTAAACTAACAGTGCAAAGGTAAAGTGTTAAGTCTTACAACGTATTTTGCAATGCCGGGACATATTCAACCTTAAAAATATGTTAGATCGCATCAAATTTTTCTAGGAAAAATACTTTCACTAAAATGAGCACAAAAATACTTTGAAATGGTATATGAGACACGTGGTTAGCTTTTTTGATAAGGCGGAAACGAATACAATAGTTCAGAAGCCCGTATTTCTCGAATTGTTCTTAGGTCCGTGCACATCATATTATGCAATAGTACAATTCTGTGAAAGCTGATTTAATCACCTGTAGCTTCAGCTAGAGTTCCTCTTGGTCTGAGACTTTTTTATTTTAAAATTGTAAAAACTATATCATGGACACAACAATGGTTTCAATCAAAATGGTTTGAAACCCATGGGTCTGAGTAACGATTGTCTGAAAATGGGTAAATTGACGATAGATAATAAATAAACAAATATTCATTAGATATAAATTTCATGAATATCAATCTTTTACAGGAATTATATGAAAATTTGAAAATGATGTCATTTCCCGATGCTACTCATCAAGACAGATTTCATTTTTAAAACTACACATTACTTCACAATACAAAAACAGTAAGCATATTCACCCGCTGGGCTTAATTAGGATGCTATTACAACAAGTATTTCAGTAATTAAAAATTTGCATAAAGCAATGTATATTATCAATACATTGTAAAGGCCCAGTTAAACTGTGACTTGATAATGTAACCAAACAGGACGACAAAAGATAACTGAAAAAAGCATTCATCGACACAATTACGCTTATTATACTACTATAACTTCAGTGATACCGTTGTACTTGATGCTAACGATATAATGAAGTTTCAGATGCAGGACTATTTTCAAATCATATTTATGGTTATAGCATATCACCATGGAAGCAATGGTGTAGTAATAGGTAAGTGAAAAATGGAGTGGTAATATATTTCTTGGAGAGGGGCATTCAAAATGTTCAGTACTACACCCTGACGAGAACGGTGAAATAAAACGTTGATACCAGGTCGATCAATACGTTCTGAGAAAAATCCTCTTAAATCAAGAGTTGTGTGATTTTTTATTTGGAATTTTCACAGAATATGTGAAATGAATCCAGCAATTAGTTTTAAAAAAAGTATGCACTTTCCTTTTATTGGACAAATAAAATGGTTACTATGGTAACTCGTGTTTGGGTAGGCGGGGCAAAGAGTTTAAATGGCAGA